AAAATCAGCCTTGTAAAGTAGTGGTGGTCTGATTTATTAAAATAATCGAAGATTGGTCACAGTGACCAAACGACCAAGCAATCGATCGTGTTTTCTCATAATCGAACACAAACAATTTTGGAACACTTGTTTGCATTAACAATATTTTTCACAAGGTTGGTTTTGTGTCATTAAATTTACATTTCATAAGCACTACAAGCTTGTTCCAAGTCATGTAGGATTGAATTTATCTCAAAGACTCCAAGAAATTTATGTTCCTAACATACTAGTAATCCTTTAAAGATATGAAAATTGCATATGTATTTTGTACAATTTGAAAAAAAAAAAATGTTTGTGCATTAACAAACATAACAGGAAAATTTGATAAATGACGCAAACCAATTATTTTCGATGATTGATCGGTTGTAATGAACCAATCATCAGCTATGAGATTTTAACCAATTCCCAACACTATTGTAAAGGATGTTGTTCATCTTTGTCAAACAGAGACTAGACCTTACTTTTTTAAATGATGAAAATTAACCCAAGTCAATTTTAATAGAGATTACCACCACAATTAATAAGAATATGAACCATCCTGTGTCTTGATGGACTGTACAGAGAAATTCTTCACAGGCATTTAGAAGTTGGTAAAGTGATACAAGATAAATGTTATGGATAACAACTTTTTTATTTGTTTCTCACGACATTTCTGGGCTAGTTCCTGCCCCTTCTTCAGCTGGGATGTACAGAGAAATTTGCAAAGGAACATGAAGGTTTTCTAAGGAGGATGCAAAATACAAACCCTCATAAGAATTTTGACAAACTGGATGATAATCTGTGGCCAGTATTATCAGGGCACTTCCCTGATGATAATTACCCTTTCCAGGATGACAATGCTCTGTTTATCGGGGCCCATATCATTAGTGAATACAAGGAAAAGAAAAATGTCAGGTGTCTGACCTGGGTCAGCACAGTCACTGGAAATATCATAGAAAGTATTTGGCTAAAAAGGAAAAGAGCAATTCAAACCAGAACAGTGGACATGAGGACAAAAGAATTGTTTGACGCAATCAGGGACATATATGTCAACCTGACCTCGGATTCTATTCAGACACTGTATATGTTGATACTGGATCACAGTTTAATAAAGCGTGACCTGTTATGCAAAATGACATCACCAACTCAGAAGTGACGAATACTTTTGCCACAGGTCTGTATCTGGCAGATGGATTATTTATACTAACCCAATGAAACACAAATTCTAAGTATTATTCAGTTCATTTTAAATGTATAATTGGGTTTCAACACACACCACATGAACTTAGTACTTTCGTCAATATAAAGAAAATAACATCCTTTGAAAATATCTACAGCTGCTTATAACTGAAAGTGATGTCAATGTCTCCCTGGATAATTGAGTGAGTATGGTTTTACGTAGGGATGTCACGATACATAAGTTTCATGAATCGATACATATTACGATACCCATGTCACTATTCGATATGTATCACAATGCCTAATTTCAGGGCATTACTGCGTAAATTTAGTTACATTTTGAACATTTATATTTCATATTTTATAATTGTCCATGAAAGGATCAACATTGTTTATTCTCAGAGATTAAAAAGTTCTAATTTCCCATTTTTGTGCATAAAAAATTATCACTTATAACTCTCATAACATCCAAAAACATGATACAATTGCAAAATGTAAACGATACATAAACATATTTAAACTGATACTTTCAAAACTAAATATAAATACAGTTTTGAATGTATCAATAATTGAATCGTATTAGAAAAAGTATCGATGTATCGTGGCATCCCTAGTTTTACGCCGCTTTTTGCAATATTCCAGCAATAACGCTGCAAGGGACACCAGCAATGGGGTTCACACACTGTACCCATGTGGGGAATGGAACCCGGGTCTTCAGCGTGACGAGCGGAGGCTTTAACCATTAGGCTATCCCATCGCCCTCCTTGGATAATATGAGACTACACGATGTACCAGGAATAGTAGGATGCAAGCCATATTTGTACCTCATCTAATGCTGATAAGCACAATTAGTAATATAACATCAGTGATGGATCTAGAAATAGGATGATCTGGGACATTTGGGGCCATGTGTATATGTATGAAGAGAAATTTGTAAAAAAACCATAAAACTAAAGCATTTTTTCTATTTGAAATCATTCTTTTTCTAAAAAAAATTTCAGAGAAAAAAAGGAACAAATAAATACTGTGAAAAGGGGTGTTTCTTTCAACACACAATTCATCAGATAAAAGTGATAAATAGGGGGAAGGATCACAGAAAATACATGTTTTACATTCAAAAGGTATGAGTCATGAAAATGTTTTGTCAATAAAATAATTCCATTATAATTCTAAATTAAGTCAGTGCTGTGAAAGCACATTTTGTAAAATTGTCCTCTGATTTAAGTACAGGTAATATGATGCATTGCATGGTTATTGTATTAAGTGGAGTTATTTGGATTCAGGGTACACTTATTTGAAAAAAATATTGTGCCATCTATGACTTGTATGAAAATATTTTGGGAGCATTTTACAAAATTGTTGTCAATGCTGGTATTCCACCTCATGTAAAACCTTGATATGGGGGAACATATGGGGCTTGTGGGAATGAAATTTACAGGATATTTTATATTTCAGTGTGCCATTGACAGAAGGCGCACTCTAGATGCATTGCTGTAATCTGTAATAAAACATTTTCAAGTATGGGTAAATAGTTGCATATGTTGCAACAGCAGCATTGGTGAATACAAGAAGCTTAACAAAAACATGCTTAATTACATGACAAAACTGTTCACACTAGGGCTGCAACGAATACACTATGTGGCGAATATGATACGTATCATGAACACTGGGTAACCAATACGAATAATTATTCACAAATACAATATTGTAGTTAAGTGATTGATGTAGAATATGGAATGCCCATGTTGAAAGTTTTGATATGTCACAGCAATAACCAGTGATGTCACGACACTCGAATTTGGTTTGTAATAGTTATATACAACAGTACCTTGTGCTGTCTTGGCAAACTAACTTGTCACTACTGCAATGCTAGTACGTATTCGATTCTTGCATATCTCACTTTGGAAATGACATAAGGGTTCAAGTAAAACATGCTCCCTTAAAAAAAAATCGTAAATATTCATTGATATTCGGTTCTGGTGACCACGAATAACGAATTGAATTCATGAAGGGCTACGGTTCGATTCACCGAATATGCGAGTGAATCGTTACAGCCTTAGTTCACACAGATGGCCTGTTTGATTAATGCTTAATCTTAAACAGGGCGACAATGACTTAGATTCACCTACTCAGAAGGTACTAGATCCTACTCACTTTAGGGATTGAGTTAGTAACAAATAAATAATGCATAAATATTAACATATAAATGTTACAAGACATATTTAATTTATTTGTGACCAATTTGAGAAAACCGAACAAAGGAACTGCGTGAGACATCATGATACAACCAGGCGCATTCCATGTGGTCCCACACCTGTAGACTTTGACCCTAGTGATCCAAAATGTGGCTGGTTTAGACTGGGCATCATGCGATTAGTGTGTCTGGGTTATCAATGTTAGGTTAAGCAATAACACATTCATTGTATTCCAATGTGGGTATTCAGAGTGAGAAAATAGGCCTCCAGCAACATATTAATGTTGTAAGAGGTGACCAAAGTCACCAGGTGGTCAGACAGGTGACTTACAGGATTTAGAATTTAACACAAGCCCCTGAGTTCTGGGCTGGTTCAAATTCTTGCAGGACAGTACTAATTTCCTAATTTAACAACTGTTTTAACATTACAAGCGATTTTCATCTATATCAGGACTAGTAAAGCCTTGGAGTTGATTTCTACCCCTGATGTGGGCAACTGCTTATGAAATGTATCTTGGTTAAATATTATGACTGAAATATCCACTTTCAAGACAACAGAACATTTCTAGGAGCCCATTTGTCACAAACGACCAGTCCATGTCCTAGAAAATTAACCATTTTGAACCCTGTACAGCCCATTCTTGTCCCATGATCTGTTTTGGCTACTATAGACCACAGAATTCTTTATCATGTAGATCTATAACTGATGTGTATATTGACTCAGAGTACAATGACAATACAAGAACAGTAAATATAAGACACATCAGCTGACCTTAAAATGACCCTGGACATGGCTGACCATGAAGGGTTGCTATGCATATATATTTGAGAGAAGGTACATTTAGGCAAACACGTATAGATTCTATTCACGTCTTTGATTTAGGCCTACAATGTTACATGACAAATCTGATTTTCATTGGTGATTGGAAGTATTGTTCTCAGAAGTGCTAATTTCATGATAAGGTTGCTAATACTGTCAACACAGCCTATAGTGTCTTGAAAGAATAAGGCTATATATAATCCCAGAGCCCAAAAATAAACTGTATCTCATCAGCTGCCAGGTTTATCGGTACAGTACTCTAGAATCGATAGGTATCTGCATGTTGTTAGCTTCTGGGTTGAATGAAATGTGCAGAATGATTGTTGTCTTGACGCAGTACGAAGCTGACAGAATATGGCACGGATGTTTATGGAATTACAAGTATGATGCAATCAACATGTTATACATGTCTCACTACTTCACTCTGCCAATATATTTCCGGATAGAAAATAGATTTCTAGTAGGCCTAGCTGTACCGCTGAATCAACGGTAGGCCAAGTCATCGGTCCGAGGGTAGAAACGCATGAAATCTTTTTGGGCTACCAACAATATTGACAAAACACGTATTCTAAATCGTAATAACAGTTTATGTAAGATATTTGGAAGGACAATTGGTCAAAACTGATTCATCTGTAAATATAACTGACGTGTTGTCTATGCAATAAATATAAGCCAGCAACCAAGCAGCCCAACATGCCTTCCACAACACCTGAAACAGGCAGAGAGAAAATATAAAATGTTCTCATCCCTACGACGGAACAAGATGATCTACAACTGTATGATGCTTACCAAATCTTGATGTGCGTTTTGTTTTCAAACGTGTGCAGTCCAAAATCAAAGCAATAAGCTATTTATTCCGACAACAACACGACGTGAATCAAAACGAACCAGCGTCCGAGTGATCTCGTTCTGGCCTTTTGCCAAACTAGGAAGTCATGTGATCAAGATGGTCACGTGACTGGGGGTGTGTCCTCTGTACCACGAAACCTAAATATCAACTCGAACTTCTGTTGAATTTAACTTTTGCCCAACCATATGATATGTTTTGGCAAATGTTTGTCTGGAATTTTAATGTTATATTTATATAGATTTATTGTATTTCTCAATTGGAGATTTGTTTTCCCAAAATTTCCGGAACGGATGCAACATTATTTCATTATTCTTAACACGTGGGTCATCCTGAATAGTATTTCTTTCAAATGCCTCTGTCAGAGGGTACCGGAGTGAGTGACAGGAGTGAGTGAGAGATTGAGTTTAGTTTCACGCAGCACTCAGCGATATTCCAGCTATATTCAAATAATCGCTGCAGACAATCCAGGGATCGATATCTACGCAGTTGGGATACTGACATGTGTCATGTCAGCGAGCGATCTGTTAGTCGCCTCTTACGATGGGTAACTGACGATCAATCGTCTAACACGGATCTTCCCGGGTCAGAGTGACAGGGAGGCACATCAACATTGGTGCATGCAACAGCATCTAGAAAACACTTTTAAAATCTGATTCAAAATTTTACGTCAGTTAGATAGTCAGAGGACGATGACATGTGTCAACCATATGTCAGCGAGCCCAGTGACCACCCGGGAATCCCGTTAGTCGCCTCCATCAAAATATCTATTCCACGACAAGCATGGGTAATCAAGACCAATTCTAACAGTTTCATATTGAGATCGGATCTTCACTGGTTGAGGATATCATTCAAGGTTTCCACATATTAACCCCGTCAGCAAGCTCACAAGGTAAGCATCTGTGGGATGACTCCACGCCCTGCTTGGCAATATAGTGAAACCAAGTCAGCGAGCCTGACCACCCAATCCCGTTAGTCGCCTCATACGACAAGCATGGGTTCGTTCTAACCCGGATCTTCACTCATTCATGCTATGAACCCCTCATGCTACTCTTTGACGATAGCATGACACTCTTTGCAAGGAGGGATAGATTATTTATTTGCAACTTTTATATTTTAACGTGGCGTCCACTCGTCACCCGGGTTATATTCCCTACATGGGTACAATGTGTGAAGCCCATTTCTGGTGTCCCCAGCCGTTATATTGCTAAAAGCCGTGTAAAACTCACTCACAATAATGTAACGTTGACACTTCCTTCAAACCCAAATTATCAACATGAATCACTCTGAACTGATTCTGTGTACTTAATGTGTAGCATGGTTCAGTTCAGTGTGCCCCTTCCCTTATCTTTAAACATGTGGACTTTGACCAGTCCTTGTCTAACTTACTGAATTTATTATGTTGTTTTTCAACTTAAATATGCATACCCAGTATTTTTGTGTGTGTGTGTGTGTTGTTTTATTCATAAAGAGACCAGTTGTTGCCTGGACATTCCAATGGTTAGCCTTGACATTTTAACTGAAAACTGTAATGTCAAATGCTCTGAAGCAAAAATAATTCTATTTTCAAGTTCAAGCTTCCAGATTTGCTATGAATTAGGTTTAAACTCACTTATAGTTATTCACTCGTTTTTTGTCATTCATGTAAACACTGTTGATTGAAATGTTTATAAATGTAACAAATAATTTACAAACATAAGTCTAGATATATGATTAACATGTATATATAACCAGTATGGGTATCGAGTAGATGAACACAGATTACATCATCCCTTTGATGGTGGTAGCGGAGTGACCCAAAACAAACAAGCATGGGTGTTGTCGGGTAAGTGGGACGCAGTACTGCAAGTGTATTTTCCACTGATGGTAACTGGAATACACAGAAGCTGGATTTCCGGGTTAAAAGAAGCATTTAATGTTGTTGTTTGTTTTGTTTTGTTTTTGTAAGCATTTAATGTTGTATATATTTCATTTCACTTTTGTCCAAAATGTGAGGTTTCTGAATAAGTAGGGTTCCACTGTACGGATATGGTTGTCCCTTTTAGAAACACCACAGCTATTATTATTCACCCAGTGTTTCAGCTTAATAAACCTTGTTTGAGATGTTGAAAACTAAACGTGGTAACAGACCTACTCTACTGGAACAAAGTAACTGCATTATTTGATGTTATGCTATTTTTTTAATGCAAAAGGGTAATAACATGATTTGTGGTGGTTTCCATAATCACTCTTTAACTGTTGACAGGATAATACCAAAATCTGTATGATTTGACACTAGGCATCATGACATGCCCTTGAAGAGATGTGTCAAAGTCAGTTCACAAATTCAGTATCCAGTATTCAAATTGTCCTGTTGAACAGGTTCCTGAACTTCTGTAGTGAACTTCAGTAACTCATGCTTGTCGTAAGAGGCGACTAACAGGATCAGGGTGGTCAGGCTCGCAGACTTGGTTGACACATGCCATCGGTTCCCAATTACGCAGATCGATGCTCACACTGTTGATCACTGGATTGTCTGGTCTAGACTCGATTATTTACAGATGGCCGCCATATAGCTGGAATATTGCTGAGTGCGGCGTAAAACTAAACCTACTCACTCACTCTGTAGTGAAGCCACACAGTGGTGAGAACAAGATTACAATGAGATGAGGTTGTCTGATATATATAGTGCAGGTTCATTGATCTGACCTTTTGTCTATGACAAAGTATGTCTTTAAAGAAACCCAAATAGACAGCATGTTGACTTGTGCTGTTTTGAGTTTTTGGAGTTCTATTATCAGGGTATGAAACTCCCATAAATTTCAGCCAGACCACAGGGCTGGCTAGATGTAAAACTTGCCAGCCCTGACCAATACTTACCTGCCCACAAAATATCTTCATATACATGTCTAAATTTTAACCCAACTGTCCGGCAGGTGAATTTGAGAATCTGTCAGTCTGTGTTGAAAATAACCCGTCCTGGGCGGTTGGGCAGGCAGGTATTTCGAACAGCAACTTTTACCATCAAGATGAATATTACATGAAGACTTGTGTCCTAACATTTTTAATGGAGAACTGAACAAAAAACAAAAAGACCCATACAGCTAACTAAGACTGACTTTATTGACAATCATCAGTATTGCCATGTTATACAAAAATACAGAGGCTTGCTACTCACTCACTCACTTACTCATTAAGCTGGTCAGGCCTAGAGACTAAGTCAGTGCTGCTCAGCTACAGTTTACCAGCTCCACACTTTCCTGTATTTCATGATGACAGCTTATGGAATTTTCTTACTGACAGAAACAGACATTTTCTCGCATAGCCAGACATGACCCAATGACTTTTACAAGCTTACTCCAATCATAACAGCTACTTATAGACAGATACGTCTGGGGAGATCTGGCAGTCCAAGATCATCGGATAACATTAAAACCCCACTTTGTTAAAAATGTACATCAATCTAGGACATAACAAGCCAATAGGAAAAGACAGCCTACCAAAGAAAAACAGCAGAAGGCTCTCAAAGTTATGGAAAATGTAGAAAGTTTAAGAAGAAATGGCCACACAACTTACAAATGAAACCATAACTTCAATAAAGTTTGCAACATAATGAGAGGTACCTGGTCTACATGTCATTGTTACCTAACACAGTATCATACAGACTGCCAAAATGTTTTAATGATGACACAAACTTCATAGGGAGTTTCGCCACATGATACATTCTACCGTTTGTCAGCCTTCTGCTGGTATTCTTTGGTGGCCCTAGAAAAGGAGGCTAATACGTCCAACATTTTATACAGTTTGGGAGCCTTATTCTGGTATTAATGGATAACCTGGACAAGGAAGCTAATACAAGCCACATTTTTACAGTTTGGGAGCCTTCAGCTGGTATTCATGGGTAGACCTGGACAAAGAGGCTAATAAACCCCACATATTTTACAGTTTGGGAGCCTTCAGCTGGTATTCATGGGTAGACCTGGACAAAGAGGCTAATAAACCCCACATATTTTACAGTTTGGGAGCCTTCAGCTGGTATTCATGGGTAGACCTGGGCAAAGAGGCTAATAAACCCTGCATATTTTACAGTTCGGGAGCCTTCAGCTGGTATTCATGGGTAGACCTGGGCAAAGAGGCTAATAAACCCTGCATATTTTACAGTTTGGGAGCCTTCAGCTGGTATTCATGGGTAGACCTGGGCAAAGAGGCTAATAAACCCCACATATTTTACAGTTTGGGAGCCTTCAGCTGGTATTCATGGGTAGACCTGGGCAAAGAGGCTAATAAACCCCATATATTTTACAGTTTGGGAGCCTTCAGCTGGTATTCATGGGTAGACCTGGGCAAAGAGGCTAATAAACCCCACATATTTTACAGTTTGGGAGCCTTCAGCTGGTATTCATGGGTAGACCTGGGCAAAGAGGCTAATAAACCCCACATATTTTACAGTTTGTACACTTGTGCACTGGCCCAAACTATTGCCTTTACATTTCCAGTATATATCACACAACACATATAAATGACCCAAAGCCACCTGTTTTTTCTAGACATGGTGATGGCAGTTATAAATATGTTGGAGATAGAGGTTGCTAGAGTAAGGCAAGGTGGAGGACAAACACCCTAAGTTCATAGATACACTCCTGTCAGGGGGCAGTGACACCTTATGAACTGCAAAGGATATGCATATACATTGGGTTTTCACACATATAAGAGACACAACTGAGACAACTAATACCTATATTTCTACCAGTGTCTGATGCAATTACTGCCCTTAGTCTGATGAGATGCATGATCTGAATAGAGCTTCACTATCTGAATCATTATATCAATAAAGCTTTATCACATGATCCTTGAGAGCACAGGATATATCTTAGGGTGCCGTTGTACAAAACAACCTTAGTGCTAAGGCCACCTTAAGCCTATGTTAAGGTATGGCAGTTACGGTCACCTTAGCGCTAAGATCGCTTTGTACAACGGTACCATGGTCCTCTCTAGTCAATGAAATCAAGGACACTCCACTTCCTCAGAGGAACTTTCATAATTTGTCGCTGGAAAATAACTTAGATCAGACACTAACTTGCTACATAGAGAAATCACCTGAGTGAGATATCAAACATATCAACATCTGTGAAAACTCTTCATCTTCAACTCTGAGGCTTGTTGATGAGTGTTGATATATTTGACATAGAAAGACACTCAGGTTGGATTCTATTAACTAAAATTATTCTTCCAACATTTTCAATTTGTAAATAGTTGTAACTATTCTCAGGAGTGATAAAGTACAACTAACCAGCTCTAATGTCATAGAGTTGGTGATGTGATTTAAGTGTGATGTCATGGTAACCAATGACATCACAATGAATGGTGATGCGATTTCATTGTAGTCATATATCCTTGGAAATATTGCTTGACATTTCTGGAAGCCAGCATTGGATAAAGTATCCACACTACCATCATTTAACTACACATATACCATGACTTTTCATATGATGTACCACACAAGGGAATGAAGGGCAACTCAGCATGCTTCCATGGCCCCTATTCATAGAACGTTAATGGTGTTAGGATATTCATAAGCCTATGATAAACTAATAGCATCAAGAGAGAATGTAAAGCTTTGTGGATCGAGAAGCCGAGCTCTAACTTGCAGTAAACAAAGAACAGGAAACTTGACTATTTTGTCTGTAATGCCATAATGTTCAAGAAAGGGCAGTTCAGAATGTATATTGAAGGGGGTGATATGGAACTTTTGTGTCAAAGTCTGACTGGTTCATGATGCCACTTACCTTCTAATACAAAACCCTCAATTATCTTAACTTTAACATTTCAAATGAAACAAGGTAGGAAGTAAAATCACCAGACACTTTGATTATTCCTTGTGTGATGGAGTGTGCGGGTGAGTTAGTATGGTTTTACAGCATTTTAGCAATATTCAGCAATATCATGGCAGGGGACACCAGAAATGGGCTTCACACATTGTACCCATGTGGGGAATCGAACCCGGGTCTTCAGTGACGAGAGGACGCTTTAGGCTACCTCACCATAGGCTACCCAACCGCCTCTATGCAATGGAGTTGACAGTGTATTTATGCAAGTTCTCAATTTGTACTATCAGGGCTTGACTGGCAAACCACAAGATGGATGTCAGGAGGGAAACAGAGGAAACTGGGCTCCTGTATGGATACAACCTTACAGTTGTCAGGTAGCAGGTCACTAATACCATGTGTTTCCGAAGCAGCCAGTTTAGTAGTTAACACAAGCCACTTGTTTATCATAACCATGTGACATTGCAGAATAAAGTATTCATAAAACCATTGTGTAATACTTTCGTGTACTTACAAGCAAGCAGGAGAATGTGACAGAATATTGGGACATACCTACACTTACAAGATCATGTATACCAGAATGACGTGAAGGCATATTAGAGGTTCCCATGCTTACAACACAATCTTCTTTCTGTACAGCAAAATGATTTGAAGACATTTTGGAGGTACCAAAGATTACTGCAAAGCTATTGTACAGCAGAATGACATGATGACATTTTGGAAGTGCTCATGCCTACATCACAAGCTTCTGTAGAGAAAAATGATGAGAAGACATTTTGGGGTACCCGAGACTACAACACAAGGTCCTGTATCGCAGAATAATGTGATGACATTTTGGAGGTACTCTAGCCTACAACATATGGCCCTGTATAGCAAAACAAAAAGACATGGTCATCAATATCCCCCGCCATAGTGTTCTGTTCCTGTTTGGTTCCTGTTTTTTAACTCCACCATGACATTCATGTCCTGATGTCAAGAAATGCAGGACAAGGGCCATAACTCTGTAACAAATTGTAACAGTTTCCGTTTTCGAACTCCATCAAGGCATTCATGTGTTGAAAACACATATCAAATTTGGTGTCTCTCTCTTTAAGGTTTTTTGAGAAAATCTGTCCCCACCATCTCGGGCGGATGGAGCTCAAACCAATATCACCCTCCCACTTTGTAGTGGGGGATAACAACGTGATGATATTTAGGACATGCCCACACCTAGACAGGGCTCCAGATAATTTTTCATGATCAGGTGTACGCAATCCGTATTTTTTCAATACAGGAGTACTGGAAAACAATAAGAGTACATTTAGAGTACTGAATAGAATTTAATGGAATATAAGTAATCCTGTGTTTCGTTTCATACATGCACCACAACATTGCTACTCTTGTGTGAACAGGTCAATGAACAATAAAACAACACTTTTTCAGATAAATACGTCTGTGATTCTAAGACCGTACACCATTGCTGTGGTGCGTATTTGCTACGTTTTATATATTATTTCCTACCATATCATACTTATTTTATATCCGTACATACGCCGATACAGGCCCTTATCTGGAGCCCTGCCTAGAGCACAAGCTTCTGAATGATGTGAAACAATCACTGGTACCTATGCCTATGGAGTAAGTTTTTCCACTGCAAGACGATGTTCAGGTTCACACAGCTAGAGTTACTCCATATCAAGAGAAAAATGTGAAGGCATCCTGGAGGTACGAGGTAGGAATATACAAGCACTCTCAAATACATACTTTCTAAAGCCTCAAATAATATTGAGAACAACACATTCAATCTTCCAACTTACAAAAACTGTCTGACCTTTAATCTAAATACACATATGTTAACAAGCAAAAACATGGACACCAGTCATACATACTCCTAAATTCAGCCATTCACGCAATCTTTCATCAAAACATGTTTTTCAGATCAGTTATTTACAGATGGGGAAAGCACCCTTCAGCACCCTGACTACATAATCAGATTCATTCTGTCCAAAAATAGATGTGCTATGTCTGATGGGTTGGTCGTGACATCAGGGAGCTGCTGTAAGTCAGGCTCCATGCAGTGTGAGTGTATCCCTGTGATGAGCCATGAGGTCAGGGGTCAGCGAGTCTCTGCCTTATGTTTGGGGGGACGGAAAGCACCCTTGGCTTTCTTGCTCTTGCTGCCCTTCCAGCTTCTCCAGCTGTCCACTCTGTCTGTGCGGCTTTCCTGAAGATAGTGAACAATGGATCAGTTGTACTTTGTATAATTATAGATAGATAAGTACAATGGCCTGATTGCAACATTATCACAGAGCGTATTTAATAACATGTATTTATGATAGAGTGTGGTGGTGGTGATATAAATTTAGCTAAACCTTAGAGGTTTCCAATTCTTTGAAGAGAATCGTCCTTGGGGTACATATATGCATTTTCTGCGGCTGAAAATGTCATGTGACAGTTGTATCAATGTTTTAATAAAAATATTGTACAATAAATAAAATCTTTTTTATTGTACAGTATTAACAGTATGCTTTCCCACCACATGATTAACCCCCTTACTACGCATGCGCAGCCAACCAGGTAAGCACCTAGGCCCGTATCATCATTCCTTCTGCTGAATAAATCAGTGAACAGAATTGTGGGGAGGTGGGTGGCCCTACCCCAAGGACGATTCTCTTCAAAGAATTGGAAACCTCTACAGGTTTAGCTAATTCTTTTTCATAGAGATCGTCCTTGGGGTACATATGTGCATTAACTCAGACTCCCAAAGACCGGAGGCTAGGGAGGAGGGAATTCTGTCAAAGTACACATAAATAGCGATCGTTAGGAATAATGTAACTGACGCCACAACACTCACCTGTAACTTGTCCTGAAGCTTCCGCGAGAGGGAGGAGAACCGATAGGAGAGCACCGAGAGCTGACCTCACAAGTTGAGCAAAACAATTCACACACTGTGCGAAAGGTAAAACCCGCCCACATCGTGAAATCTATAAAAGAACACCAATAGGGGGAAACCAACTCACAACCGACTATAATCTCATGAGAGAAATCGAAAGTAGGTAGATATGACAACAGTGGCTATATCAATTATACACAATTGAAAACAGCGTCATCTGTCCAGATAACCAAGACTCACTCAATCAGGGTGGCAGGACACTGTCCACTGGAGAGAACAGTACGGCCAAAACGCGCTCGATCACGTGAATGAGTATCGAGCTGATTGTGCCTTATAAAAGTGCTAGGTCGGCTCCAAATAGCGGCAGAGCATATCTCTTCAATGAGCAGTGCCAATGCAAAAGCCTTTGAAGTGGCCACTGCCCTGACTGAGTGAGCCTTCAACCCCTCAGGGCTTGAAGCCTGATAAGCTTACAAATGACCGATACAGACGCGAGAACGTTTGGACCGGCACAGCTTCAATCATAGCAGCAGAATGACAAATCCTGTATGAAGTTTGGCTGGTTTGACAGACAGGGTCTTACGGAACCAACGGTGATCCATTGCCAGCCCGGATGTGAAGCCGCCAGAGTAGGAAGGTGCTAGCCCTGTCACATGGAGCACCATCGACGCCAAGTGTGGAACCGCCACCAGAAATAGTGGTGTTAGATGAATGGAAATAGCCGACGAATGAGTCGAAGGACCGACAGCCAATCTTCCAATCAGGTCGAGCTTGCAGAAACTGCAATACTGCTGACTAAATCCGCAGAAAAGGGATCTGCAATCCCCTATCTGAACACCAGCAAGCATAGCGGAACCACCTATCCTCATATTGAGCGTTTGTCGAATCGAAGCCAGAATTGTGTCTGCAACTGCTGCAGGAATTCTGCGTGCTTCGAGGCTAGACCTGACAGAGGCCAAGCCACCCACTGAATCCTTGGATTGGGGTGTGGCGCGCCGTTCTGAGTGAGAATGTCAGAACAGGAGGCTGAGCCAGAAACCTGAGAATTACCGGAAACCAGCCCTGTGACGGCCATAGCGGTGCCAGTAGCACAAGTAGCTGAGCTGGCTGGGTGGACAGCTGGGAGAGGACCCGGGGAATGAGTGGTAGAGGCGGAAACTCCCACAGCACCTTGCCTGTCCAATCCAGCAGGAAGGCGTCGGAAGCCAACGCCCTCTGGTCCGGTATTTGAGAGCAGAACACAGGTATCTGATTCGTCCTGCTGGATGCAAACAGATCCACCTGGAATGATCCGTACAACTGGGAGATAACTCCGAATATCTGCCGGTCGAGCATCCACTCGTGCGGGGCCAGGATCCAGCGAGAGAGAGCATCTGCTCTCACGTTCTCCAGCCCCGGGAGATAAACAGGAATCACATAACAGTCGCACTGGTCGCACCAGAGGAGAAATTCCCACATCTCCCGAAGGAGCTCTAGGGACACTGTGCCGCCTTGCTTCAGGATGTATGTCATGGCTGTACGGTTGGCCCAACAAGACAAACCACCTGGCCCCACCGTGCTTGAAAACCAACCGCACAGCTCTCAGTTGTAAGACATTGATGTGAAGGCAGTCCTCGGCTTCGGACCAGAGTCCGGACACCGACAGACTGCCCAGAATACCCCCCAGCCCGTGAGGGACGCATCGGTTTGAAGTGTAAGAGCTGGCGTCGGGATTTCCAAAGGGACCCCTAGTGGAGAGATTCCAGACATTGGTCCACCACTGAAGGTGAGGAGACAACCACCTGGGGACTGTAAGACACTTCTCCAGATCCTCCGAGTGAGCCCACAGACTCGCCAAAGCTTGCTGTATTGGGCGCATCCTCAACTGCACCTGCCACGTGACAGAGAGAGTTGTCGCAAGTCTGAGATATGGCCCAGTCCTGTAGACTGGAGGGTCCTTGTGAGTTTGGAACCGCGCCCCGAGAAAAACCAAGTCCTGGGTGGGTACCAGGTCGGATTTCTTGAGGTTGATGATCCACCCCAGTCGAACTAGAACGTCTATCACTGTGTGGGTAGAATCTCGGCTCGCTGGCTGAGTTAGAGCGCTGAGCAACAGGTCGTCTAGGTAAGGGTAACAACGCCTTCCTTGCGACCTTGCGAGGGTAGCCGGCACTAACATGAGCTTGGTGAACACCCTGGGGGCAGTGGATATGGTAACCCATGCTGTCCTAAGAGAACCGGAGGTACTGCTTGAACGAGGGATGAATTGGCACATACGCATCCTTTAGGTTGATCGACGTAAGCCAATCGCCGGGCTGAACAGAGGAGATCACCGAGCGAAGTGTCTCCATCTTGAAGGATGGAACCTCTAACATGCGATTCAACCCCTTGAGGTTGAGAATGGGACGGAACCCGTCGTCCTTTGGAACGAGGAAGTACGTGGAATAAAACCCTGCCTGTTCCTCGCCCTATGCGCTCTATTGCAGACTTGTCTAGCAAAGCCTGAACTTCGTCTCGCAGTATACCCGCCTTGACCGGACATGACGGCACCGGAGTGCGCCTTATGCCGGTGATTTATGGCGGGCCTCGCTTCCACAGTGGTAGATGGCCGACACTGACGGTGGATAGCACCCAAGTGTTGCGTGTAGTCTTCACCCACTCCAGTAGGAATAGAGAGAGGCAGCCTCCCACTGGGATGTTCGGTAAGAGTGCGTGAGTGGCTCCTGAAGATGAACGGGCTGGGGTCGGGACAGACCCCGCGGTTTACTCCAAGGCTGCTACCCAGCGGCCGGGCCAGGGACGGCAGAGGCCTGCTCCTTGCCCTTATCTTTGGCGGGACGGCTCCTCCTCCTACCTCTACCCAGCGGCCGAAGCCAGACGGCAGACTCGGGCGTAGGCTGCGCCCCAGAAGCCCGCAATAGCCCCAACAAGGCCTTCGGGAAGATCGAACCTGAGGCGAGAACCATCACGTCCTGCACCAGGGAGGGCAAGATGCGGAGCTGTGTCTGAGAGGGCTGCCGAGTCAAAGCTACATGTCGGCACCGCGACTTGGGGAATATACTGGGCAATACGTTGCCTAACCTCCCGGAAAGATGACGAAAAACGGAAAGTACCCTCCGACTCCTCGACCTCCCCAACCTCCTTAGACTCAGCACCTGAGCCCGTGTCAGAATTCGGATCTCCACGCGAAGAGGAGCCGAACCCCAACTCGGTGGGAGGCTGAGCCACAGACGCCGCGTGAAGGGAAGAGCCAAAGGAACTCTCAGCTCCGGTAACCGACACTACACTCGAACCCCGGTCTCGAGACACGGGAGGAAGCCCGGACAGAACCGGCTCCTCCGCTCTCATGGGGCAGGATGGCGCAGGGACCGGAACCCCAGGAATCCTCAACGGACCCTGCGCCAACACCGAGAGAGGGACTGGGAGCGAACCCTCCCCCTCCAGGGTAGCCGAGGCATCCCGACTCAAAGCCAAAGGCAAAGGATCGATCAGCCCCCCGATCAGAGTGGGTGAGGAACTCCTGCCGGAGACCTACAACCGACTCGTGAACGAGTGACTTCACGGGGTCCATATGCTGTTGAAACAATTGTGTGATAACGGACATATCAAAACCACTGGATTGAGAATGAGAGTGTGACTTATGCGAAGTCGACTTAGATTTAGCCTTTTTGGCCTTGGACGGCCTCCCGCCTCCCGCAAATTCTTGTAAAAAAGGAAGTCAGCCGCCTGTCTCTTCTGGGCCCGGGGGGAAAAGCCACTACACAATTCACAGATGTCAGGGTTATGCCCTGCTTTCTCCAGACTGCATAAGCATTTATCATGCTTATCTGACCGAGGGATATTTTGCAGTACACCCCGTAAACGCCTGAAAGCAAACACGCAAGCATGTAGCTAACGGTGTAACACAACAGCATAACTATACACGTACAAAACATTGAAAATTACGTGAATGCGACAACGCGACATGAAATACTTAATAACGCAATATTTCAACCACGTGGCACGCTAAACTTCCCGCCATGGAATAGCAACACGTGCGTAAACCACGGGAAAGCTAGCGTAAAAGTTTAATATAAAGTCACATAAATGAGAAATAACGGACTGCAAAGTCCAGAAAACTTTTCTCAAGAACGAATAAAGACCATACATACAGTAGTTGAAGTCTCAGACATTCTTCCGATAAGAAGTAAATCAGAGTGACAGCAGAAGGAATGACATGTGTAGCAGGGGGGTAACTCCACGTGTTGGGGGGCCATATGATAAATAAAAAAGATTTTATTTATTGTACAATATTTTTATTAAAACATTGATTCAACGGTCACATGACATTTTCAGCCGCAGAAAAATGCATATATGTACCCCAAGGACGATCTCTATGAAAAAGAATGGTGGGGGAGGGCTCCGTACAGGATGAATATAACCTGTACAATAGTGGAGCAGGGCAGCAGGGTGGTAGTACTCTTTTGAAGATTTATGCCACAAGTGTCTAAAAGGTACATTTACCTCATAGTTCTTCTTCCATTCAGCTTCCACTTTCTTTTTCTCTTCATCATCTGCCTCTTGTTCTGCCTTTCTCTTCCTGGAGACAAAGATTGCAAGTTACATTGAGCAGAGACCGCAATATCCCTAGTGTGAGCAAGAGAAACGACCTCATTATCCCCAGATTCAGCCTCATTACCCCAAGTACTGGAAAGAGATATGACCTCATAAACCCAAGTATTACAAGAAATATGACCTCAATGTCCTTGATATTAGCAAGAGATACAGCCTTATTATCCCCATTGTTACAAGAGATATGGCCTTATTATCCCCATTGTTACAAGAGATACAGCCTTATAATCCCCATTGTTACAAGAAATATGACCTCAATGTCCTTGGTATTAGCAAGAGATACAGCCTTATAATCCCCATTGTTACAAGAAATATGACCTCAATGTCCTTGGTATTAGCAAGAGATACAGCCTTATAATCCCCATTGTTACAAGAAATATGACCTCAATGTCCTTGGTATTAGCAAGAGATACAGCCTTATAATCCCCATTGTTACAAGAAATATGACCTCAATGTCCTTGATATTAGCAAGAGATACAGCCTTATAATCCCCATTGTTACAAGAAATATGACCTCAATGTCCTTGATATTAGCAAGAGATACAGCCTTATAATCCCCATTGTTACAAGAGATATGGCCTTATTATCCCCATTGTTACAAGAGATACAGCCTTATAAAGAGATCCCTTATTATCCCCATTGTTACAAGAAATATGACCTCAATGTCCTTGGTGTTAGCAAGAGATACAGCCTTATAATCCCCATTGTTACAAGAAATATGACCTCAATGTCCTTGGTATTAGCAAGAGATACAGCCTTATAATCCCCATTGTTACAAGAAATATGACCTCAATGTCCTTGATATTAGCAAGAGATACAGCCTTATAATCCCCATTGTTACAAGAAATATGACCTCAATGTCCTTGATATTAGCAAGAGATACAGCCTTATAATCCCCATTGTTACAAGAAATACGGCCTCACTGTCCTAGGTATTAGCACGAGATATGGCCTCATTATCCCCACTATGAGACACTATTATCCCCACTATGAGACACTATTATCCCCACTATGAGACACTATTATCCGCACTAACCTCCTCTCGTGCATGTCTTTGGCCTCTCTTTCCTGCCGCATGCTCTCCAGATCAGCAAACAGTTTACATGTCTGCACATACACAGAATGCTTGTACTGAAAGAAAAGGCAGTCAGTGACAGTGACCTGGGGTTAATAGTATATTCATTGAGTGAGTGATACATACAACTTTTAAATTGTTCAAAGTGTACTTTCTACTATTTGGACACACACACTCACACACGCGCACGCAGGCACACACGTGCACACAGGCACACATGCACACACACACACACACACACACACAGAGCAAATGTGCTGTAAACCTTACCTTAACATTATCATCCTCGGGGACCGCTGTTGGTTTGCCTTCTTTCTTTAATTGTTTTCTCTTCTGCCGGAGCTGAAACACAAGACACACACTAATTCAACCCTAAACCTTTACACTCACTAACCATATCACACTGCATTTATTATGTAAAGAGCAATATTTCAGCTATATACAACAACAGCCTGCAATTCTGAGTAAAATGAGAGAGTGAATTTCATTTTATGCCGCTTTTAGCAATATTCCAGCAAGAAACACCAGAAACGGGCTTCACACATTGTACCCATGTGGGAAATTGAACCTGGGTCTTCAACGTGACGTGCGAATGATTTAACCACTAGGCTCTAGGTAACATGAATACTACCAGGACATAATAACACGAAATTAGCAATGTCACTGCGTATGACCACCTGAGGCACTATTACAGTTGGTTCTTTGTAAAAGCTAACAGAGTACAGAGCCTGTAACAAACATCCTGTGTAAAGAAGTTTTCATAACCATAGTTCATTTCAGTTGTCCCCCGTTATAATGTCACTGGAATATTGCTAAAAGCGGCGTAAACCCATACTGAAAGAATAACACATTCGCATCTGAGAAAACAACAAGCAGTCTTTCACCCACAACAGGCATCATCACCCACCATGTCATCTGTCCTTATTTGGGCCTCCTCTACAATCTCTTGACATCGCTTCAATCCTTCCTCATTCTCCAGGGTCTTGTAGGCTTTGTTCAAAGCTGAAAATAAATTCAGTGATTTTGACAGAGACATTTCAACAATGCATAAGTTCGAGTGCACCAAACAGTTGCCTGTCGGCAAGTCTTCATTCTTACATCCAGGAAATTTTGAGAAATAAATGGATAATGATTGAGTGGGTTTATAGACAGTCAGCAATATCACAGTTGCCCTCCCAGCAATCTGTAAACTGTAGACCCATGAAGATCTGGGTTACAATTGGTCTTCAGCAACCCATGCTTGTCATAAGAGGCGACTAACGGGATCAGGTGGTCAGGGCTTGCTGACTTGGTCGACACATGTCATTGTATCCCATTTGCGTAGATCGATGCTCATGCTGTTGGTCACTGGATTGTCTGGTCCAGACTCGATTATTTACAGACCGCCTCCACATAGCTGGAATATTGCTGAGTGCAGCGTTAAACAACAACCAAACAACCAACCAACCAACTGTACACTGTCAAACCAGAGGTGGATAGTGTGAGCATCTATCCACCCCTTTGTAGTATCGGAGACAATGTTTCTTTCCTGGCTGGACTGGCATGCTTAAAACAAGACAGCCACCAGCCCACCACATGTGAATACTTGCAAGCGTACAAATGACTAGTCTCGCAAGACATGTGGATGAACAAAGAAAATCTGATAAGGTTTACTATAAAAATTTACTATAGAATTTGAGATCTATCTTCAGTGATCTACATAAGATCAATCATTTTTGTCCACATCATATTCTGTATTTTACAGAAAATAGTAAAATTGATGAGATTCATAATTGCCCACTAACTGTTATTAAACCATTTCAGTTTCACCATGTTCTCTGACATCTGACACAAATGTATTTATGAATGAATTGTGTCTAACACAACTGTCAAATGCTCCAGGTCTGTCACACTGGTCTTAATAAGTCTGGGCAAGGCAAAGCAGAGCTTGACAGTATGAGAAAAAATCCTGTTGATAGACTACCTTGTTTCTACAGAAAGGAAGACAGTCTACCATATAAAGGGGGGATGGGTGGTCATAACATCTGTCATAGCAGCCTGAGTACATAAATTAATATACAGAATATTCAGATACCTATAAATTATTACTATATTTATGTGACAGAATGACATAATAACACAGACTGGTAGAGGGGGGCTTACCCCATCTTCTGGGTGAGCGGATCTGGTGCATGAGTACTTGCAGTTGAGGGTGTATCAACAAATCCCTAGTTGTACAGAGACATGAAGGAAGTAGGAAGACCAAATATGGTCGACAGGCTTGCTAATGTCCTCAGCCCATCAACTGAACATGATTGAAACCTTAAGTATGCTAGTACCTGTATCTATTGCCAGGGGAAAGGGTCTGTGTTCTGCTCGGCCGAAATAAAGAGGGTCAGACTTATGAAATCCAGTCGCACATTCTACTGACAGTAGTATTTCTTTGCAAATATGGAAACCGAGCTCCAACAACAGACCAGTTTATAGCAGGCATGGCTCAAATTGGTGATTTGATCATTTGAGCACTAAAGCAATTGTGCATTAAAGAATGCAGGACTCTCGCTGATGTTTGTTCATGAAGTGTTGATATTTTACCGTTGAAAAGGTAAAAGGCTGACCACAAGTTGGACTTCAAGTTGATGCCCAAACCTGGGAGGAGACGATATTCCTTATGCTGTGGGACATTCCATACTAACCAAGACCCACTGAGTAGGTGTGAACTAAATACAAAAAGGGCTTTCTAAATCCATGTCTTTTATGGGGTAGCCTAGTGGTTAAGGCATTCACTCATCACACTGAAGACCTGTGTTTGATTCCCCACATGGGCGCAATGTGTGAAGCCCATATGAGGTGTCCCCTGCCATGATATTGCTGGAATATTGCTAAAAGCGGCGTAAAAACTAAACTCGCTCACTCACTTCCATGCATACATTGTTAGTGTGAAACAGCATGTTGAGACATGGTGATGGAAAATTATAAATTGTATAATTCAACATGACTTGTAACTGGTGTAAACTTACAAACCTTCAAATGCCTTCTGGGATCGGTCCTTGTCATCCAGGTTCTTGTCAGGATGAACCAAGATGGACATCTAAAACACTCATCAGATTATTGCACTTATAAACCAGTGTGTGTGCGTGGGGTCGGGGGAGTCAAGCTAACCAAGATACCAGTTTGTCAGTAGACAAGCCAGTGATGGAACTGACAATTCCAATATGGTCAAAAATAGGTGACAGGAAAAGTCAAGCCCCATACTGCCCTATGGTGTATTGCCCCATACTGACCATTGCTGACCCTATGGTATATTGCCCCATACTGACCACTGCTGACCGCATGGTATATTGCCCCATACTGACCATAGCTGACCCTGTGGTATATTGACGTGTATTGCCATGTACTGACCCTATGGTGTATTGCCAAATATTGACTCCTCTGTGCATTACCACAGACAGACCATACTGTGTATTATCATCATAGTCCTTACTGTGTATTACTACAGTCTCACCCCGCAGTGTATTGCCCCAGTCTGACCTCCTGGTGCATTGTCATACACTGGTTACAGCCAGTGATGCTCACCTGTCTGTACTTCTTCTTGACATCTGCAAGGGGAAGGTCAGGGTCAACTTGAAGGACCTGTGAAAGACAGCATCAATGGAGATCATGAAGAACCCAATTAATGAACCTTGGAATATCACTTCGGGAACACACTCAGAGGGGCAACCACTCATCAACAAATTATTCTCACTTTCTTGATGGTATGATCTGATTTTCACTATTACCTGGTGATAATACAGATGGCATTACAGATAGTATCACATGTTTATCATACAAATATGTCATAAATAAAATTAGTATCAAGTGAGAGTGATTCATAAACACATGCTTCAGATACACATTCATTGGAAATCATACAATGGAATGTTTCATATGACAACAGGAAGGGTTATGTCACTTTGACTAAACATAATAGCATGAACTCAGAAATGTCAATTTCCAGATTGGGCCACTCAGAATTACTTTTGACTCAGGGCTGAATATCAGCCAATAACATAATAACAATGTGTCCATTTATATAGCGTAGAACTCCACACTAGGTATGCTCATAGCGCTAACAATCAAGGCACAGCACATTATTACCCCGGATAACCCAAGCTGCCTGTTAGGCGCTAGAAGGTTATAGTCACATGACTTTTTCCACTGGGTACCCATTTTCCTGCTGGGTGAACAGAGGCAATTTCGAACAAACTCACTTGCCTAAGGTGAGACTACATGTATCACATGTGCTTCATTGTGGGGCAGGACTTTAGTCCTAGAAACTCTCATGAGTCAAGCCGCCAAACACGGTCACCCATCCAAGGACTCTCCGAGCTCGATGCTGCGTAACTTCACTTATTTGTGACCTGAGCTTTGTGCACAGGACCATGCACCACCACCAACCTGAATCCCTGCATAGCTATGGTGCTGACATGATAATGGTCTTAATCAGGATGACTTGTACTCAAAAACAAATAGTCCTGGCTGAGCTTTTTTCAACACACCCACATCCACCCTCAGTTTACTCACAGAACATGATATTATATACATGAAATTGATGATTGGTACATTGCCACCGATCAATCATCGAAAATAATTGGTTAGCGTCATTTATAAAATTTGTTAATGCAAAAATAAGGAAAAAATCATGTACTTTCTACTTAGGTTTGTTTTTTGGGGCAAAATTTCACATCTTTAAAGGATGACTAGTATGTTAGGAACTTAAATTTCTTGGTGTCTTTAAGATAAATTCAATCATGATTTGGAAAGAGCTTGTAGTGCTTATGAAATGTAACAGACAAAACCAACCTTGTGAAAAATGATGTTGATGAAAACAAGTTTTCCAGAATTGTTTGTGTTCGATTATGGTCACTGCGACCAATCTTCGATAATTTCAATTAATAGGACCACCACTAGTTACCATGACAACAAATTTTACTCACATAAAACCTTATTGCTTGTAGAGCTATGGCATTATGGTTTGGTTCATGAAAGAAACATACAAACAATAATGAAATTTTAACCAATTCCCAACACTAATGGTAACCGGTGTATATTTACATCAAAAGGGTTGAGGTTGAAGTATGTGGAGCCTGGTCTGTTGAGGCGGTCTATCTGCTGCTTTGGGGTGAGCACCGAGTCTCTGTGCTCTATGGCTTTAACCTGCAAAGCAAATACATGAACAAATTATAACCTCTTGTAAACAAATGTCAACTTGAATATATGGATAATAAACTATTTCAGTCAAACGTACAATGAGTATTTGTCCAACACATAGTGAATTTGTGTTAAAGAGGCGTTGATCTATAGCTCCAACATGGAAGTCTAACACTGCAACCTAGGTCATATAAGCTGCTGTGAGGCGATGTGCCAGTGGAGTGAGTGAGTGAGTTCAGTTTTACGCCGCACTCTGCAATATTCCAGCTATATGGCGGTGGTCTGTAACGTGCCAGTGGATGCAACTGAGTGTGACATGAGACTGAGCTACTGTCTCTAAGGACAACTGACATAAACTTTGAGACAATGTTTATACACATATATGCATAGCATAATTAGTTTCGTCAATCTAAACAAGAAGACAAAAAGAACAGTGGAAGCCCATTGAAGCCGTTATTTGGAAACATCCCTGATGGTTCTTTCTTATCTTAATAACATATCCTAGCAGTGCAAGCCTTTTCTGATTCCAGTGCATGGATGGTGTGATGACTCATATGCATATGGATCCCATTTTGTGTTTAATCATATCATGAAATAATGTCATGCCAAATGGCCTACAAAATTGATACCACAGATTTCATGTATTTGAAGATGTAAGTTGTAACCTACATAACACCCATTTTGACATTGCTATTATTTCAGAATCCACTTTGGTAAATATAAATATACAATAACTAACTTGGTTATTATAGCAAATGCATTTAGATGTTATTTATGCAACAATAAAGTTCTATTCGTATCCCCAAAACAGTAATAACCCTTTTTAGGCAACTAATTTCCATACCATACAATAATTACTACTCCCTTGTTGTCATCCATGTTTGGTGGTATGAATCTACACCTGTATACTACTATTTGTCATCAATCATCTGATGCTCAGTTAATGAATTTGTAACAGGCATAGTTAGTGGTAACCCCACTTAGATTAATTGTCAAAAATTCCCATTTGTCATTTTTTATGTCTGGGGTAATCACTCACATTTATAAATTCAGGTCTGATGTTGCAAAGGTACATGTTATATAATATGCACATGGAAAGATTAACCAATAATACATAGATTAATCACTGTAACCTAACACAGTGGATTTGTTAAAAGTGTTTATATATGAGGTTAACTACACACATATCCATATCAGAACATACCCAAAAAGTTGTAAAGTGCCTTTGTAAAAAAACATCCTTTGTTTAAATGATTTCTGGTGTACACGTGTATCTGTACAATATGATTCACTTAGGCAATTTATATGCCTTGATCTTTCTGCCATTTCACACACTGACTGAAATAACAGATTCACTAAAATATTAAGTTCCAAAGTCCACAAAAACATGATAATAGATTAATTAATATTTTTTTTACAAATTGTGAAAGATGGAACATATCTGTTGACTACTGATTTGAACCTTGGACTCAGGTGAATTCAGGTGTTATCACTGAGGGAACAAGCAAGTAACGATTAAGCTACATTGATCCTATGGTTTCAGAGATGATGTTGACAATGAACATGGTGAAAGGAAATGTAATTGGAGACAATCTAGGAGAAATGGTCAATGTGCAAAGGTCAAATTAAGGTAAACGAAAGGTAAACAAGGATATTCTCATATCAGGAACTATGTCTAGTAACAATGCTTTGTTCTCATCGTGGAGGAGGACAAGTCATCAGTGATGATGTCATCAGCTATGTCATTGCCCGAGCTAGCTTGTATTGTTTACTTTGGAACTAATCACAATGGCAATCTACTGCAAGATTCATACATCTTGAACACGTTGAACAATGTTAGGTGCAATCATTCATGGTAAAAGGTACATGAAGTTTTGATGTCATGAGTCTAATGGTTTCAGAGATGTTTAATACTCATGATACGCGATAGATGCCACGCAAACAGGCTACACTTAGTTTACACTTCTGTTACTATTACTTGGTGTAGTCAAATAACACATTTAAAATGCAAACACACATTTTTGGTCTTTACAGTATTCCATGGTACAAAGAGTTATTTTGAGGCATGGTTTAACATGATCTTCTGTCTTTCTTTGCATTTGTATACGGATTAAGCTGTACACTCAATAACAAAGCTTTTGTCATTCTGACCTATAAACATACTGCAAAGAAGTTTAAACAGTCTATATTATGACTAAATCTTCTTCAAATGATGCATTTCACAGGCCAACTCTTGTCATATTGATACGAGTTTCAGCTCCTTCCTAAATAATGGTTTCTAATTTGTACATGTAGTAGGATGTAATTTTTACCAATCTTTGAAACAAACCATCTGAGCATACATTGGCTTGACCCCAAAAGTAAATCTTAGTAAGTTTTCTTTTTAATTACCAAAGTTCACGAAAAATGATGCCAGAGTAAGACCCTGGCTAAAAACCGGTCAACATGATATATGTGATAGCCTGAATCTACTTCTGAAAATGATGCCAAGGTTTACTGAAACAGGGAGGCCATTTTGTCACGACACTGGAGTCATTTCTTCCTCAAAGAGTGAAACAAGGCCCCTGATCTCACTAACAATCTGGTAGATTGCATCTGAGACAGTCTCTGCTAATTTGAAAGTGTAAATGACAGTGACCAACCAGCTGACGAGGTAATTCATACGAATTACCTTGACAGGTCTGGATCAAAATATGCAACCAGCAAGTATATGTTTACCTGCTGGTAAAAGTCATCAAATATTTCTCCTGTTTGTCCTGCGCCCTCGGTAGGATTAGGGGGCTCCGCGGGCGGTGTTTCAGAAGGTGGCTGCGAAGTGGGTGCCGCCATTTTCACTGTTTGTAAATAAATTTTGGGAAACAAACTGCACGCGATGATACCAAGGGAGGTAAGTTAGCACGAAGAAGTAACCGCGAACATACCACTAAAAATTAAGCCGTTCTGGCCTTGTTTTGTAACAAAAGACGAACCGGTATAAAATACTGGTTACTGTCAAACTACAAGTTAACATCAACACATGTTTCTGATTTTGTTCCATAGATATTTAAACGTGTCAAAGGCATTTTAAAAGTGTGCTTCCACATGTCAGTTAAGCGCCTGTCGATCGATACTCGTAAGAGGCGACTAACGGGATCCAGTGGTCAGGCTCGTTGACTTGGTTGACACATGTCATCGTATCCTATTTGCGTAGGTAGATGTTCATGCTGTTGATCACTGGATTGTCTGGTGTAGACTCGATTATTTACAGACCGCCGCCATATAGCTGGAATATTGCCGAGTGCGGCGTAAAAGTAAACTCACTCATTCTTTGTAGATACAGGGAGAGATAAATGTGTTTGTGTTGTTCTTTACTGGCGTTTGTCTGTTTGGGATCCCGTGTTTTTTAGATAGTTTGTTGAGATACCCGTGTGTTTGAGTTGGTTTGTCCAGGCACCTGTGTGTTTGAGATGGTTTGTTCAGATACCCGTGTGTTTGAGATGGTTTGTTCAGGCACCCGTGTGTTTGAGATGGTTTGTCCAGGTACCTGTGTGTTTGAGATGGTTTGTTCAGGTACCCGTGTGTTTGAGATGGTTTGTCCAGGTACCTGTGTGTTTGAGATGATTTGTTCAGGTACCTGTGTGTTTGAGATGGTTTGTTCAGGTACCCGTGTGTTTGAGTTTGTTTGTCCAGGTACCTGTGTGTTTGAGTTTGTTTGTTCAGATACCCGTGTGTTTTGAGATGGTTTGTTCAGGTACCTGTGTGTTTGAGATGGTTTGTTCAGGTACCTGTGTGTTTGAGATGGTTTGTTCAGGTACCTGTGTGTTTGAGATGGTTTGTTCAGGTACCCGTGTGTTTGAGATGGTTTGTCCAGGCACCTGTGTGTTTGAGTTGGTTTGTCAGGTACCTGTGTGTTTGAGATGGTTTGTTCAGGTACCTGTGTGTTTGAGATGGTTTGTTCAGGTACCTGTGTGTTTGAGTTGGTTTGTCCAGGCACCCGTGTGTTTGAGATGGTTTGTCCAGGTACCTGTGTGTTTGAGATGGTTTGTTCAGGTACCCGTGTGTTTGAGATGGTTTGTCCAGGCACCTGTGTGTTTGAGATGGTTTGTCCAGGTACCTGTGTGTTTTAGATGGTTTGTCCAGGCACCCGTGTGTTTGAGATGGTTTGTCCAGGCACCTGTGTGTTTGATGGTTTGTCCAGGCACCTGTGTGTTTGAGATGGTTTGTTCAGGCACCTGTGTGTTTGAGATGGTTTGTTCAGGCACCTGTGTGTTTGAGATGGTTTGTTCAGGCACCTGTGTGTTTGAGATGGTTTGTTCAGGTACCCATGTGTTTGAGATGGTTTGATTGTACAGGTACCTGTGTGTTTGAGTTGGTTTGTTCAGGTACCCGTGTGTTTGAGATGGTTTAATTGTTCAGGTACCCGTGTGTTTGAGTTGGTTTCTTCAGGGTTTCTTCACCCGTGTGTTTGAGATGGCTTTTGTTCAGATACCCGTGTGTTTGAGATGGTTTGTTCAGGTACCTGTGTGTTTGAGATGGTTTGTACAGGTACCCGTGTGTTTGAGATGGTTTGTTCAGGTACCTGTGTGTTTGAGATGGTTCGTCCAGGTACCCGTGTGTTTGAGATGGTTTGTTCAGGTACCCGTGTGTTTGAGATGGTTTGTTCAGGTACCTGTGTGTTTGAGATGGTTCGTCCAGGTACCCGTGTGTTTGAGATGGTTTGTTCAGGTACCCGTGTGTTTGAGATGGTTTGTTCAGGCACCTGTGTAACCCATTCACTGTTAGTAAGCTTAGTCATCATGCCATAAATGACGCTTTTTTCGGCCACAATAAATTTAGTTTTGGTTTTTAAGATTCTGCAAAGGACTTGTATTTTCATCATACTCATATCATTACCTCGTCTACAAACGAACGTAAATGTGAAAAGGTATCGATATTTGACAGTATGCTTTACTTTCGAAGTAATCTGTTTAAGGAGACACCACATTTGCTGCTTATTGTGATATAAAATAATTTAAATTCCTTCTTCCTATTTCCAATTTAGTGGGCTAAAATAATAATAATATATTGTGAGGTGGTAGTGGCCTAATTTACTGATCTGTCAAAGTAACTCCATCAGACTACAAGCATAATGGTAATACATGGGCGGATACAGATGTTTTGAGGGTGTGTGTGCATACTCTTGAGAAAGGGTGGGTGGGGTGGGTGCAAACTTCATTTTCACATTTTACGAGAGTTTATGTGTAGTTTGTAGCTAGATTGGGAGGGGGCGCACCCTGCTCACACACCGAACATCTCTCCCCTCCCCACCCCCCCCCCGATCATACTATGTATTAGTGGCATATCTGATGTGCTGATTTTATAGGTTTTTAAAACATTCGAGCATATATTTCCAAGAAAACAAAATCCAAGATCCAAAATCCAGATATAATTTCAATATAATCAGGGCATTTATGGACCCTTCGGTAACCACCATTTTGATTCCTTTAAGGAAGTAAGAACTTCAATGCATTCATGATGCAGTTTGTATAAAAATCAGCTTTTTTGTTATTGTCCACTCATTCTATTCCAGTATTTTTTGTTCTTCATAAAATGCCAACCCAAATTGGAGGAACAAACTGAGAGAGAAACTCTATTCCACCGCGTGCTACGTTCGCTTTCCTGTGACAGTGCATGGAGTTTGGCTTGCCAGCAACCAATGTAAGCTCTTTTCATTGCATAGGCCTCGCATCCTCGACAATGTTGTGCATACACAATAATATACAGCGCTTAGAGCTTTGGGAAGCTTGTTTCAAAATGGCGGAAAGTTTAAGACAAGCACCGACACATTTTTAGTTTCGTTGAATTGTTTGGAGTTAAAATCTTGTATATATTTTCAAACTTTTGTGTCAAATAGTAAAGGAGTCATGGGATACACTCAGCTGGAACGTATTTAAAACACTCACTCATGGAAATAATTCACCAAGCTCTTTTGTGCTGTGAAATTCACGATTTTGACATTTTCGTATAAAATCAGAAAATAAATAGATTCACCATGTCACGAAGATTCACAAAGGAGGAATTAGACGATCAGTTTGAAGCTTTCCTGAAACAGGTACGCCTTATACACGATCATGTCATAGTACTGAGGTTAGATACTGTTTACGATAACAATTATATACAACTTTGAACTTACAAACATTGGTGGCAAGGGCTGCATAGTGAGATATGATTAATGTTTTTTGAAAACCTTTTAGGGTAATTCTGACTAGGTACTTAGTACTCTATCGTATTGTAATGTAAATAATGCTCTTTTATTTAATCATTGTTTATTGACTGTTTTGCAAGAACATGGCAATAAAGCTAAGAACCATCCCCACACTGAAGACATGATATTTTACTGCCATCTGATAAACTGCTCATCCACCGCATTTCATAAATACACAAACACATGATGGATTTATCAATCACATATGTATTTACAACAGGATACATATATAGTTTAGCCATTCATACCCAGGACAGTGTGTTTTATTGATTTGAATTTCCTTTCAACAGATGATTCACTGGCTAGATGAACAATATACAGTGATAATGCCCTAACCATGTTAATTGTAGTAAGGAAACACTTTTGATATTCATGATACTACCAATTTTGAAAGGAAACGGAGGTAATTAAACTGAAATGTGACTGATAATTACAAAGCATTTTTGCAGTATCTGGAAACATTACTTAGTATCAGCTTCTCCAATTTTCAGCTGATCAAGCTAATGTCCCAAACATTGTTTTTGTTAATTTAAGATAAAAAGTGAGCCTGTCAAAACATATACTTTGTGAAGACAAAATCTGACTACTGTTTAGTCGTCTATTGCAATAATGTACAATTTTGCAAGTTAAATATGTTAAATCACTGTCTAACAATGTTGCTTACCAGGATAAGTATTTTTGACATACATGCAAAACTGTCTGTGGAGGTATGTGTCACTTCGTCATGCAAGGAACTTCGAATAATTGCTTGAAATCAGATTTACCTAGAAGTAGAACCTTTCTCTGGCAGCATGATGCCCAGGCTATTTCAGTGTCACTGAAGGGATGAATGTCTGGCCTGTCTTACCTTGGTCTTCCCTTCAACGATATGCTGACATGCCTTGACTTCAACCCTGTTCAGGGGCGGTGGGGTAGCCTAGTGGTTAAAGCGTTGGCTCGTCACGCCGAAGACCCAGGTTCGAATCCCCACATGGGTACAATGTGTGAAGCTCATTTCTGGTGTCCCCGGCCGTGATGTTGCTGGAATATTGCTAAAAGTGGCGTAAAACCAAACTCTGTCAGTCAGTCAGTCAACCCTGTTCAACCCAACTCAAGTTAAACCCAACTTTTTCATTTTCAGTCTGTTTCGTCAGATGAGTCATTTGAGACCTTGCAGAAGAAGTCTGCCAAGATAGCTGAAGCGAGGAAGAAGAGGGAAGTGAAGCCATGGTGGCTGGATGATGATGACCAAGACAAGAAACTTGGCTCAGGTCATACACAGGATACTGTTTCTCTGTACTTTTGATACAGTATTGTATCCCCATAAACACAAAATAAACTGATACAAATTTCTCAGATTTGATAACCATTCATTCAGGGTTTTGATTCACATGCAAAAGAACATGTGATCAAATCATCACATAGACATACTGTAGATCATGTTGTGACTCATGTTGCACCTAATGCTTCTCTTGCCAGGATTTCATTGTATCAATATTAGTATCATTACAACTCTAGTGATGTGTGAATGGAATTTATCTGTCAGATGGAGTAACTGTAGAAAATCTGTGATCTTATCTGTGACAGTCAAAATATTTAAAGAATCTGCTGTCCCTTTCTGGCTTCAGTTTTAGTATATATTAGTCCAGATGATACTCATTATCCTGATTTAATAATTATGGTATTAACTGTAATTAGATGCTTTGTAATGATATGATATATAGTAAGGTTAGGATACCTTACATGATAAATGAGAACTTCATTTCAGAAATTGTATACTGGAGTGTCATTTTCAAAGGTCCAGATTTGAACTGAAGCCTACCCAAACTTGCAGAAATGGCTTGTGAGTCACCACACACAGGCTTGACTTATATCCTCCACACTACAATGCATAGTTCTAATAGCTGACTACTTTGTGTTATTAAGGAGTATTATCACTTATAGGATTGACATCGAGTGGGAAGAGTTTCCTGAAGACAAAGAAGAGTTCAGATAAAAAGAAAGTATCTGAGAAGTCAGTGAAAGGTACGAAGGCCGGAGTTGGGAAAGTGAAAGTGAAGTCCAAACAAGAGAAGACATGTTAGAAAGAAAGATGTGAGTTTTTGTGTACATATGTTTTAGCTTATTCATCAACATCCTTGTGCCTGGGAGAACCAAAATTATAAACTGTCATAGTCATGGTAGTTTCAGTTATGAAATTTTATGATAAAAATAGAATATGAATACATGTAAACTATTAAATGGTATTGGTAATACAAGTATTCTGCTTTAGGTGTCCCCAAAACGTGCTGGTCGAGGGAGGACAGAAGCTTCTATGAGTAAAGACAGTTTGGAAGACAGTAAGTGTGTATCATGTTTAGCGAAAAACATTACCCTCACTATAAGTTGGTCTTAATTACACACATGACATGAATATGGTGTGGTGTTCATATGCTGGTCAGTTGGCTGGAGTAGCCCAGATGTCACGTCAATGACCCAAGTTCACTTCCCTCCATCATACATGGATGGGTACAAAGTCTGAAGCTGATTTCTTGTGTTGAACATGCTGGTTTATACTTGTGGTCCTGACATCCTCATCTTGTTTACTTGAAGCCATGCCTCATCTCATCTCATTTGTCAACATGACTCTGTCAGTGCTGTGTATTTGCTCATAGTTACTTCTTCAGAGGTATGGGGCGGTGGGGTAGCCTAGTGGTTAACGCGTTCGCTCATCACACCGAAGACCCAGGTTCAATTTCCCACATGGGTACAATGTGTGAAGCCCATTTCTGGTGTCAACCACCGTGATATTGCTGGAATATTGCTAAAGGAGGCATAAAACTAAATTCACTCACTCGCTCTTCAGAGATACTAAACATGTTGAAAGAGTCATTTGTGTCAGCTTGTTTACCATTAGACATGTCCAATAATGATACATGTTGTTAACTTTAGCTAACAGGAAAAAGAAATAATTTCATACTATGTTTACAGTGTAAACAGATGAAAGAGAAAGGCCTTACAGTTTGTAGCTAGGTGAAAAATTTGTAATCTTGTTTCAGTATCGGAGAAGTCCGAGGAGAATGACGCAGGGGAAGCTGCCAGGTGAGTGTGTTTTCAGGACTACATAAAGTTTTTGATAGTTTAACAGTAATTGCTTAAGACAAATACCTTGAACATTTGTACCTAATAATGTGTTCTTTGTAGGATTGTTGGCCTTGATTCCAGCCTGGACACAACACGAGAGAGTTACACAGCAGGTGAGGCGTGTGCATATGCTGTCATACTTCCTGTAGACCTTGTTATTGCCATATACATTTACAACAGATTTATTGCAACCCTCCTGGACAGGATCATAAAATATAGTTTATTTTTCCTGTACACCTTGTTATTGTATATATACAATAAATTTGCTGGTAGTATTTCAAATTTTAGGTGTATATTATCATTTAAATATGTTTCTTTGACAGTATGTCTAATTGGTGGCCTGCCATTGATATTGTAAGTTGTATTTATGAATGAAGCCAGATCGCCATGGTAACAGGTGACTCTGTAAGTCATGTCACTTTAAACAAACTTACATGATAAGTCAAAGGGATTGTCCAGACAAAGTATGGGCCACTGTACCAACTATATTTTCAGACGGGTAATTATGAAAGTATTAGAGCATGGTCCCTGTGTATCTTGCGATAATAGCATGCATCTTCTTCAGATATGTTAACTGACCGACAAGACAGCCCAGAAAAACTTGGCATGGACACCCTTGATGAACTAGCAGATAAACAGAGGTTCTATAATGTGAGTAATCCCTGCTGGTGAGATAATGGGTAACAGTGGCTGATCCAGGCTTCACAAACATTGTATGATGTTGTGAGTTACCTCCATTGATGAGTTTGTGGACATACAGAGGTGCTATATTGTGATCACAAGTTGTGGTGAACTTCAAATGATACAGCAGGCATTGTTTGTTGCAGGAGGTAGAGACTGATGGTACAATAGATTACGGACAACTGAACCGTGATCTGAGTCAAACAGCAACAACACTGTCCCCAAAGTTAGCTGGTGTTCAAGTGGATGACTCTCGCAATACAGCCATGCACGATAACTCCAGGGTGTCTGGTAGCCAGGGAGGTCCAACAGAGAGGGTAAGTCTTCAATCACTGTTATGCCTGAGAGACATCGCCATGCGTGTTGGTAGACATTGTCATGCTTGTTGGGAGACATTACCATGCTTGTTGGGAGACATTGCGATGCTTGTTGCTAGACATTGTCATGCTTGTTGAAAGACATTGCCATGCTTGTTTGAAGACATTGTCATGCTTGTTGGAAGACATTGCCATGCTTGTTTGGAGACATTACCATGCTTGTTGGAAGACATTGCCATGCTTGTTGCTAGACATTGTCATGCTTGTTGGAAGACATTGCCATGCTTGTTTGGAGACATTGTCATGCTTGTTGGGAGACATTGCCATGCTTGTTGGGAGACATTGCCATGCTAGAACATTATCATGCTCGTTAGGAGACATGTTGGGAGACATTGTCATGCTTGTTGGGAGACATTACCATGCTCGTTGGGAGACATTGTCATGCTTGTTGTGAGACATTGCCATGCTTGTTGAGTGACATTGCAGTTTGCATGCTTGTTGGGAGACATTGTCATGCTTGTTGGGAGACATTGCCATGCTTGTTGGGAGACATTGCTATGCTCGTTGGGAGACATTGTCATGCTTGTTGAGAGACATTGCAATTTGCATGCTTGTTGGGAGACATTGCCATGCTTGTTGGGAGACATTGCCATGCTTGTTGGGAGACATTGTCATGCTCATTGGGAGACATTGTCATGCTTGTTGGGAGACATTGTCATGCTTGTTGGGAGACATTGCAATTTGCATGCTTGTTGGGAAACATTGTCATGCTTGTTTGGAGACATTGCCATGCTCATTGGGAGACATTACCATGCTTGTTGGGAGACATTGTCATGCTTGTTGGGAGACATTGTCATGCTTGTTGGGAGACATTGCCATGCTTGTTGGGAGACATTGCAATTTGCATGCTTGTTGGGAAACATTGTCATGCTTGTTTGGAGACATTGCCATGCTCATTGGGAGACATTACCATGCTTGTTGGGAGACATTGTCATGCTTGTTGGGAGACATTGTCATGCTTGTTGGGAGACATTGCCATGCTTGTTGGGAGACATTGCAATTTGCATGCTTGTTGGGAAACATTGTCATGCTTGTTTGGAGACATTGCCATGCTCATTGGGAGACATTACCATGCTTGTTGGGAGACATTGTCATGCTTGTTGGGAGACATTGTCATGCTTGTTGGGAGACTTTACCATGCTTGTTGGGAGACATTGCAATTTGCATGCTTGTTGGGAGACATTGCCATGCTTGTTGGGAGACATTGCTATGCTCGTTGGGAGACATTGTCATGCTTGTTGGGAGACATTGCAATTTGCATGCTTGTTGGGAGACATTGCCATGCTTGTTGGGAGACATTGTCATGCTTGTTGGGAGACATTGCAGGTTGCATGCTTGTTGGGAGACATTGTCATGCTTGTTGGGAGACATTGCCATGCTCATTGGGAGACATTACCATGCTTGTTGGGAGACATTGTCCTGCTTGTTGGGAGACATTGCCATGCTTGTTGGGAGACATTGCCATGCTTGTTGGGAGACATTGCCATGCTCGTGGGAGACATTGTCATGCTTGTTGGGAGACATTGTCATGCTTGTTGGGAGACTTTACCATGATTGTTGGGAGACATTGCAATTTGCATGCTTGTTGGGAGACATTGTCATGCTTGTTGGGAGACATTGCTATGCTTGTTGGGAGACATTGTCATGCTTGTTGGGAGACATTGCAATTTGCATGCTTGTTGGGAGACATTGCCATGCTTGTTGGGAGACATTGTCATGCTCATTGGGAGACATTGTCATGCTTGTTGGGAGACATTGTCATGCTTGTTGGGAGACATTGCAATTTGCATGCTTGTTTGGAGACATTGTCATGCTTGTTGGGAGACATTACAATGCTTGTTGGGAGTCATTGTCATGCTTGTTGGGAGACATTGTCCTGCTTGTTGGGAGACATTGCCATGCTTGTTTGGAGACATTACCGTGCTTGTTGGGAGACATTACCATGCTTGTTGGCAGACAGTGTCATGCTCGTTGGGAGACATTACCATGCTTGTTGGGAGACATTACCATGCTTGTTGGCAGACATTGTCATGCTTGTTCGCAGACATTGTCATGCCTGTTGGCAGACATTGTCATGCCTGTTGGGAGACATTGTCTTGCTTGTTGGGAGACATTACCATGCTTGTTGGGAGACATTGCAATTTACATGCTTGTTGGGAGACATTGCCATGCTTGTTGGGAGACATTGCTATGCTCGTTGGGAGACATTGTCATGCTTGTTGGGAGACATTGCATGCTTGTTGCATTGCCTTGTTGGGGAGACATTGCCATGCTTGTTGGGAGACATTGTCATGCTTGTTGGGAGACATTGTCATGCTTGTTGGGAGACATTGGGGAGACATTACCATGCTTGTTGGGAGACATTGCCATGCTTGTTGGGAGACATTGTCCATGCTTGTTGGGAGACATTGCCATGCTTGTTGGGAGACATTGTCATGCTTGTTGGGAGACATTACCATGCTTGTTGGGAGACATTGCCATGCTTGTTGGGAGACATTGCCATGCTTGTTGGGAGACATTGTCATGCTTGTTGGGAGACATTACCATGCTTGTTGGGAGACATTGCCATGCTTGTTGGGAGACATTGCTATGCTCGTTGGGAGACATTGTCATGCTTGTTGGGAGACATTGCAATTTGCATGCTTGTTGGGAGACATTGCCATGCTTGTTGGGAGACATTGTCATGCTTGTTGGGAGACATTGCCATGCTTGTTGGGAGACATTGTCATGCTCATTGGGAGACATTGTCATGCTTGTTGGGAGACATTGTCATGCTTGTTGGGAGACATTGCAATTTGCATGCTTGTTTGGAGACATTGTCATGCTTGTTGGGAGACATTACAATGCTTGTTGGGAGTCATTGTCATGCTTGTTGGGAGACATTGTCCTGCTTGTTGGGAGACATTGCCATGCTTGTTGGGAGACATTACCGTGCTTGTTGGCAGAAAGTGTCATGCTCGTTGGGAGACATTACCATGCTTGTTGGCAGACATTGTCATGCTTGTTGGGAGACATTACCATGCTTGTTGGGAGACATTGTCATGCTTGTTGGGAGACATTACCATGCTTGTTGGCAGACATTGTCATGCTTGTTGGGAGACATTACCATGCTTGTTGGCAGACATTGTCATGCTTGTTGGGAGACATTACCATGCTTGTTGGCAGACATTGTCATGCTTGTTGGGAGACATTGCCATGCTTGTTGGCAGACATTATCATGCTTGTTGGGAGACATTGTCATGCTTGTTAAGATGAATGCATCTGTTGTTACAAGTTATCATTGCTGAGGTACATTGCTATGATTCTTACAGTTACAATAATGGTTGAGTCGTAACAGATGTTTGTCTAGTTTATAAATTGTACTTTGTCAAGTTTACTTGATCATAGTTTGTTTAACAATTATCTAAAGGTGATAATGATTAATGAGATTACATTGTCATGATCATTGAGATTACTGTCATGTGTTGAGACAGATTCTAATAATTGTTATACCAGTTGTGATAAGCTTTGTCTTTTCCCCAATTCCAGGACTCATCACAACAAAAGCCCAGTATGCTGTCCAAAGGTATGTTGCTGATCGCTTGGTATTCAAACTGATGTGTAGAGTGAGTGAGTGAGTTAAGTTTTATGACGCACTCAGCAATATTCCAGCTATATGGCAGTCTGTAAATAATCGAGTCCAGACAATCCAGTGATCAACAGCATGAGCTTCGATCTTCGCAATTGTGAACCGATGACATATGTCAACCAAGTCAGCGAGCCTGACCACCCCATCCCGTTAGTCGCCTCTTACGACAAGCATGCATTACTGAAGATCAGTTCTAACCCGGATCTTTACAGGTCTGAAGTGTAGGGACATTTTTAAGTCATAAACTTTGTTGATATGTGATCACATGGAAGTGTATACAATGCAGTCAGTGAATCTGATGATAAATATTAGACAGCTGTCACCAACCACCATCTCCACATGCTTTACATGCTGTATATCTCGTGTAATGTGTCTTCCCCTGCAGTTTCGCTTCTTGACTCCCTTGACTCCACCCTCAACACCACCACCTCTCCAAAGGCCAGCGTGCCATTTGATGGCAGCAAGGATGGTAACCATGACAACCTGGGTCAGACATTTCCTGACACGCTGAAGACACGGACAGGCACCGGTAACTACTAACTGTGCACATTCCTTGACTGTTGATGTCCAATGAATTGATTTGTTCTATGGTGGTATGTTGTCTAGATACAAACAGAGACATGGTGTTTACAGTCGACATGATCTATAGTGTTATGCAATGTTTAGTGAGATTGAATCGTGATTTATGACATGTAATGACATGCATGCGTTAGTAACAGTACACAAAATATAGGAGAACTAGGGCTGTGTTGAAAAATTTGACACAAAATCTTGCCTTTCGAAATAGCTCTTCAAAAATCAACAAACCAATATTCTCCATCACAGGACTATAGCAGTGAAAGCAGTGAAAGCCGGTAACATAAATGTGTACATAGTGAACTCAGAAACAGCTAATCGAATGGTTTTCGAACTCCATGCACTGCATGCGTCATATTATGACGTCATACGATTGTTAGAAATATAGCTTCTCGGTGGAGAGTTTGGCAGTTACCGTGGCAGCGGGTAATTTTTTTTCCAGTTGTCACCCTCCTGGGAGGGGAGACATGGGGGAAACTTGTTACAGCTCCATTGATCAATGAAACTGAAGTATTTTAGATGAAGGTAAGATAAGGAATGATACATTGTAGTGACATGTAATGGGAGCAAGATAGATACATGCTGTTGTGTATCTAGGTATAATGGGCACCAACACCAGCAGAGAGATGGAGGCCCTTCAGGAAGCGCTGCGAGAGGTAGGAATGTCTCCCACCATCAAACAAGACGACCCGCTTACCGGCATCCTGGGACAAGGCTCTTACTCTGGGATCCTGGAACATGACTCTCACGCCAGGAACCTGGCAGACCAGGTTGAAACAAGGCAGCAGCAGGAGGGGAGATCAGGTACTGGATTGTATTTCAATGTAGGACTAAATACTGGAATAAGGTGCATTTGAAATAATGAATGTAAGCCATGGAGTCCTTCTAGTAATCAGAATAATCCTATGGTTTATGTAAAGACTTAAAAGTTGCCAAGATTAAATTTCTTAGGTCCATAACAACACAAGTGTACCAGATAGTTAATCATACAAGGGGTTAGCATACTGGTGTCTGTTTGAGGGTAAATCTGTTCTTGTCATAATAAATGAAACCGGTTTTAGTGTCACCTGCTGAGGTTGTATGTCCACAGTACTGCTGAACATGGGCTATGTTCACCCCTGTGAAGTAGGAAGAATGAGTTTGTCGATCATTGGTTGCAGACCGGACAGTGGATGATATTTTTCGGGAGATGGGTGAGCTGGAGAAACAAGTCAAGGAGAAGGAGCACAGAGACGATGATGTCCGACTTATGAGTGACTACCGTAGTCATAGCTCTGGGAGCCCCAACAGTCAGGGGAAAGGTGAGTACAGAGACGATGATGTCCGACTTATGAGTGACTACCGTAGTCATAGCTCTGGGAGCCCCAACAGTCAGGGGAAAGGTGAGGACAGAGACAGTGATGTCCGACTTATGAGTGACTACCGTGAGGTCAGCTCTGAGCCCCAACAGTCAGGGGAAAGGTGAGGACAGAGACTGATACTTATGAGTGACTACCGTAGTCATAGCTCTGGGAGCCCCAACAGTCAGGGGAAAGGTGAGGACAGAGACAGTGATGTCCGACTTATGAGTGACTACCGTAGTCATAGCTCTGGGAGCCCCAACAGTCAGGGGAAAGGTGAGGACAGAGACGATGATGTCCGACTTATGAGTGACTACCGTAGTCATAGCTCTGGGAGCCCCAACAGTCAGGCGAAAGGTGAGGACAGAGACGATGATGTCCGACTTATGAGTGACTACTGGAGTCATAGTTCTGGGAGCCCCAACAGTCAGGGGAAAGGTGAGGACAGAGACGATGATGTCCGACTTATGAGTGACTACCGTAGTCATAGTTCTCGGAGCCCCAACAGTCAGGGGAAAGGTGAGGACAGAGGGGAGGATGTCCGACTTATGAGTGACTACCGTAGTCATAGCTCTGGGAGCCCCAACAGTCAGAGGAAAGGTGAGGACAGAGACGATGATGTCCGACTTATGAGTGACTACCGTAGTCATAGCTCTGGGAGCCCCAACAGTCAGGGGAAAGGTGAGGACAGAGACGATGATGTCCGACTTATGAGTGAGTACAGCAGCACCCAAAATATCTACTGTATCTACAGTTGTAGTTTATACCTAGTTCATGTCAGCATTATTCTTGTTCTCTCAGGTCTATCACGTCGACAGACTACGGAGGAGGATACCAGACAAGGAGGCTTCGACCACTCCCACACTGACGACACAGAGGTGTATCAGCCTGTCACTGCTGTTGTAAGTTGCTCTGTATTCAACAACAATCTTAACATGATAGAACTTGTAGATGACTGTTTTTGTTAACGATTATTTGTTTACAATATTCTGTTATATGTTATATCTGTTTGTTTACTGTATAAACCCTGTGAATATTGAAGGGACCGAGGGGCCGAAGTATCCAACGCCTGTATGTAAGTACTGCATGTGTCGCCAGAAGCTTCATGTCTGTGTGCAATGCATGGGTTTTACAACACTGTCCCCATCATGTCTACATACCATGTGTGCGTGACCAATGGGTGTTGGTTGTTTAACAACACTTTCATTCATGAAATGTTTAAAATTTGCAATCGTGTGATGTTTAACATTATTTTCATCGTGGAATGTGCAAAATTGGCATCGTGTGTTCTTTGACATTCATTTTATTGTGGAATGTGCAAGATTAGCAAGTGTGGGTTGTTTAACATTTAACATTGTTTTCATGTATGGATTGTGCAGGATTATCAGCATGGGTTGTTTGACATTCTCTTTCTTGTGGAATGTGCAAGATTAGCAAGTGTGGGTTGTTTAACATTGCTTTCATTCATAGAATGTGCAAGATTAGTAAGAGTGTGTTCTTTCACGACATGTTCATTCATGGAATGTGCAAAATTATCAAGTCTGGGTTTATAATTTTTGTTCATCTGTGGAATGTGCAAGATTAGTAAGAATGTCTTTTTAAACATTCTTTTCATATATGGAATGAAAAGGGTTAGCAGCATGGGTTGTTTAACATATTTCTTTTTTTCATGGAATGTGCAAACTTAGTAAGAGTGTGTTGTTTTACAATTTGTTTCATTTGTAGAATTTGCAAGAAGTAACGGTGTGGGTTTTATATTACTATTGTGATTTGTGGATGTGGTTAGTTCAAAGGTCATGAGGTCATTGTAGGGAATGTGCAGTACATAACATCACCTGAATTTGAAGGTGTTTATCTCTGTCAGACATCCCTCTATCCATGAAATCACCAGGAGTGACATGAGATTACAAACATGTATATACCACATCTGCATCTTTCCATCATATTTCAATGGAAAAGTTAAGAAGTCAAGACTTGTATGGTCCCAGTATGAATTGGCTACTCCATGTCTTTATTGCAGATCATTTTTGTAAAAGTTGCATGCTGGTGCATGCTATCAGAAGAATAATTAAGGTCATATCACAAATACCATCTAACATTAGCTCAACTGACCAGTCAGCTTCAAGAAGGTGCAAAAGTCACAATGACTCACAATCGTTCAAGTATTATGATTATTTTGTAACATGCATGCCTTCCAATATGATGTGACATATAAATGCAGTCTAAGTAAACTTAGGCTCATTATTATTCGTTACACTGCTATACGGAGTCTAACAAACCCTAGTAGAAGGTCGTGTCAGGTAACCTTTGAGCGACCTATGACCGTCCAATCAACTGCGAGATGGCCAACCGGATTTAACCAATCAGATGACTACTTGTTAGTGTTCGGCAGGACTTACAAAACAGTTTTGGATTTTCTCTTCCCTGGTCGCTGACACTGATCTATCAACAAACGAAAATCTGCATAAAACACAGATATTTGACCTGCAGTATATACACTTAGGGGTTCCTAATGACATGGTTACTGTTAGCTTATACTGAATATTGACAAAAACGCTATGTTCAACTCTATTTACTCATTCAGTCCTCCATGTGTATCACTCGGAAGTGATCATGCGGAAAATAGCATTCGGAATCGTTCGAGTTTTTTAGGTAAAAGTTCAAACGGTATGTGCGAATGTTAACTTTAGCGATTTGGTAAGCTGTGGTCAGATTGGTCAGTCCAAAGGGTTAGCTGACGTGACCTTCTACTAGGTTTTGTTAAACTCAGTATAGTAGTGTAACGAATAATACTGAGCCTAAGTTTACTTAGACTGCATTTACATGTCATGTGACCTGAGGTCCATGTATGTCATCCAGTATGTTAGCCTCATATGCCATGCAGCACATACCTTCAAGACTATATACTACATGTCTTGTATAGAACCAATAGACCATGTTTAATATCCTGTATAAAGCATGTGTGCCAGATAGAGTAGATAGTGTCTTCGAGCCTATAACCTGTAGAACAAACACAAGTAGTATATGCTATCCACTGTATTACCTTTTGTCCTGATATATACCATCCAATATATCATTGACCTGGGCAAAGTTATCTTACTGCTTTGACTGTCGTAAATCTATAGGAGTTACGATCATCTTAGTGCTAAGATGGCTTTAATTTGTATGGAGCCATGATCATAGCGACCAGTTCCAAAGTTCAATGTTGGATACAAATCTTAATTCCTTAAGGTTAGGAGTTGGGGCATAGGTGGATCCAGAGAGATCCAGGGGGGCGTTCACACACACACCCTTTTAGTCCTAAAAGTTTATTAAGTGACCATTGAAACTCTTGTGAAAATGGGTGAAAATAAACTGTGAACTGAACTGTGCACCCGTTCCTTTCTCAAAAAGCTGTATCCGCCCCTTGTGGGGGATTAATGACTCAGCAGGTTTTCAAAAATCAACTTACCGGTACCTTACTTCTGTGTCTTATCACCTCACTGACTCCATCATCAGAATATTTTTACACCATCTATACAGTGGTATAGAAAACATATAGAATAGAAATAAAATATTTTTGTCATTTTTTTTACACCATCTATACAGTGCTATATTGAATCGTATAGAATAGAAATAAAATATTTTTGTCATTTTTGTTTTTTAGTATTACAAGGAATGCAACTTTTATAGAATTAGGTTTTGGGTGGGGGAGGACCTGGTATGTCTCAGAACCTTAAGGAATTATTTTTTTTATCCTGTACTGAACTTTTGTATTGTTCCCCCAGACTCATGCCCCATGACTTACGTCACATAGGCCTCACTGAACCCTCACATGTATTGTCACAAATCTGGTTTGCTGTGTATTGTTTGCTAATGTCAGCAGTTGCTGTCTAACACGACTAATGTGTGTCATTGATTAATGTTGTCTATCAAATCATGAGTGAAATAGCTGGTTAACATGACATTATGATCTAAGACACGTCTCCTATATGAGCTGTTGCCACCTCAGAGTACAAACATGAAGGCTGGTTCCTAGTCTAGTATATAAGGATTCAGGATGGCGGTATGCAACAGGGTTACACATGGCTACTCGTCCTTAAGCTTGAGACCAGTGAAAATATGGTGAGACTACTGAGATTCACCCCAAATCAAGTTGTTGTCTTTAGCCTCTAGGTAAATAATGGGCTGTGGACTAGCTGTATTTGATCAAGGGTGTCTAGACCTGAAAAAGGCAAATGCAATATGAACAATGTAAAGTGAGATTAACCTTGTTCTGATGCTTGCTTCTATACAACATATTCATGTTTTATTAAACCTGAGATGAATGAGTAGAATGTAGTCTAAACTTTAGGAATATTTTAGCTGAATTTCTTATTGGAATTGAGTCCAAAGGTTTTCGTTCTGGACTAGTGGTTACAGCCACATGCACACAGAAAGTAGTGGTAGGGTCAGACGTGGTAGTGCTTACAATGTGTTAATCACTCACTATGTCTGGTAAGTTTGGTTAATGTATCATGCTTTAAACTTGTATGATCTGTCTTTAGATGTGTTAACTAATACAATTATCTTGATCACCAATGGCAACCTTTGAAACTCATGCTAGTCTGCTTGTCCAAGACTGCTAGTCACTGTGAGCACCATTGATTACTAGCAGTTGAGGGCTATAATTCTCTTCCCAATGCTTCAAGTTTGCTGCAAATTGGAGCTGAATAAACTGACAAAATTGTAAGCAGAGACAGTTTTGTATCTTTCCAGCAGGGGGCGGTGGGGTAGCCTAGTGGTTAAAGCGTTGGCTTGTCACGCCGAAGACCCGGGTTCGATTCCCCACATGGGCACAATGTGTTAAGCCCATTTCTGGTGTCCCCCGCCGTGATATTGCTGGAATATTGCTAAAAGCGGCGTAAAACTAAACTCAGTCAGTCAGTCAGTCAGTCTTTCCAGCAGGATAGTCCACCGACAGCAGAGCTAGTGAAGTAAGGTTTACAATCATCCCCTGGACTAGTCTTGACCAACACAGCTTTATGGACGGAACGACATATGACAAAGTACACTTGTTCAATGATAGAAACTGTATCTATGTAACACTACATGTTGTGTCTTGTGTCTTGGCAGTCTGTGCAGGAGAAAACAGATGGCCCCAGTGGTGACTTCAATTCCAGGACAACTGAGGTTAAAGGTCAGTTAGGTTACGAAAGTTACTGTCATGTTTAATCTCAATATTTTTAAACTTATCCTATCTCACGGTATGCACCTCTCTTCTTCTACGACCATGTGTGGAAACGTGCTGTAGGCTAAGTTGAATCAAATCTTACTGAACTCTGACCCCACTCCGATATCAGCACATGTCAATCATCTCCATAAGTGTGCAGCTCGCTCAGATGATCACGTGACTACCTGTGCCTGTCATTCTCTTTCTTGTCGATACGTCATGTGGACGTGTGCTTGTCTCTAAGAAAGTTTGATTGTTGTTTCAACATGGGTAAATCGAATCGTAATGGTTCTAAGAAGCGCAAACATTGTGACAATTGTAACAGTAATTTCTCGGCGGCAGATCCACATGCTTTATGTGTAGATTGTTTAGGTCGTTGTGATTGGTCTCAACGTTGCACTTTTTGTGCTGGCCTCGATGACGATGCTTTCTCTGAATATCGCCAGGTAGCTTGTAGACGCATGTCAGATAGGGATCGTTGCAAAACATCTGAGGGTCCGTCTTCGTCTAAACGTCCTAAGGCAGAACGCCATAAGAAAACTGCAGTTCGATGTTCGAAGTCCCCGTCTCCTAAATCTGCGTCAACTTTTCCGTCCACATGCATCCAGCCCTATCACTTTAGAAGACTCCTCACCACCTAGGGTTGTCGTTTTATCTACATCTGCTGTTCAGCCCCGTCCGTCTTCGGTGGTAACTGTTCCTCAACGCCCCTATGTTCCTTCGGTGGGAGTTTCTCATGCGGCGCTTGGTATGATTCCTAACATTACCTCTCAAGCGACGCTTGCTTGTAGTTCGGCGCCTTCCACTTCGGTGGTTGATTCTACATTTACTTCCCATTCGGTGCTTGTGTCTCATGTGACACTTGGTTCTGGTACAGTGGATAGTTTCGGTTCGGCGCTTTCTCATCCTCCGTTGGGGTCGACAAGTTTGCTGATGATTCCCAGTGCGACTTTTTCCACATATATCCCTTATCCTGCACCATTTGGTTACAGACCACCACTTTATTCTAGTGCGTCGTTTACCTCCGAAGCACCGCTTACATCGGGACAGGTACCTGGTTGCAGAGCGCCGCTTGGTCATGATTCCACGCTTTCATTCAGAGCGCCACTTGTTTTCCAGTTCGGCGCTCTTGCTTGCCCCTGGTTCGGCATTTACTCACAGTGCTCCCGTTTTGGTGCTTAGTGTATCCAGTCCGGCGCTTCCTCATAGAGCACTGGCTTCAGTGCTTCCTCACAGTGCATTCGGTTTGGCGCTTGCTCAGAGTTCAGTGCTTACTTCCAATGTGTCTGGTTCCAGTCGCTTACACTCAGCTCAGCTCTTGCTTTCAATGCTTTAGTGTAAAGTTCGGCTTGCTACCTGTTCGGCTTCGCTTGTTTCTTCTGCTACATTGGTTCCTCATAGTGCCTGCTTATTCCCAGTGCGTTTCAGTGCTTATTACACCTTGTGTTTCCTCATAGAGCTTCAGTGGTGGGAGCACTCACTTTCCATGAAGTACTACTGTTTCTTCCTGTGAAACTGCTACATCTTCTTGGTTATTCCCACCACCTCCTATGCATCTTCAGTGGTGGGAGCGCCACTTTCCATGAGTACTACACTTCCTGTGAAACTGTCACAGCGGGCTTTTTACCGGTTTCCTGGAATCCGGGGCTGAGGGTTCGACTTCTCAACCTGTTGATTTTGACTCTATTGTACAAGTGGTAGCCTCGGGCTTTACGACATCAGACTCCAGCATCTTACCTCTCGCTATTCAGTCATCTGGTCCTCGACCACTCCAGCTCAACACTTGGAGGAAGTCCATCATTCGCCACGCATCTTGCCTCTTCAGATGAGTGCGTCGCTTCGGATGTTAGCGTTGATGCTGTTGACACACCTCAATTGTTAGTTTGGATTGCCGATAGCCTCCGACTATAGGCGTAGTAGTTAGTAGGTTATCCAGTTTTGAAGACTGATGGATTACCTTATGCTCCCAACTCAGGGTGAGGCGTTGGTAACCTGAGGAAGAAGGTTAAGGATGGGTTAGCGACCATCTTTAGGCAACCCTGATGATCCAAACAGAAAGCCTCCACGTTGTCCAAGGGGTTTCAGCTGCCGATCATCGGGGATCCACCTCTGACTTTCTTTTAGTGACGTCACAGCTATATCGCTGTAGGGGCCTTCGGATCACAGAGCCACCAGAGTTGAAGTCAAGATATTCCAAGTGTCTCCAGCAAGCGGCTGTTCTCCAATCCACAATAGACACCTTCGGGCTCCAGAAACTTGGGATGACTTGCTGGACAATCCCTGGGTCATCAAGGATCCACCCTCACAGAACGTATCCCGCTCAGCAAACGGCTGTTCTCCAATCCACAATAGACACCTTACTCCCAGAAACTTGAGATCGAATCCCTGGGTCCGGCCCCGATCGGTTCAATTCTCAAATCTTTCTGGTTCCCAAGAAGGATTCGACACAAGTTGAGACTAATTTTCAACATGAAGGTCTTCAACGAGATGTTTCTGCAGCTCCATTTTCGCATGGTGTCGGTGTCTCTACTCAAGACCATTATCAAACCGGGAGACTACATGGTCAGTCTCGATCTCCAGGATGCGTACCTTCACATCCTGATCTTCCCGGCTCATCGCAAGTTCCTTCGGTTTGTCTTCGAGGGCACCCACTATCAGTGGCATGTCCTCCCGTTTGGAATTTCTTCGGCCCCGTGGCTGTTTACACGGGTGACAAAGCCTATCACCAGCTTCCTCCACCGCAAGGGGATAGCTTTTGAAGCTTACATTGATGACTGCATTCAGGCGCAGACCGATCATGCCCTTCTGCTTTGTCAGATGCAGTTTGTGATACAGCTTCTTCACCAATTAGGCTGGTTAATCAATCTGCAGAAATCGGAACTTCAATTCATTGGAGCAGTGTTCGACACAGAGGTCAACAAACTGTTTGTCCCGAGGGATCGTTTCTGCAAGATACAGCACTTGGTGTCCCTTGCATTGGCGCAACCTAGGACGCTTTGTCAATGGCAGGAGCTCCTGGGCCTCTTGACGTCAGCTCAGGCACTGACCCTCAGGGGTCAACTGCAACTTCGACCCTTGCAGCTCTTTCGAGCGCCTTACATTAGAGTGGGCGATCCGGTTGCCTTGATCGCTCTACCTCCGGAGCTCCATCCCCATCTCCTGTGGTGGATGGAAGAGTTGAACGTTTGCGGCGGAGTTTGCTTAGGGCCGTTTGTTACGTCTCACCACCTGTATGTGGACGCGTCTCAACACGGGTGGGGAGCTCATCTTCTCAATCAGCAAGTGGCAGGGCAGTGGTCTCTCACAGATCGCCTGTCACATCAACGTTCTGGAGTTCAGGGCAGTGATTCTTTCAATCATTCACTGGCAAGATGTCCTACGAGCAACTTCCCTCATGGTCCGATCGGACAACGCAGCAGTGGTATGGCATATCAACAGGATGGGGTCAACAGGGTCTACTCAGCTCCTGCAGTGGACTCAACAGTTCTTCGATCTGGTGGACTCTCTCAACATCTCTGTGCGAGCCAACCACATTCCGGGGATGAAGAATGTCATCGCAGATTCCCATAGGCCGAGTCGTCCCTCTCCAACGGAATGGAAATTACATCCACAGGTGTTTCAGACCTTCTGCTTTCCGTTGACACCGCCGACAGTGGATCTATTTGCCACTCGGTTCAATCATTAGCTGCCTCTGTTTGTGTCACCGATTCCGGACCCTCTGGCTTGGGATCACGATGCTCTAGCCATTCCGTGGGACGACCTGAACGCTTACGCGTTTCCGCCAGTGGCCCTTTTCTCGCATAGTAGTGAAACTGCGCGCAACTCAGCGGATGACACTACTTTTGGTCGCACCCTACTGGCCGGCCAGAAGTTGGTTCGTAAATCTTCAAGAACTAGCCGAACCAAATCCTGTACCACTTCCCGATCGGCTCGATCTACTGGTTCATCCGCACTCCGACCAACTACATTGGTCCCCGCTCACGCTTCATCTTCACGCTTGGTGCATTTACATCGGTCGCTAACGGCCAAGGGCTATTCGAAGCGTGTTGCTACTGCCATCACTACAGCGCATCGCACCTCCACTAGGTCACTCTATGATGACAAGTGGAAGAATTTTGAAGCGTATTGCAGGAAGAAGGGCATAACATCTCCCACTACGGCATCCCCGCAGATGGTAGCAGAGTACTTTCAGCATCTTCGAACCTCCAGAAAACTCAAAGGTTCTACGCTATCTACTTACCTGGCTGCCCTTAACACGGTTATTGCGTCGGCCTCGGGTGTGAAGGTGTCCACTGTCCCTGAGCTCCAGTCTCTCCTCAGGTCTTATAAACTTGCTGACCAATCCCGGAAGTTCCGGCCTCCAGCTTGGGATCTTTCCGTTGTACTTGCTCATCTCACGTCAGCTGATTATGAACCTCTGGAGGAGAAAGATTTCGAACATGTCTCCTTTAAGACCTTCTTTCTCCTGGCCTTGGCCACTGCTCCGTATTTCGAAGTTGCACTTGCTCTCGATGTCTCTCAGGTACAATTTGAGAGGTCTAGACATGCTAGAGTTTTTCTTGTTCACGATTCGCCCGTTGTCCACTATCTTGGGCCCAGATGACATAGAAGATCTTTCCTTAAGCCCGGTTCGAGCATTACATGGATTTATCTAGCTGCCTCGCGAGCAGGGATCGCCGCGAGACTGCGTAAGAGATCGTTCATTCCATTATCTACTGTCTCCGCCTCGAAGTCTCTCACACTACCTTAGCGTTTTGGATGAGAACTACGATCCTGCGTGCTTATGCCTTTGCTGACCTGCCTCCACTGTCGGCGGCGAAGCCTCATGAGACTCGGGCTCTCGCTTCCACCATGGCGCTTCACAGGACTTGTTCCCTCCAGTCCATCATGGAGGGATGTTTTGTGAAATCAGATAATGTGTTGGCCTCACACTACCTGCGGAATCTCTCGGTTACGGACGTGGAAGGTCTACATCAATTCGGCCCCCTGGTCCTGGCGCAGCAATTGTCATTCTCACCTTTGGTAAGTTAGGGGGATTGGTACTGAACGTTAAACTAGTTGAGCAACCGGGCTATTCCCTCTTTCACGCCTTCCAGCGTGTGTCTGTTGGGGGTAGTTTCAAGCAGGGACTGTCCAGATTAAGGTCTTCGACTTTAATTCACTGGGGTCACCTGATAAATCGCAGGGAGGCGGGGCCTACTTGCCAAACTGTGTCCTTTTGCTTGTCAAAAGTTGCGGCTGAAAACCACATTAATTCGGGGGCGCCCACTCCCTAGAGTATTTGTGCTGTGTAAGCCAAGGGGTTACCTGAAAAAAAACATCACAAGTTTGGAGTCGGGAGTTGGTGCTTTCTCCTGGTCTCCTTGGTTTATGCGTCTTCACGGTTGTAAGTATTGACAGGGTAATCTGCAGCCCTCCTACCAACCGTGGGATTATGCACACCGTGAGATAGGATAAGTTAAAAAATTTGAAAATGTTACTATTTATTGTATATTTATATACTTATCCTATCTCACGCGTTGTATACCCACCTGCCCTGCCCCACATCACAGATTACTGGAAGCTCCAAGACGAGAATGACAGGCACAGGTAGTCACGTGATCATCTGAGCGAACGCACGCGTATGGAGATGATTGACAGGTGCTGATATCGGAGTGGGGTCAGAGGTCAGGGGTGTCAGAGGCCAGAGGCCAGTAAGATTTGATTCAACTTAGCCTACAGCATGTTTCCACACATGGTTGTAGAAGAAGAGAGGTGCATACCGTGAGATAGGATAAGTATATAAATATACAATTTATAGTAAACATTTTTTTGGTAAACATGGTAAATGGGGCGGTGGTGTAGCCTAGTGGTTAAAGTGTTTGCTCATCACACCAAAGACCCAGGTTCGATTCCCCACATGGGTACAATGTGTGAAGCCCATTTGTGGTGTACCCCGCTGTGATATTGCTGGAATATTGCTAAAAGTGGCATAAAACTAAAGTCACTCACTCACTTTCTGGTAAATCCTTAATCAATTCAGAATACGCTGTGTAAAACACATCACTTTTCTTATCTTGTAAGATGTCGTTCTGATATGACTCATAAGAGATGTCCTCAAATATTTGTTTAGCAGCAGCAAAACCTAAAATGTGGTTTCTTTTAACAAAATGTAATGTAAGTCAAAACAAAATAGACGATTGAACATCTCACAAAGATTTGAGATCACGTTGCAGGGACATTTGTATAAAGAAGAAAATGTGTAGGTGCACTACTATGTGTAAGAAGATATTCGACATGGAACCACGGTATCATGACTGTCAACTTCTGTGATTTGTTGCAGGTAAGAAGTCTCGATCCAGATTTTCCCACATCCAGAGTTCAGGCTATGGAAAACGTTCCACCAGCCGTTCACCTTCACGTTCACCGTCAAGGTCACCTGGCAAACCAACAAGACCTGGCAGCAAGACCTGGTCCCCAGCAGACGTCAGCAGACACAAGTCAGGTAATGGTGGTGTGTCAAGCATCTTTGTAGCTCTGACTTCCTCTTACAAAAATCACAGGTAATGGTGGTGTGTCAAGCATCTTTGCTGGAATATTGGCTCTGACTTCCTCTTACAAAATGAGAACATCATTACATGCAATATTTCAAACTATGTTTATTAGACATTCTCAGTGTTCTTCTGTATCTTCAGGCGGCGTGTGGGGTAGCCTAGTGGTTAAAGCGTTGGCTCGTCAGTTAAGATCCAAGTTTGAATCCCCACATGGGTATAATGTGTCAAACTATTTCTGGTGTCCCCATTGTGATGTTGCTGGAATATTGCTAAATTTTAAAAACCTAACTCAGTCAGTCAGTCAGTCTGTATCTTCAAACTAACTTCCATACATCCATGATATGTTAACCACCTGAGTAAGTTTACTGAGTAAGTTAAGTAAGGCAGGGTCACACTGTGCACTTTTGGATCTCTGTTGCTGCTGTTGTGTAACTACCCGTGAAGGTCCGGGTTAGAATATTGATCTTCAGCAACCCATGCTTGTCGTAAGAGGCAACTAACGGGATCGGGTGGTCAGGCTTGCTGACTTGGTTGACACATGTCATCGGTTCCCAATTGTGCAGATCAATGCTCATGCTGTTGTTCACTGGATTGTCTGGTCCAGACTTGATTATTTACAGACCGCCGCCATGTAGCTGGAATATTGCTGAGTGCGGCATCAAACTAAACTCACTCACTCACTGTAGTGTAAATGTTTCTTCAAGATGGGATCAATAAGGGGTATCATAGCATAGCATGAATCAGTATCCTGAAACTGAATCAGTTTAAGTCGAGTGAGTGAGAATGGTTTTACCACTTTTAGCAATATTCCAGCGGGGGACACCAGAAATAGGCTTCACACATTGTACCATGTGGGGAATCAAATCCGGGAGTTTGGCGTGATAAGTGAAGGCTTTATCCACTAGGCTACCCCACCTTCCCGAATCAGTTTAGAAAGCTGATGTCTAATTTGTTAAAGAACAAACGCTCCTATCATTAGATTTGTTCATGTTCTAACGGGTGTCCTCAGATCCTCACACAGAGAGTATTATTGTCGTTAAATTAGTCAGAATAGGTCCCCAGCACCTCATGGTGACTAAAACTCAGGTTTTCTCTATTCTCTGACGTGCACTGAAACAAGCTGGACTGAGTTTGTACCATGTTTTTTGTACTGCCAGGCACCCAGTCTCCAAGGACTGCTCGCCACAATCTCCAAGGGAAAGTGCCCGAGACGCGTCTGCTGCAGTCTGTTGAGTCCTTTGCAAGTTACATACGAGACCATTTTACAGGGAAAGGAGTCCCAGAGGTTGGTTTGTAGTCCTGAATTTTGAACTAGGGCTCCATACTTGTTATGTTAGTAAGTGGCTAGTGCTCTGCTCTCCACTCCACTCCACTCCAATCCACAATCCACACCCCAATCCACACCGCTCCAACTCCAATCCAATCCAGTTCAAGTAGACCCTCCTGCTGTAGTGTTTTAGCTGGTAGTGTTTCGATCGGAATACCAAATGGTATGAATGCGTGTTGGTCCCTGCCTGCTTTCGACATGAATGGGTACAACAAGGACTGGTATCAGTATCATGTGTCTTAACTTCAAGCTTCACTCATGCATGGTATCTCAGTGAGCTAGCACTATAAAACCAGGTTAAGTCTGGGCTAGCAAAAGCAGCCTCACATACACACGCCTGCACGTCATCATATGAGCAAAATATTCTCAAGTACGACGTTAAACCCAATTTCACCTCACCTCACCCAATTCAAGCAGAACCATCTGATGTTGTTTAAAGAGGCTAAGAAGGAAGCTAGGGATCCACTCATGTAACAGGGAATTACAGTTCCATGTATGTAGTAGTAGGAAGTTAGCTCTCCATTAGTGTGGTACATAAGCAGTTATTGCTCCATACAAGAATGTATTAGAATGTTGCATGTTGCTGGTATGTGTTTAAGACATTTGGATGGGTTATGATAATCAAACATGACCTGTTATCCACTGCCTGCTACAATCGACATGCACACATACACACATACACACATCAACATACAGCTATCACCTGTTGTCAGGTGAAGTACTCGTCCGACGAGCCTTCAGTGTCAGCCAGTTTGCGGGTAGAGAAGACATCCAGTGTGGAGCGGCAGCTGCAGCAGGAGCTGGATGAGGAGAGGAAGAAACTGGCACAGCTGCAGGGTAAGTCCAGGTTCCCTGCTTACCCATGTGAATACAGGTTATAATTACCTGTTATCCCTTCTTGTCATCCTGGTTATATAGCCCTCCTTGTTCAAGTGAAATATCCTTGAATATCATCCTGGTTAAATATCCCATAATGTTATCCAAATTATTAAGCCTCCATATTATCCAGATGCTCATCATGCTATTTGGGTTAAATATCCTTCCATGTTATCCAGATTATATAATCCCCCCAAGTTAACAGTTAACATTTCCCATCACATTATCCATGTAATACTTATCTCAGTGTTATCCAGGTGATATTTCCTGTGTTATGTTGTCATCTCTGTTACCAAGGTGATATATCCCTTGTGTTGTTATCCAGGTGATATTTCCTGTGTTATGTTGTCCTCCCTGTTGTCAAGGTGATATACCCCCTGTGTTGTTATCCAGGTGATATTTCCCGGTTATGTTGTCCTCTCTGTTATCAAGGTGATATATCCCCTTGTGTTGTTATCCAGGTGATATTTCGTGTGATATGTTGTCCTCCCTGTTATCTAGGTGATATATCAATCTGTGTTGTTATCCATGTGATATTTCCTGTGTTATGTTGCCTCCCTGTTATCCAGGTGATATATCAGTCCCGCTCCCACTCCACTCCAATCCACACCGCCCCAATCCACACCGCTCAACTCCAATCGCTTCCATCCAATTCAATCCAATCCAGTTCAAGTGTTTAAGAGCCCGGAGACCACCTCCGCTGTTGGTCCCTGCCTGGTGTTTAGAATGGGTACAACAAGGACTGGTCGCTCGGTCAGTTAATGTGTCTGAATGGGATATTCATGCTTAACTGCGGCATGGTACCGCAGTGAGCTAGCACTATAAAACCAGCTTCAGTCTGGGCTAGCACAAGCAGCCACACATACACACGCCTGCACGTCATCATATGAGAAAAATATTCTCAAGTACGACGTTAAACCCAACTTCACCTCACCTCACCCAATTCAAGCAGAACCATCTGATGTTGTTTAAAAAGGCTAAGAATGAAGCTAGGGATCCACTCATGTAACAGGGAATTACAGTTCCATGTATGTAGTAGTAGGAAGTTAGCTCTCCATTAGTGTGGTACATAGGTAGTTATTGCTCCACCATACAAGAATGTATTAGAATGTTGTACTTGCATGTTGCTGGGATGTCTTTAAGACATTTGGATGGGTTATGATAATCAAACATGACCTGTTATCCACTGCCTGCTACAATCGACATGCACACATACACACATCACACATCAACAGCTATCACCTGTTGTCAGGTGAAGTACTCAAATCGAGGAGCCTTCAGTGTCAGCCAGTTTATGGGTAGAGAAGACATCCAGTGTGGAGCGGCAGCTGCAGCAGGAGCTGGATGAGGAGAGGAAGAAACTGGCACAGCTGCAGGGTAAGTCCAGGTTCCCTGCTTACCCATGTGAATACAGGTTATAATTACCTGTTATCCCTTCTTGTCATCCTGGTTATATAGCCCTCCTTGTTCAAGTGAAATATCCTTGAATATCATCCTGGTTAAATATCCCATAATGTTATCCAAATTATTAGGCCTCCATATTATCCAGATACTCATCATGTTATTTGGGTTAAATATCCTTCCATGTTAACCAGATTATATAATCCCCCCAAGTTAACAGTTAACATTTCCCATCACATTATCCATGTAATACTTATCTCAGTGTTATCCAGGTGATATTTCCTGTGTTATGTTGTCATCCCTGTTACCAAGGCGATATATCCCCTTGTGTTGTTATCCAGGTGATATTTCCTGTGTTATGTTGTCCTCCCTGTTGTCAAGGTGATATACCCCCCTGTGTTGTTATCCAGGTGATATTTCCCGGTTATGTTGTCCTCTCTGTTATCAAGGTGATATATCCCCTTGTGTTGTTATCCGGGTGATATTTCGTGTGATATGTTGTCCTCCCTGTTATCTAGGTGATATATCAATCTGTGTTGTTATCCATGTGATATTTCCTGTGTTATGTTGCCTCCCTGTTATCCAGGTGATATATCAGTCTGTGTTGCTATCAAGGTTATATATCAGTCTGTGTTGTTATCAAGATGATATATCAGTCAGTGTTGTTATCAAGGTTATATATCAGTCTGTGTTGTTATCAAGGTGATATATCAGTCTGTGTTGTTATCAAGGTGATATATCAGTCTGTGTTGTTATCAATGTGATATATCAGTCTGTGTTGTTATCAAGGTGATATATCAGTCTGTGTTGTTATCAAGGTGATATATCAGTCTGTGTTGTTATCCAGGTGAGATGCGGACACTGCAGCAGGGGCATCAAGAGGAGATGGACCAGATCAAGGTGGAACACGAGCAGGAGATGTTCAAACTGAAGCAGGAAAACTTTGTCCTGGCTGCCAAGGTGACATGACATCCTGATTCAACTTATATTTAACCTGTTTAAGCTCCGACATTACATATTTCAGCTTCAATATCCCTTGGTTCAGTTTAGAACTCCAAGTTCAGCACTGAGACCTCCAAGTTCAGCATTAAAACCCCAGTTCAGCATCAACCAACCTATATCGGCTTTAAAAAACCCTAGTTCAGCATTTAAACCTAGTACCAAATTTCATCATTGACACCCAAAGTTCAACATTGAAACCTCCTACTTCATTATTGAAATGCCCTTGTACAGCAATGTCCTAACCTAGTTCAGTCTTGTATGTGACTGTCACATAATAATGAGGATGTATATGAATACATTCCTATTTCCCCAGCTAAATGAGGGTGATGGGGAGAGCACTGCCAGGAAGAAGCTGAGTGAAGTATTGAGTGGTGATGCTGTTACGAGGGAGCAACTGACCATGTTGGAGCGGGAGATCAAGGACCAGGAGTCTCTCATAGCGGGCTTCCAGACAGAGAACCAGCGACTGTATGGCGAGATGAAGGCTCTCCGTGCTAACACACGCTCAGCAGAGGAGAAAATGTTCTCAGAGAATCAGAGACTTATCACGGAGGTCACCAATCTAAAGTAGGTTTGAAGAGACATCTGTTGATGAGACAGTCAAGTTGTGTGGCCTATGTGCCTGTTAGACATGTAGAGTTAACTGTGGTCTATGTCTTTATAGTCAAAAATGTCTTTCAGTCCTGAAGAGACATCAGACAAAGCCTGTCAATCCCAGTATGAACTATGAGTCTAAGAGCCCAAAATGTCTTTCAGTTCTGATGAAGCCCATTTCTGGTGTCCCCGCTGTGATGTTGCTGGAATATTGCTAAAAGGGGCGTAAAACCAAAACTCAGTCAGTCAGTCAGTCAGTCAGTCTTTCAGTTCTGAAGAGACATCGGACAAATCCTGTCAATCCCAACATGAACTATGTGTCATAGAGCCTAAAATGTCTGTCATGTTTTGAAGAGACATCAAAGTCTGTAGATCGATATCCCAGTGTATTGTTAACACCTGTAGTACATGCACTGTCTGTCATCAGTCGTTGTGTTACATGCTCTGTGTGAATTATCCCAGCTAACCCTTGCAATCTGTGTTGTAGATCCCAGCTTGAGCAGAAGGACCTTGCATTGAGGAACAAAGGCATCATTACAAGTCTCGCAGCACAGCAGCAGATAGCTGCTGGCAATGCAGATGCCAAGCTCGGTGCCAACAAGCTTGTCCAGCTACAGGCTGAACTGACGGAGGCTAAGGTGAAAACACATTGAGAGCATCCTGTTAGACATGTTAATGAGATCAGTCATTATCAGTTAGATGATGTGTGAGCTGTACTGTGACCCAGTGTGTGCTGAAGCACTGTTTTATGAGCCTGTGTTTATACTTATAGACAGAACTTGCTTCTTCAAGTAAACGTTATTTGTAAGCATTCATTAACATGACTGACACATTCCAATCTCTTTCACACATTATGACAACAACACATACCTGCCACACAAAACGACACTATACTTACAGCAGACACAGGTCTGATTAACGATAAGCTTTAAAGAATAGGTGTTTCCTGAATGAGTTATCTCCCTTACCACAATACTGTCATGTCTGTGATCAGAGGCAGAGTGAAATGCAGCAGAGGGAGATGAAGGTGTTGAAGCAGACCAAGCAGGAGCTGGACCACCACATTCACCAGTTGGTGCGGGAACGGGAAGATCTCAGTCGTGACCTCGACGCTGCAAAGAAGATCACCCCAGAACAGGCAAGGGTGAGTGGGTTGATGGAAGATCCCTTTGTGGGTCTTGCTAGAAAGATGTTCTTTGAATTGGCCAAGATGAGATGGTTGGAAAGACATTAGTGAGCGTCTTTTGAGAACTAGACCTGGTAAGATAAGTCAGGGTCTTGTGAGAAAATTGTTTTCCTGGAACTGGGCATGGTGAGATGGGTTTGGAGGAGGTCTTTTGAGAAAGATTTTTCTAAAATCATCCAGGGTGAGATTGGCTTGGAAGGATATCAGTGAAACAGGCAAGTGAGGTTGGAAGACCTTCTTATTGGGAAGTCTACACAGGTTAGTTGAGTTTTGGAGGACATGTGAGGGGCTTGTGAGAAAGGTGTTGCCAGGTTAGCTGAGTTTTGGAGGATATGTGAGGGGCTTGTGAGAAAGGTGTTGCCAGAACAGCATGATACTGTGAGGACATTAGTGATGGTTTAGGGGATGAAGCTCACAGCAAATACGCCTGTTCAGGCAATGATGGATCTCAGTCAGTGTATTTCTAAGGAAGGTCTTACTAGAACAGCCAGGGTTATTTCGGGGGGGTGGAGAGATCTTGCCATTAGGATCACAGAATGTCGTTTGTGAGTTAGTGATGTGAGCTGCAAGTAGACCTCTGTTGTATAGGAGCTGAAGGCCCAGCATGAGGAGGAAGTGACTCCAGTTGAAGAGGAAGCTGAAGTGGTATGCAGAGAACCAGGAGCTGCTGGACAAGGGAGCGGCAAGCATGAAGAAGAAAGAGGAAGAGATCAGGCAGCTCAAGCTGAGACTGGAAGGGCTCACAACAGAGGTGAGTGATTACAGTGGGAAGATAATATAGAGGACATACTATAGGGCATTAGATGAGGATCACGGTTGTCCTAGTTGACAGACTGTAGGTGAGGACATAGTGGAGAGATTCATAGAGGACAGAAGGGCCTGAGAGGACAAAGGTGACAGACTATAGGGGTTGATTGGTAGGTAAGGACAGAGGACTGACTGAAAGGAACTGTTTGGATGTGGAGGACAGACTGGATGAAACATGTCAGATGCGTGAGGAGCAATGAGTGATGGACTGAAAGGGACAGATTGTTGGTGGTGCCTCAGCGGACAGTCTGTAGAGGATTTTTAGGATGGTGAGGACAGTCGGGTCAGGCAGAGGTGAGGTGAAATTGGGTTTAATGTCGTGCTTGAGAATATTTCGCTCATATGACGACATGCATGCATGTGTATGTGTATGTGCGGCTGCTTGTACTAGCCCAGACTTAAGCTGGTTTTATAGTGCTAGCCCACTGAGAAACCATGCCGCAGTGAAGCATGAATACCCCACTCAGACACATTATACTGACTCCGAGCCGACCCGTCCTTGTTGTACCCATTAATGCCGAGCGCCAGGCAGGGACCAACAAGTACCATATTTTAACGTCTTTTGGTATGACGTGGTTGGGGATCGAACCCGCGACCTTCCGCTCGGGTCAGGCAGAAAGGCGCAAATGCCGTCTGAGTGAGGACAGTGCCTGTAGGGAATTAACTAGGTTTGTAGATAAGGGAAACAGATTGGTTAGTGAGTTACGAATGCAAAGTGGAAATGTGGAAATAGCTTCAATGTATCTATGTGTGTGATAGCCTTGTCTTGTTTGTAGACTGGGCGCAAGTTAGAGGAGAACAAGCTGAGAGCCAGAGAGCGAGCCTCTGATGCCAAGAAGATTCAGGACCTCCAGAGACAGGTATGTTTCAATATATGTCTTTATTACTGGGTAGCACAGGAAAACTTCATCAATTTTGATATCTCTAACAGAGTAGTTGGTTCAGGTTCTGTTTTGTTAAGTTGGCTCTAGCCAAGTCAACAAAAACAGGCAGATGTATCATATTATCCTCAGATGGAAAATAACAAAGCTTTTGTCATTCAGACTAATCAGCATTAACTGGTTACTCTATGCCCTGCTTTGTGTTGATATTATTATGTGTCTTTGTTAAACCAAATGTGTTTTGTGAGTCCTGATTGTATGTCACTGCTGTTATTCCAGCTGGATTATTCAGAGTTTTCAGCAGTAATTAAATGTCTCTGTTTCTGTTGATGTAGGTGAAGGAGATGGAGCAGATCATCCGACGCCGCCACCCCAACTCCCTCCCTGCCCTGATGATGGCGGCAGCTGCAAGCGTGGGTGAGGAACAGGCTCCCCCTGTGAAGTCAGCGAGTGTCACAGTGCTGGAGAAGCGCATCAAGAAGCTGGAGGAGGAGCTGGCCAGCAAGGACGAAGCCTCCAACACCCTGCTGCGGGCCATGGAGCAGAAGTACAACAACATCAAGGTAGTGTTCTTCAGAAGATCCTGTTGTTGTTTAACATTGTGGTGCATTGGTAGAATGCAGTATTCAGATACAGAGGTGGACCATTTACATTTAAGAAACAGCCATGTGCATTGAATTCTGAATCTTTAACTTCACTGGTGTGACTGTATGTGTGAATGTTGGTGATTTAGTATGTATGTGTGTGTGTGTGTGTGTGTGTGTGTGTGTGAGAGAGAGAGAGATGTGTGTGTGTTGGTGAATGTGTTGGTGAATTAGTATTGTTTGGTGTGTGTGTGTGAGAGAGAGAGAGAGACTATGTGTGAATGTGTTGGTGATTTGGTGTGTGTGTGTGTGTGTGTGTGAGAGAATGTGTTGGTGGATTTAGTGTGTGTGTGTGTGTGTGTGTGGTACTATGTGTGAATGTGTTGGTGATTTAGTGTGTGTGTGTGTGTGTGAGTGTGTGTGAGACTGTGTGTGTGTGAATGTGTTGGTGATTTAGTGTGTGTGTGATGTGTTGGTGGTTTTAGGTGTGTGTGTGTGTGAGAGACTGTGAATGTGTGTGAATGTGATGATTTAGTATGTGTGTGTGTGTGTGACTGTATGTGTGAATGTGTTGCTGATTTAGTATGGGTGTGTGTTGTGATGTGTGAATGTGTTGGTGATTTAGTGTGTGTGTGTGTGAGACTGTATGTGTGAATGTTGGTATGGTGTGTGTGTGTGAGAAGACTGTATGTGTTGGTGATTTAGTATGGATGTGTGTGTGTGTGTGTGTGTGTGATGTGTGTGTGTGATGTGTGTATGTGTGTGTGTGATGTGTGTATGTGTGACTGTATGTGTGTGTGAAGTGTGTGTATGTGTGAGATGTGTTGGTGATTTAGTATGGGTGTGTGTGAATGTGTTGGTGATTTAGTGTGTGTGTGTGTGTGAGAAGTGTATGTGTTGGTGATTTAGTGTGTGTGTGTGTGAGATGTAAGTGTGTGTGTGTGTGACTATGTGTGAATGTGTTGGATTTAGTGGGTGTGTGTGTGTGTGTGTGAGAGAAGAGAGAATAGAATGTGTTGGTGTGTATGATGTGTGTGTGAATGTGTTGGTGATTTAGTGTGTGTGTGTGTGTGTGTGTGTGTGAGAATGTATTAGTGATGGTGGTGGGACATTGGGATGTTATTGTCAGTCACTCAGACTTCTTTTGTTTGTCATATATCCATGTTATGGCTGCACTCAGACTTCTTTTATTTGTCATTTATCCATGGCTGCACTATAACAGGGCTGTATAACATATTTGAATCTGGGCCACACAATACAGTCACTGACATCATGATCAAATCAGGATATGATGTCATGCAATCATCATGTCACCATATCATACCCTCCAACAGATGTTTTGTTCCTTTAGAGGTTAAACCATATGAGTTATCTTGGAGATTCTGGTGAAGAGAAGGTTCCAGGTCAACCTATGCTTGTATTCAGAGTAGTGGTGTTCCGATTAATTGAAATAATCAAAGATTGATCGCAGTGACCAAACGACCACGCAATCGATCACATTTTCTCATAATCGAACATAAACGATTTTGGAACTACTGTTTTAGTCTTTGAAATACTTGACAATGGAACATATCGTTGAAGTTGTCAGGGCATGAAAACGTGTTTAATTCTTAGAAAACTCACTTCACTAACTGAAAAGCCATGACTGAATGTTTCTCTAAGACTCAAGGAAGTTTATGTTCATGATATATTAGTCATCACTTTAAAGTAGCAAGCTGCATCATGTTATACATATCTGCAATAACAACCTGGATAGGAAAATCTGAAAAAATGACGCTAACCAATTTTTTTCGATGATTGTTCGTTGGTAATGAAACAATCATTAATTGTGAGATTTCAACCAATTCCCAACACTAATTCAGAGTGGATTGAGTGGTTCAGTGACTTGATGACTGCATGCCATTGTTCTGTAGCAGAGTACATCATTGCTTATTATATCTATTTCTGGATTGCCTGTTCTAGATTAGATTATGTACAGGACACCATCAGAAAGCTGAAATATTGCTTAGAGCTGGTAACTAGCTTTCTGGATGCACAGGTGGTTCGAGTACAGAATACTGAAATACTGTCAGCACGTTTTCATGTAGTGAGATCATTTGTCAGTCTCCATGGAGATCATGTGCCAGTCCCCATGGAGATCATGTGCCAGTCCCCGTGTTGCAGTACAAGTTTGAGTCAAGAGTGTCTGACCTGGAGAAGCAGCTGTCCATCTATCAGCGAGTGGATGGAACAAACGGTGATCTTCCCATCACCCACGCTGCTGCGATGGAGTTGGAGCTGAAGGAGGTGCGACAACGGTATACACGACAGGTAGCCGAGCTGCAGGCACAGGTGGATCGTCTCACCGGGGAGCTGACCAAGATCAACAAGAACCAGCACAGTTAGTACCAGTACTTCCACAGCCTCACAGAATGTTACACACCCAGAGCAGTTACATGCAGAACATAACACTCACACAGTCTTACACATAGTCTCACAGAGAACTACAGACACAAAGCATTACAGTGAGACCCCAGATAACCAGACACATTCGTTTTTGCATAAATCGTGTAGTAACTTAATATCTGGATTTTATGTCATCCAGGCTTAGGTGTTGAAACGGTAGCGAGCATACACTTCTGGTTTAAAATCACTTCTAAAACAGCATGGTCGTTTTGATTTGCCAATTGCAATTCACTCAGTGTCAGGTAGGCCTACTAATCACCACCAATACCCTGCTGATCAGTCATTAATCCGTATTAGCAGACCTTGTCTTGTGTCAAGAAACGTGGGAATTTCGTGCTTCACTTCACACGGTCAGCAGAAGATCAAAGCTTCGTGCAGATAAGAGTCAATTTTGTGTTGATTTAGCTGGTTGGTTTGTAATATTTACCGTCCGGAAACGGACTTTAATAGAGTTTTTGTGAAAAATGACCGGAAGGTGAGGTTTCCCGATCCGGGGTCCAGGTATCTGGGGTTTTACTGTACGTACAAAAGGATATTTCTTGTGTTGAAGAAGGGGCATGTTTTGTCATTGCTTTATCCCTATTTAGACCTGATGAAGAACGACATCCCTCGACCCCCCTGAGTCTGAACTCAACCAGCAGGTGGCCCTGCTGCAACAGGAACTGGATGAGAAGAAGCATGACCTCCATGTCCTCCACACATCCCTGGAGAAACTCCGCAAGGAAAAGAATGGTGGTGAGCAAGGCTTACTTATAAAAATGAGTGTTAAGTTTTATGATGAGGTCCGAGGAGCAACATCCAGTAATATCTTTTGAGCTTAAAGAGCCATCAGTTCTTGTGGTATAATATGATCAAATAGCATTGAGCATTAGCAGTGGAGTGAGGTTAAAGGAGTCATTAGCTTGTGTAGTAGAGGTGGATTTTTTGGATAAGGTTAAAAAGGGCCATCAACATTTTTGGTATAAGTTAGGAATTTTAATCAGTATATTTGGTATGATTAGGTTAAAAAACACCAGCATTAGCAGTATGATGAGGTTAAGGAGCCATTAGCATTAGCAGTATGATGAGGTTAAGGAACCATTAGCATTAACAGTATGAAGAGGTTAAGGAACCATCATTATTAGCAGTAGTATGAAGAGGTTAAGGAGCCATTAGCATTAGCAGTATGAAGAGGTTAAGGAACCATCAGCATTAGCAGTATGAAGAGGTTAAGATTAAGTATGATGAGATTGGCATTAGCAGTATGAAGAGGTTCAGCATTAGCAGTATGAAGAGGTTAAAGAGCCATCCATTAGCAGCATGAAGAGCAGTTAAGGAGCCATCAGCATTAGCAGTATGAAGAGGTTAAGGAGCCATCAGCATTAGCAGTATGAAGAGGTTATGAAGAGGTTAAGGAAAGGAACATCAGCATTAGCAGTATGATGAGGTTAAGGAGCCATTGGCATTAGCAGTATGAAGAGGTTAAGGAACCATCAGCATTAGCAGTATGAAGTATGAAGAGGTTAAGGAGCCATCAGCATTAGCAGTATGAAGAGGTTAAGGGAGCCATTGGCATTAGCAGTATAGTGAAGAGGTTAAGGAACCATCAGTATTAGCAGTATGAAGAGGTTAAGGAACCATCAGTATTAGCAGTATGAAGAGGTTAAGGAACCATCAGTATTAGCAGCATGATGAGAGGTTAAGGAACCATTATATGAGCAGGTTAAGGAACCATCAGGTTATGATGATAGCAGCCATTGGTGCAGTATGAAGAGGTTAAGGAACCATCAGCATTAGCAGTATGAAGAGGTTAAGTATGAAGAGGTTAAGGAACACCATCAGTAGCATTAGCAGTATGAAGAGGTTAAAGGAACCATCAGCAGTATAGCAGTATGAATGAGGTTAAGGAGCCATCAGCATTAGCAGTATGATGAGGAGGTTAAGGAACCATTAGCATTAGCAGTATGAAGAGGTTAAGGAACCATCAGCATTAGCAGTATGAAGAGGTTAAGGAACCATCAGCATTAGCAGTATGAAGGAACCATCAGAGGTTAAGGAAGGAGCCATCAGCATTAGCAGTATGATGAGGTTAAGGAACCATCAGCATTAGCAGTATGATGAGGTTAAGGAACCATCAGCATTAGCAGTAGCAGTATGATGAGGTTAAGGAACCATCAGCATTAGCAGTATGATGAGGTGATGAGGTTAAGGAGTTTAATTTAGCAGTATGAAGAGGTTAAGGAACCATCAGCATTAGCAGTATGAAGAGGTTAAGGAACCATCAGTAGCATTAGCATTAGCAGAGGTTAAGGAACCATCAGAGCAGTTAAGGTTAAAGAACCATTAGCATTAGCAGTATGAAGAGGTTAAGGAACCATCAGCATTAGCAGTATGATGAGGTTAAGGAGCCATCAGCATTAGCAGTATGAAGAGGTTAAGGAACCATCAGCATTAGCAGTATGATGAGGTTAAGGAACCATCAGCATTAGCAGTATGAAGAGGTTAAGGAACCATATTAGCAGCATTAGCAGGTATGATGAGGTTAAGGAAGCCATTAAGGAGCATTAGCAGTATGAAGAGGTTAAGGAACCATCAGCATTAGCAGTATGATTAGGTTAAGGATCCATCAGCATTAGCAGTATGATGAGGTTAAGGAGAACCCATCAGCATTAGCAGTATGAAGAGGTTAAGGAACCATTAGCATTAGCAGTATGATGAGGTTAAGGAACCATCAGCATTAGCAGTATGATGAGGTTAAGGAGCCATCAGCATTAGCAGTATGATGAGGTTAAGGAACCATCAGCATTAGCAGTATGATGAGGTTAAGGAACCATCAGCATTAGCAGTATGATGAGGTTAAGGAGCCATCAGCATTAGCAGTATGAAGAGGTTAAGGAACCATCAGCATTAGCAGTATGATGAGGTTAAGGAACCATCAGCATTAGCATGAATTAAGGAACCATGAGGTTGAAGAGGTTAAGGAGGAACCATTAGCATTAGCAGTATGAAGAGGTTAAGGAACCATCAGCATTAGCAGTATGAAGAGGTTAAGGAGCCATCAGCATTAGCAGTATGATGAGGTTAAGGAACCATCAGCATTAGCAGTATGATGAGGTTAAGGAACCATCAGCATTAGCAGTATGATGAGGTTAAGGAACCATCAGCATTAGCAGTATGAGAGGTTAAATTAGCATTAGCAGAGCATTAGCAGTTAAGGGTTAGGAACCATCAGCATTAGCAGTATGATGAGGTTAAGGAACCATCAGCATTAGCAGTATGATGAGGTTAAGGAACCATCAGCATTAGCAGTATGATGATGAGGTTAAGGGAACCATCAGCATTAGCAGTATGAAGAGGTTAAGGAGCCATTAGCATTAGCAGTATGAGGTTAAGGAGGTTAAGGAACCATCAGCATTAGCAGTATGATGAGGTTAAGGAACCATCAGCATTAGCAGTATGGTGAGGTTAAGGAGCCATCAGCATTAGCAGTATGATGAGGTTAAGGAACCATCAGCATTAGCAGTATGAAGAGGTTAAGGAACCATCAGCATTAGCAGTATGATGAGGTTAAGGAACCATTAGCATTAGCAGTATGAAGAGGTTAAGGAACCATCAGCATTAGCAGTATGATGAGGTTAAGAGCAGTATGATGAGGTTAAGGAACCAGGCATTAGCAGTATGATGAGGTTAAGGGGAGCCATTAGCATTAGCAGTATGATGAGGTTAAGGAGCCATTAGCATTAGCAGATGATGATGAGGGGTTAAGGAACCATTAGCATAAGCATAAGCAGTATGATGAGGTTAAGGAACCATGAGCATAAGCAGTATGATGAGGTTAAGGAGCCATTAGCATAAGCAGTATGGTGAGGTTAAGGAACCATGAGCATAAGCTGTATGATGAGGTTAAGGAACCATCAGCATTAGCAGTATGAAGAGGTTAAGGAACCATTAGCATTAGCAATATGAAGAGGTTAGGGAGCCATTATCATTAGCAGTATGATGAGGTTAGGGAGCCATTAGCATTATCAGTATGAAGATGTTAAAGAGCCATTAGCATAAGCAATATGATTAGGTTAAAGAACCATCAGCATTAGCAGTATGATGAGGTTAAGGGAGCTATGAGCATTTGCAGTATGAAATATTTTATTCACAAGGCTGATGATTGGTTTGTTCACAGATACCACAAAGAAGTCCAAAACTAAGGGCAAGGGTACCAGGAAGAAGCTGAGCCCACCTGAGTCACAGTTTGATAGCTTCCCGCCATCTGTGGACAGGAGCTATGAACCCCACACGTTCGCAGACTCGGACATCACACAAGTCTTGCATGAAAACCAAGATCTGAGAACTACAGTAAGAATGGTGTTGCAAACAGAGGTTGACTAACATTATAAAATAAGTCCACTTATATGGCACTGAATTCCACGCCGCACGGGCATGCTGTAAGTGCATACAACTAAAAAGCTGATCAGTTGTCAGCAAAGTAAGGAAAAGATGGGTCTTTAGGCCAGATTCAAAGGCAGTCATGTGAAGTAAAGGGGAAGAGAGTTCCATACCACAGAGTGTTTGAATATCTGTGTCATCTTTCAGGTTTGTTCAGGATACTTTGAATATTGCTCACTTATAACATATATTCTCTCCAAGCCAGTAACCTTTGATATCTCCTGCATTAGGTGGAGAGACTACAGCTGGAACTAGACCAGCAGAGAGTGGATCTCCGTAAGTCTCTAGCAGAGACCGAGGCTGTGGCCCGTAAACACAGTGAGGACTACCAAGATCAGGTGAGCATGTCTTCATGTCTTCTGTCAGATGTAGCATGACCTTTAGGGGAGGGGAGGACATGCCGATACCTTTCACAAACACCGGGTGTCACCACTGGTTGTCAGTTATCTGTTCACATAATTTGAAACTGTTTTGCCTTTTACGCCCAATGGAATCTGTTTCTGAAGGTGATCAAGGCAGAGTATTCTGTGATGTTGATGTTCTGTATAGTTTGTTATACATTCTTTGATTTAAGATCTGATATTATCATTGGTAATATGATGTAGTAGTAGTAGTAGTAGTAGCAGAAGCAGTGTTAGAATTTGTAGTAAATTTTAAGTGTGGATTTAAGGTTTTGTATATTTTATAAAAGATTCTTTCGTTTAAAGTCTGATATTACCAGTCATGTTATGATATACTGTTAGTGATATAGTAGTAGTAGTAGTAGTAGTAGTAGTAGTAGTAGTAGTAGTAGTTAACTTGGGCCACAGACAGGCCTATTGGAGCCCAAGTTTGTTCCTTGTATTTAATGAAGAGTTAACTCCCTTGTTTCAGATTGACAGTCTGCGGTTGTCCCACCAGCAAGAGATGCAGAGAGTCCTCAGTGACCAGGTATTTCAGCACTCCTCCTCCAAATTGGCTCAGCTACACAGCAAGTGTGACAGTCAGGAGGTATGCCCATCCTTCAATACATGACATATTCGAACGTGTACACCAAACACCTCACCTTCCAAACTTCACAACCATAACCTAGTGTTGACATCCCAAACACATTCAATCCACTGAGCACTCCCATAAACAACTCTCTACCTGCAAAACTGAACACTCCACTAAACACTTAACTACTTTTAAATCTGAAGTGCATCCCTCTGTTGCACAACACATGTATTGATCAACGTCTTCCAGGGCATGGCACAGTTGTCTCCCCTGTTATTTGAGTTGTTCAAGAACACTGCCTCAATCTCCCTTCTGTTCTAGGTGATGATCCAACACCTACAGCAGCAGCTGGCCAAGTCAGAGGTTGATGCTGAGCAGATATCCATCCTCAAGATTCGAGAGGCTTCCAAACAGAATCAGATAGAGAAGCTCCAGGATCTGCTTCAAGAGGCCAAGAAGAGTCACTCACCTGTAAGTCATGGGCACTGTAGCAGTGAGGACATCAGTGAGGCAGATCAGGATGACATGTCTAGCTGGTTGCTGGTCCACCATCGACCGCCTCCGTGGTGTAGTGGTTAGAGCGTCCGCCCGGAGAGCGGAAGGTCGCGGGTTTGATCCCCGACCGCGGAATACCAAAAGACGTTAAAATATGGTACTTGTTGGTCCCTGCCTGGCGCTCGGCATTAATGGGTACAACAAGGACTGGTCGGCTCGGAGTCAGTATAATGTGTCTGAGTGGGGTATCCATGCTTCACTGCGGCATGGTATCTCAGTGGGCTAGCACTATAAAACCAGCTTCAGTGTGGGCTAGTACAAGCAGCCGCACATACACACGCATGCACGTCGTCATATGAGCGAAATATTCTCAAGCACGACGTTAAACCCAATTTCACCTCACCTCACCTCAGATTTGACTAGATTAGGCTTCTGGGTGTGTCAGCACCTTACCATTGCTTGAGAGTTTCACAATACATAAGGAGGCACAGGTGGTCGGTCCAGTCAGCTAAGGCTGTGCTTTTCAGTGTGCAGAGTTGTGTCCCTTGGAGGGAAGCAACCTATGATTGTGGTTTGAAGCACAAATGCCAGGATCATGTTTATAGATTTGTCAGTATCATTCCTATATGTGGGTTTAACAAAAGTGGTAAATGTCCATTGCTTGGGGTTTTACTTCCACATTAGGTGTACATGCCATGATCTAACCAGAATACTGTTCAAAATGGTGTAAAGCCCAACTCACTCACTAGAGTGGTAAACATCTGAAACCTGAATGACTTCTTGCTGTCCTCCTTCAAAGGAACATTTAACCAAACTCACTATGCTATTTTGATCACCTTTGACCAATTCCCCCACTGATGCTAAGATGGACAACAACTAAAATATGATGTTTTATCTGTTACAGGAGATGCGTCATTTTGAGTCCCTGCAGGAAAAGATTATTCAGATGGAAAATCGCCACGAGCAACGAGAGTCTGAGCTGAAACAGATCATAGCCAACACACAAAGAGTTGCCTCCCTTGAGCTTGGTCAGGAAGAAGAAAAATGGAAGAAGATTGTTGAACTGAAAAACAAAGAGATTGAGAAGTTTCGGGCAGAGCTGGACTCAATATTGGACGTTCTGCGTCTCCTACAGAAACAGGGTGTCATGTTACCTGTCAGCTCCATCCACTCATGACATCCACAGACAAGTCATGACATTAGCTCAGGGTTTGATGACAAGGTGTTCTGAGGAATACCAGACTTTAATCTGTGATAACAGGTGCAACACATAATCTCAGGCAGCCATGGTACGCAGTCAGTTCAGTACCATGGAAGGGAGATAATCATACCTCTTGCTGTTACCAGCTGAATGAAATTCTGACTCTCAAAGTGCTGCAGTAGCTGGTAGGGACTTGCCACACTGCTTGTATCAACAGACAGCAGTGTGTTAGATGTCTTCAGTGAGAAACTGCGAGTGAATGATGATTAACACCAAGTCAAGGATAGTACCTATATCATGGTGGCATGGGGTTTTGAGATCTCCCATTGTATGAGGGGCGGAGGGGTACCTTAGTGGTTAAAGCCTTCACTCGTCACACAGAAAACCCGGGTTCGATTCCCCACATAGGTACAATGTGTGAAGCCCAATTCTGATGTCCCCTGCAGTGATATTGCTGGAATATTGCTAAAAGCGGTGTGTGAAACTAAACTCACTCACTCCCATTGTATGAAAACCATGTCACATGATGTTATAACAGCAGGACGGTCAGTGGCTGGGTACACAGACTGGGTGGTAGATGATATATATTGCTGCTTACCAACCAGTCCAAAGTTAATGGTATTGATACCATAAGACAAGTCTTTACAATGATAAGGCAGTTGATCCTGATTAGCCAAACTCAGTATGTATATTACTAATATATATTATGTATTATATATAGAACTATATTTATTTTGTTATAATAAGCATTTATAAAGTAAACATGAAAACCTATTCCGTTTCGTGTTATTTGTACAAATTATATATGTATTATTGAGTAACATTTAAAGTCTTTTCCAGTTATAAGTAACATATAACTTTATAAGCCATGTGTCTCTAGATGAGCTTTATCAATATATAGTTGTATTTATAACCAGTGAGTGTTGGGGGTGCAAATCTTGTCCCTCCTGTAATTCCTGTCCATGTGAAGAGGTGGATATAAAATAACAAGTCTACTAATTAGAAACAAATCTTGGTTTATTGCAGCTCTCAGGAATGTTAGAAAGCACCTAAATTTCAAGAACATGATTTACAAGATCTCAGTATTTTTCAACAATTATGGAACATGACATTTTGGAAATATCTTTAACAATAAATACTGCGATACTGGAATGTTATTTTTCTCATGCTTAACATCAAGATTGCAGACTGCATTCAATCAAAATATTAACAAGATATTTGTGGAGAACAGTTTCAAGGCACTTATCACAAATTGTAGGAATGAGGTAACATTGAAATTACATGTACCTTAGCAGGGGTGGAAATAACTTTAAAATTGATAGTGTACTCCGGTACAGTAGCACATGTAAAGTCACTTGCCCTGATAACTTTTCCACTATACCGACCGTTTTCTTGCTGATTTTTTTAAATAAACAACATAAATAACATTGGAAAGTCAACTGGACACCGGTACAGTTATATACAAATTTGCTTGCCCGACAGAAATAAAAACTGGACTCGGACGTCGTGCAATGGGTTATTTCCACCCCTGGACCCTGAAGCTGTTATAGGTGTTACCATGGTTACAAGGCTGTCTGGGATATGGTTTATCTAGCTAATTTGTAGACAATATTACAGTAAATTTGAACAATAAATAAACTGCAGCAACAAAATAAAAACTTCACTATGAAAGTGGACGGAATGATACTTTGGCTTACAATAAGACAACTAGAATTGATTCATAGAAACAATCTGTCAACAACATAAATATGGACAAACTTGGGAACGTAACAATGTAAAATAACATGGACGGAGTAAATCTGTGATATGATCTAAGCTGATCATGCTGTAACTGCAGTAAAGCTTGATTATGTAAATACTTTGTACATTTTAAATTAATCAGAAGTAGAGCGCTTTTACCCCTGACAACAAATGTGGTGCTTCAGTCAAGGGCATCCATGATCTGCCCTGCACAGTGTTGTATCAAGGAATATCATGGAACCATCTTGAAAGTAGCTTCTAGTGCCTGAATCATTGTCAGAATGTCGATAAATTTGTTTGGTAACTAGTAAATTCATTTGGTAACTAGTAAAATGGAAATAATGAAATAATATTAATAAATTATCACAGATCTTGGCCTGATGTACCACAGCGACATCAGCCATCTTGAACAAGCCTACCACAGTCATGTGCTGATAATGGACATGTACAAAAGCAGCAGTGTCCAGCTAATTAACAGTGGCATCTTTACCGTTACAGTAGCTCCAGCTCCTAGACAAATACTGCTGTATTTTACAGAGCTACTACAAGGTATAGCACATTACCAGGTCACATGACCATGGATCCAAAAAACATGAACCATGAGTGGTTATAACGTGGCTGAGTTTTATAGGAATGTCCATCCTAATAGCCCCTTTAATCTCATCTGGAGAACTAGTCAGCTACAGCGTGGTGGATGCAGTGGCACGCTCTAGTGGTAGTGTCTGGCTGATTGGACCCTCTGTCGTGTACTGTTGCCAGGAGTGTGTCCACGCTGTGGCTGCGAAATTGGTAGATGACCTCGAAACCCTCCAGACTATAAAAGAAAGTTGTTGATTAGGACCATACATACATGGATTACACAACAAACACCAATAATGATGAACACACAACATACAATTATCTGAAATATTGCCAGTATTAATCGACTGAAGTGAAAATCACAGCTCACAATCTGGGCATCAACTCAAGCTCTAAGTGAGATAATATGCTCCATGCTGATATCATACTTCAATCATGCTTCATAATGATGCCCCTTCGATGTATAGCACGCTTCACAATGTGTGGAATTGAATCCAATGGTTTAAATAGAACCTTTCTGCAAAATGTATTGAATTACATCAAGCTTCATAAAGTATTGATGTGTATCATACTTAACAGTGTATTGAAATGAACCATTCTTCATAATATATTGAAATGTCATGCAACATACACAGTGTACTGAAGAGAGAAAGGTTTCCACCCATTCCGTCACCTCCTTTACTCCTCCGTTACCCATTCCATCCAATGTCCAACCCCTTCCATCTCTAACCCGACCCGTTTCCTCCATCTCCTGCCCCATCCATTCCATCTCCTCTTTTACCCTACCATCTCCTTGCCCTACCATCTCCTGCCCCATCCATTCCATCTCCCTTTTACTCCTTTCATCTCCTTTACCCTACCATCTCTAACCCCACCCATTAAATCTCCCCTTTACCCTACCATTCTCAAACCCCATTTCATCTCTCTTTTACTCCTTTCATCTCCTCCTTTACCCCTACCATCTCTAACCCCACCCCTTTCATCTCCCTTTTACTCATTTCATCTCCTCCTCTACTCCCTACCATCTCTAACCCCACCCCATTCCATCTCCCCTTTACTCTCTTTCCATCTCCTCCTCTACCCTCCTTTACCATCTCTAACCCCACCCTTCCATCTCCTTTATACTCCTTTCATACTCTCCACATAATGATCTTTACCCCTACTTAAAACTACCATCTCTAACCCCACCCCTTCCATCTCCCCCTATATTCCTTTCCTTAAAACACACTACATACTACATACACTCCTCCTTTATCCCTACCGCCTCTAACCCCCCCCTTCCATCTCCCTCCCCTATACTCCTTTCTCATCTCCATCTTTACCCTACCATCTTACTCCATTCATTTCCTCCTTTACCCCTACCATCTCCTGCCCCACCCATTCTATCTCCCTTTACCCCTTCCATCTAATGTCCAACCCATTCTATCTCCACCTTTACCCCTCCATCCTTCCAAACCCTACTTTTAGCTGTGAGGCAGGGGCATGTGCACCAGAGTGACTACCTGATCCATCAGCTCACACTACACACTACATACACCACATAAAACACACACTACATACACCACTTAAAACACACACTACATACACCACTTACAACACACACTACACACACCACTTAAAACACTGCATACACCACTTAAAACACACACTACATGAACCACTTAAAACACACACTACATACACCACCCTACATACTACATACACCACTTAAAACACACACTACACACTACATACTACATACACCACACAACATACTACATACACCACTTAAAACACATACTGCATACACCACTTACAACACACCACATACGACATACACCACTTACAACACCCTACATACTACATACACCACTTAAAACAAACACCACATATGACACACACAACTTACAACACACTACATACTGCATACACCACTTAAAACACACTACATACTACATACACCACTTAAAACAAACACCACATACGACATACACAACTTACAACACACTACATACACCACTTACAACACACTACATACTACATACACCACTTACAACACACTACATACACCACGTAAAACAAACACCACATACGACATACACAACTTACAACACACTACATACACCACTTAAAACACATACTACATACATCACTTAAAACACACTACATACTACATACACCACTTAAAACAAACACTGCATACTACATACACCACTTACAACACACCACATACTACATACACCACTTAAAACATACACTACATACTACATACACCACTTAAAACACACACTTCATACTACATACACCACTTACAACACACTACATACACCACTTACAACACGCTACATACACCACTTACACCACACTACATACTATATACTCCACTTAAAACACATACTATATACACTACTTAAAACACACACTACATTCTCTACAAGAAACCAAACACTACACACATGCTAGAATGTTTCTACAATTCTCTTCTGTGCACACGCATCTAGCCACACGAAAACACCTGTAAAATAGCAGAAAGCAGATGCCCTGTCACAACAACAAGCAGTGTGATCAGTGCAGACACAGACAGAGAGGCAGTGAGAGAGACAGAGAGACATGTGAGGAGGAGAAGTAGCGACACAGACAGAGGACATGCAAAGACATACTTGACATCAGACAGGGGGGCGACCATGGACCTGAGAGAGAAATAGGAATCACTAGGATAATGATTACATTTAAGAACTTCAGATCACTGTAACCGGTACAACATGCTTGACTGTAACTAGAGAACTTTCTGATAGAAACAACTGACTAAAAATACAAGTAAAATGGTTTTGAGTATGAAACTATTGGACATTACCTGAAATGTACCGGTAGCCTGAGTTCCGTCATGGACAAAGTGATGTTGACCGTGATTGGAGTGACCATGAGAGGCTGTGCTGCCAGGCTTGTGCTTGCTCTCTGAAACTATAAACAGAACATCACATATATACTTATGAAGAAAGATTGTCCTCAAACAAAATGTTATCTTGCACTGTATACTGATGTTACACAAACCAAGAGTCATCAGCTGATGTTATATTCCCTGAATCTAAACATGTAGACGGTAGGTATCCCCATAATGTTAACATCTGATATCCTGGAATCAGGTTAACAAAGAGAGTCTGAAGACAGAGGGGATGCCAATGTCTCAACTGTTTGGAAAATATTTTCCTGGTGGTAACTGTTTGAATGAAGGACTAGGTTCAGGCATACTGGCAGCACTAACAACTCCATCATACAACACTTCGTAGGTCTAAAAACTCAAATTATGCAATGCATACTAAGATGTGGTTTAAGACACCCTAACTAATTCATATGATGATGGTTAATCTGTAATGTCCACGAGTTTTACTATATTCAGTCATACCTTTATCTACTTTCAAACTGTATATATCAATCTACCAGTTAAAGTTTTGCTTTAAACATATTTTATTCATTCAAGAAAAGGACTGGGCACAAGTTATCCAACTTAGAAAAGCCCTCTCCCAATAATTACACAATTCATCTTACAACAAAGTACACAAGTGACAGACATAGGCTGTGATATGTACAACAGAAGTCTGACAAAACGTTTTGTTTGAGAGATATAGATATGTACATATTTGAAAACATTCTGGTTTTCAGTGAATGAGATATTAATATCAATCAGTGTTCTATTTTTGACAATATGTTCTAAAGATTTTTACAGTTTATGTCTTTGAATAGTATACAATGGAGTTAAAGTTTAACCTCATTTTAAAGAGACAATGTCAAATATTAATAATATATGAAGCTTCAATGTGTTGATCTGGACAGAAGAAACAAAGCATACAGCATGGTCCCTCTTCCAACATATTAAACATCAACTAAACACTGTTGAGAATGCAGATGCTGCTGTGAGATACCTACTTTGGAGTTTATCATCCAAATGTTCCAGAGACTCCAGCAGCTTCTGTTCCTCTAGAGACAATGCTGACGGACCTGTTCGAGATAAGACCATACCTACAGTCCTGTACTACTGTACACATTTCTGACAGTGATAGCTAAAAACACTTTAGAATTGTCTTACAGATACAACTAAAAGCACTGTATATACCACTGGTTTAGTTATAATTACAACACTTCATAAGCAAAATGAACACATATGAACACTGGAGACTTAGTTATCCAACACTTGTGTTACCTGCGGTGCCTCGTGATATAAGTGTGCGGATCTCCTGCTGCCGTCTCTGTGCCTCCTCGAGAGCCAGCTGCACCTGACTGTCAGACATGCTCTTCCCAGCAAAGTGCTCTGCAGCCAGAAACGTTGCCATACTCTCGGTCACTGGAGGAAGATCATGCAACTATTATACCAGTGTGTGTTGTTTTGGTTTGGTATGTTGTTTTATGCCGCACTCAGCAATATTCCAGCTATATGGCGACGCTTTGTCTGGGCCAGACAATCCAGTGATCAACAGCATGGGCATCAATCTTATACCAGTGGGACACAATGAACTTATCAATAATGTTGATGTGCACAGATATCAGTGAAATTATCTAAAGAATGTAATCATGTACAACAATCTTAATCGATAAGAATGCTTTGCTTTTTGTTGTTATTTATTATGATAACAATTGTAATTTTGTGGATCTTAGTTACCACCAAAACTAAATAACAAACTAATAGACTAGATTACAAACATAAGTCCACATATGCAAACATGTCTAATTACAAGACAGTGTAACTACAGGATTAACGTGCATAATTCCATACAGATTTGTTGATGTTCGCTATCTCCTGTGACATGTACGTTGGTTTCTTAATCTGAATGGAAAACAGTTCAAAACTCTAGCTCACAATTTTGTCTCTTTAACATAGTACCAAAGTTCTGTAACAGAAGCAAATAATGTAACAGAATCTATAGAATTGTGCCATGGATTCCTTCAGTGACTGCAAGAATGACACAAAAGAATTTTCCAATAATCGTGGTCTGTACTCACCATTAGGCTGGACTCTGTCACTCTCCTGTGGCTCCAACTGGCTGAATGTAGGCGGCTGTGTGTTCCTCTTTGCCGAGTTGGACTGATTTTTCCGCTGCTGCAACATACCAAACTTGCGCATGTAGCCTCCGTTGTTAGCACTAGCCGGCTTCTGTCTGCTGGCCATGTTGTTGATGGCTCGGTGCTGCACTGTGTTACTGAACAGAGCGGTGTTCACCCGGGTGTTGCCGGTCAAACCAAGCGATTGGCCATCTATGTACTTGTTAGAGACAGGTGCCGCCTGGCGACTCAGGGAAGGATCAGCAGCTATGAGACTCGCAGTCGTCTTCTTCTCTGATGGGGTCGGTTCACGGTTCAGACATGTCCTCACCTTCTCCCAGAGCCAGTTAATTTCATCATCAGTGGGAGTTCGATCAATACGGAGACCGTTCTCGTTGTAAACTGGCTGGTTTTTGTTCAAGGCATCAGATGCGGGTGTCTGGAGTCAGGTGGCTGTTGATAGGAGCTGCCACATACTTGGTCTGGTAGGCAGCAGCCACGCTATCAGCCTTCTGCAACACACTTGTCACATCTCCGGTCAGTTCAGTGTAGGCATTGGTAGCTGTGTAGATGACACCCTGGGAGGAAGCGGACGTTGCTTGTTTTGGTATTGCCACAGGGACCTTACCCATGAAGTTGTTGGTTGTTACTGTAACCTTCTTGCCTTGGTTGCCACTGAGGTAGTCGTTTCCTTCTATTGAGTGAGCTATGATGTGGGCCACAGCTCGGGGTCGATCCTGAGCATGTTGTTGCTGGCCGGGTCTAAGAGTGCCGGCACTGGCTGCCCGAGTCAGTCGGTTTACCCTATTGGATCCTGAAACCTTGGCTGAGACTGGGCGTTGCCGCAGTGCAGGCTTAGAGGCACCTTAGATAAAGGATCGTTTTGAACATTAACACATTGATCACATTGATTTAGATGTGCATGTACTACAAACAATGTGAGCATCACATGCAATATGTGTACCTATCACTATCACTAAGGAACATTAAACTGTTGTTACACTTAGAAAATCAATTACTCATGTTTTTGATGAGTAAATATTATGAGGCCTCACGTGAGTTTCAATGGTCATTTAATAAACTTTAAGGACAAAATGGGGGTGCGCACATCTGCACCCCCTCTGAATCTATCTATGCCAATAGACACATAACCTTAACAGGACCAATGATTTATGCATTTCACATGAAATAGAGGATATTATATGAGTGCCAATGTCATACTATGTTTACGACACGAGTGCCTAAATGTTGGTATTTCCCGAGCGAAAGCGAGGGATATACCGATATTTAGGCACGAAGTGTCGACACGAATATAATATTCTGTTTATTACCGAGTCGTTAAATTGAGGAAAATAACTCAAATCTACTTTCAAACATGTAGAACGCAACGTCACAGAAGAAACGTGATGTCATAGCATTGTTCATGACGTCACGTCACCATGGCAAAGTGATATTTTGCCCTAGAGCATCGTATGAAAAATATTAACCCCGATATGTTCGCCCTCTGTAGGTAATAAATGTCTTTACAATATTTTCTACCAACCCTACCTGACGTCATTAAGTTGTTGAGAGACAGTTGCTTGTACCTAAATGTTATATATTCAGATAACATGCCCTGTTTGCTGCCTGCCTACCTTGTCCAGTATTTTCATTGTTCTGGGTGACCTTCTTGACTGGTGTAGCATTGTCGGTGTTGCTGTCTACACTGTCATTGTCCTCGGGGACATCTTCGTCATAGTGCAAGTCAGCAAATCTCACGCTCTTCTTTCCTGACTGCAACAATCAGGTCATCACAAAATGATTTCCTTTTGCACGTTTCATGTCACTATTGTTGGCTTAAGGAAACTGTCTGCACTAGTGTGACTCAAAGATTTTCAGATATAACAAATTGATAGTTATAAAGATCTTATAGAGAGAAAGGACATGAAGGGTGACACGTCCCACATCTCCAGGCAGGTGATGCTACTTATATACATTATACCATGAATACCATTATACCACATACTACCAGTTGAAGCAGGAGTCAGTGAACGTAGCCTCTACTGTATAGAACATAGAGTGAGAGGACTCATTATCACTTGCTTGATAACGGTGTTAGTACCTACGCCGAAACGTCGCATTCATTGCAATAAAGAAGTTGACTATCTATAGAACTTGGTTTTCCTTCAGGACTCATTATGTTGATACACCTACTGTGCAAGTTCAAGGGTAAAAGTGCCATGGTAATACAAAAGGTCAGCTTCAAAAAGATCACTCACCCCTCTGCCATTTCTGCTTTGATCAGATCTGCGGTTACCCCTGGCAATCTCGATGCTGTCTTTCACTCGTAATCCAGTGGTATGCAAACTGCCTGTGGATGCCACCTTTTTCAGTTTGCTGGATTCTGGCCTCTTTAGAATGCTCTTTACCTCCCTAGGTTCAAAATCTGATGCAGATTTCTTCGGCATTGTTTTGGATCGCTGGGTGGCTTGTTGCTTGCTTGGCAAGTTATCATTGGCTACTGCTTCAATATTAGCAAGAATTGCCAGCTTACCATGAACCAGTCCAAGAGTTCCATTAACAATATTCCCTGATTCTGTGCCCTTTGATGGTGCTGTGTTGTTGACGTTGTCTTTACTTCCTGTTTGTGTGACAGCTGGAATGGGTCGTGGGCGTGAACTTGTAGTGGACACAGTTGCTGCCAATGTACAGGAAACCGTCGCTGGGTTTGAAGGTAGAGAGTTGGCAGTGCTGGCAGAGATGGCTGCAGGTGGAAGGGTCTGCTTGGAGACAGTTGCTGGGATGTATGATGGACCGGCCTGACTGATGGGATTAGTGAGGGAAAGTGTTGACAGAGTGGTAGCTTGGGAGTAATCACGTTTCTCCTTCACACTTGAAGGTAGAACATACCCAGCACTTGTACTGGGCTCGGTCTGCACCCCTGTGTTATCAGGCATGGTGGGTTGGGTGTAGATGGGAAGGTAGGGGGGCACATGGCTGGGGAACTGGGACAGCTGTCCTGGGTAACACCCTCCATTTGCTTCATGCGCCATCTGATGCATCTGTTGTTGCTGCCCTATCTGATGCATCTGTTGTTGCTGGCTCATCATCCCTGCTGAGGAATGAGGGGCTCCCTGGAGATGAGAATGAAGAACAAAAGACTGTTCCTGATTTATATTACTCACAATAGGCCCAATAATTGCACCTCTGTCATAATTCGTTGTAGGAGGTTTTGCATCATGATACTCCACTTGGAATGGTTTGGACTCTAAGGAGTCATCTGTCATAGTAACGCTAGCACTATTCGGAGTCACTCTCCCAACAAGGGGTGTGGCCTTAGGTTGGACAGGTCTAGGATAAGAATTGGACCTTGTGGCTGTACTCGCTGTCTGAGGTCTGTCTTTTCCAAATGACTCTCGTGAAGCATCTAGACTGTCAACACTTGACAAACTGTCACTACGATTCATCCAAGACATTTCTTCTCCAACTTCTTCAGTGCCCTCCAGTTTGGCATCAGCATCCATCTCACGCTGAATGGCCTGGTTAAAGATGTGGAGGGACTTCTTCTGATCCTCCAAAAGAAGCTGTTGATGCTGCTCTAGCTGCTGCTCAAACAGAGTCCGGCTGTCGGTGTAGTTCCGCAGTGACTTGTCACGCATATCTGCATGTTCCTGGGCACGATCAGATGTAGACTGTGGCCTCAAATGCCGACTTGAGTACTTGTTAAAGTAGGGTCTACTTAGTGGATCATGGTTGTATGTCCCGAAAGCTCGAGGAGAGGTTCTACCTTTATGACTGCCAGTGGATGAGAGGCTGTTCTGTCGTGACAGAGGTGGGGTTCCTCTGATGAGCCTCAAGGCTTCTTCTATCCCAGTTGTTGTGTGTGGGTGGGTGAGGACCTGCGACTGCTGGATCTACTGGAGGGGATGGTAGATCGCTGGTACTTCTCTGTAGCCTTTTGCTGTTCCTCATGACGTCGGTGTAAGATGTCCTGTCTCCTTTTCTCCTCTCTTTTTAGTTCATGTTTCCTTCTCTGGGCCTGCGCTCTGCAATGCAAATAATGGTAACATAACAAAGGTTACTGCAATGAAATTGCTGTAACACAAGTTTTTGAAAAAGGAAAACTGAACTCTTGTGTCAATATTACCGACAGCTTGCCTTTCAACACCAGCAAGTAATGATAGGTCTGGTGCTGCACTGGGCCATGGGATGTTAATTACACTGTCTGGTCAACAACAGTCCTGTTCACTGTCTGGTCCTGAATCAGGATCCCATCCCACATAGCCACCATAGAGATAAGACCATTAATATCATGATTACTACCCCACTGTAATCATCAAATTGAGACAACCATAGGCTGACAGCACTTAACATGATACTCCTGTAATGCTCATTTATCATACTATTTAATGAGCGACTAATGTTACAATGCCTTAATTCATATTATTTTTGCTATAATTGAAAAATTCAGCAAAATTCCACCTTAATCGAAATAAGTGCTATTATATCTACTATTACTTGTTTCAGCAAACTAAACAAAACAGAAGTATAATAGACTGACTTTGGAGTAGTGTAGTGGCCTAAATTCACTGACAAAACAAGCCATGCTGTTGGTATGCAATGACACAATAAATTCACATACTGTAACCATTCAATTTATGACAAACTTTTATGACAAACATGGAATACTAGAAATTCTTTAAATGGCATTTAGAAGCCGTTATGACGAAGAAGAACAATTTTTATGGATAAACAACCTCTTGTTGCTATTGATGTGACATTGTGGTGAAGATGCTAACACTGTTATCAAGCAAATGATTGCTTGATGTTTGATAATGGTGTTAGCATCTACACCTTTTCATGGAATACTAGAGACAAATTTAATTGTAATCATGATAATGGAATCATTTCAATTCATATTTGCATATTGTCATGACAAAGCTGGGTACTGTAACACACTTGCTGACACAGTTGACTTACTTCCTCCTCTTGTTGGTCTCCTGAGTAAGTCTTCTGGTACGAGCGATGATGTCTCCCTTCTCCACCTGCTTCATTGTCTTCAAGTGATCAACCTGCTCTCTCTCCAGGGTTTGGTAACGCTTTCTAGCAGAGTAGTTAAGGTGATGACAGTGGTAAGGTTGTTATGACAAGAAACTAACTGGTCTCAAAGACTTTTGGCATTAGATCTTTACCTGAGGACCAACAAATTCTTTACCCACTTGTCAACCTGTGCTACCATATTTGAATTCATGTTCTCCTTATTTAGTTCAAAAGTTTTATTAAAATACTTTGAATGCATCCCTTCATGAACTCAATAGTGTTTTTTACTTGAACTTGTCTGTTTAGCAAGATATACAACAAGGAATGTACACAAGCCATGAAGTCTTGAAACTTGTGTCTGATGGGATGACTTAACACTCTATTACATCCTGTTACACTTACAAGTCTCATTAAGTGTGTGATCAATGCTTATATCCATCTGTGGATGCCTGCCACTCTAGCTTTACACTTGGTTAGGCGTGACAGCTGCACCATCAATTAATTAATGACCATTGTCAAATAGCTACAATACTGCTAGGGCAACATTAATATGGTTAAACCACAAACACACAAAACAAGACTTGAAAAACACCATTATCCCCATATCACCAGACTCACTTACACACAGTCACACTAAAAGAGTTACAGATTCAAGATCTAACACCTTTACCTAAACAGGGTCTGGCTCTGTGTCTGACTAACAATATAATGTATATGTAGTCTATAGTATGAATTGTTCCCCAAAACTGGAAAAGATTACTTCTTTTTCTTGAACTTGGATAAGGTATCAATCAACCTACACTGTGTGTTTAGTGGAAAGATAGTAAGAGCTAAGATGGCAATATTATAACTTTATAATGTGCGAAATGATAAAGGGAAAATTACTTGTCAATGGGATGAACTACTAACCGATGATCCTCATGACTTATGAATGGATTTCATTCACTATCAACACCATCGAAGACTTGTAAGGATACGAATAGCCACCGGCTAGCATATCTTCTGTTTTGCTTCTATGTGGAATCCAAAAGAAACACAGAATTCGAAAATGTCAGTGGGTTTCCTCATCCGTTCGCTTAAAATCCCATATTTCACACGTCAACTCCATCGCCGTTGCTTTCACTGGAAACTAAGGTCCGCCATTATTGTTTTGGGTAACAACATGCGCAGGCATGCGCAAAAATTATTCAGGTGCGCATAGACTGGATTTGTCTACCTTGCAACGTTTGCGCTCCACACAGCACACTGGACTCCGTCTCTCATCGCGAGCTGACGACATAAAAGGGAGCCGGGAACCAAAACTGTGGAGCTCAAGACAGGGTACCGGTCTAATGTGCAGATCGGATAACTTCGATTTCGAATGAATATTTGGAAAATATGTCATAATGATATTTCACCTCTAAAAAACTCTATATATAATAAGACCAAACTGACCACACAGAGATGGAGTGTTTCTGTTGTTTAATTCTTCTTCTGACTATTTACAGATATACAGATGTCCCCACTAACATCAGAAACATTCAAGATGTTGCCACTTTCCAGAAACATCTCAAGACATATATGTTCACCAAAGATGTGTTTGAATAGACTCCAGTCAATGTAGAATTCATAGAAGCGCTTTTGAGCAGTGATAACTGGATACCAGCGCTATATCAATCCAAAGTTATTAATATATTATTATTATTTGCTAATTCTATTTGCTTGCGGGAACAACAGGCAGGCTAAATGATAGGTATCCATTAAAAAGAGCACCCATGTTTATATTGTGTTAATTAGTATCTTTATTGGTTGCCTTTGATAGTGTATTCCATTCCTTGTCTCATTGTTTGGGTAATTATTGTTCACGTAGTGTTCCTCCCAACACACTACTGAAACAAGGCACAAACTTCTAATTAATCGCTTTCAGTGTGGCATGATATCAAATGTTGAGAAATAACCAGAATGATATTTAAAAGACATTGTCTCACTAACGGAAACCAGGAGGAAACTGTCACTGATTGGTGATATGTAATGGAGAACAGAAAGACGGGGAAAGTATATATAGTACTGATTTTAAATGGCAATAGATATATTTCTGTCTTTCATTTGTCTATGGTAACCAACAACCTGAAAAACACACATTACTGTCGACGCACTGCCCCTTTAACTGTGGGCTTCAATTCGTAAGTTGCCACCCGTGTTATCTTATTACATTTGTTGTTCCCACTCACTCACTCACTCACTCACTCACTCACTCACTCACTCACTCACTCATTTCATTCATTCATTTATTTATTTCACTCGATGAATGAACTTGCATATAATTCAAATGTTGTGTTCCTGGATGATAAAGAGGTAGAGGTAGCTGGCCTGCTTAGGTAGTACACAATTTATGTAAAGTCCTTACAACACATGCTTTGTCAATGTGAATACGGAATACATGCTTTAGCGTGTTTATAGACCTAGCCTCTTGAATACATTGTAATAGTCCTCTACTTAATAAGCGCCCTTTAGTGTCGAATACATATACCATAAAGCCACAACAGAATGTAAGTAAACCCACAACACTATTTCCATTATCATGCTGAATCTCTGACAAAGGCAGAGTCCATTGTACGATTCCAACGATATATGAAGCATGAACCACTATCAAATGGTGACGATACCACATGTAAAATGGAGCATATCCCACCCACCGTTAGCAACAGCCACAAACACACGCTAAAGACAAGTTATTTGTTCATCTACAAGCATACACAAACGGAAGCCAAGACAGGGTCATCAGTTCCGTCGTTGAAGGGACAAATTTGTAATGTCCTCCACAAGGCTACCGTAAAAGTTTTTGAAAGCGTTACAAAGGCCTTGTATGTTCACTATGTTGTAGCCCTGATCAAACAACTATTATATAACAAATACAGAGTTTGTAGTCTTGGCTCAACATACATTGGTACAATCACTCTTTACAACAAACCCTGCAAGACGCCCCACCCCTCTGTGTCACCCCTACATTTAGGCCTGTGTACATATGAACAGAAGTCTCTTGGTGTATACTCCTGATATATATGTTGTTTGTTTGTCGCTTAACTGTACTCAGCAATATTGCAGACATATCACCGCGGCTTGTCTGGATAAAATAGACTGTCTCCCAGACTCTTGAGAATCAATAAGGAGTCCTACTCACGTCAAGAATACTTGGCAAGTGTAGATTGCTCCAGAAATTTGGTTTGGTAAAGAAATACTGTTAAATAAGATAACTAAATGTTACTCTATGGACAACACAAAGAAGACGGATACTTTGTGTACAGGACTTAGTCTATTCCAATCTATACACATGGAAAAAGTATAGCAACACTTTGGATTACTAACCCCTATATAGCTATTAATATTTAGATAATTATGTTTGTTGGAGTGATTATTTTGACCCTTCTGTCGCACCATATATTCATTTTAGATATCACATGCTATCACAGGCGATCATCACATGCAATACGTGTACCAAATATTTGATAGCACATATTAGTTTCAGCTCGATAACCTGAAAAATCAATTGATTTCTCCTCAACTGCATGACAACTGCTCAAAGATGGCAAGCCATTAACTGTGCGGATTGCTGTTATGTCATTGAGGACTATCAGCCGATTGGCCAGGAAACATCAGCAATGTATTAACATTAAGGGCAGTCAGCGTTCAGGCCGACAATCTTGGGGGTGATAGAGCCCATCTGAGAATCACAAGACTTCATTCGTTCATGTCAAGTGGCTTCCACGTCGTCGTTTGTCCAACAAAACGGTCCGAAATTGTCCCAAAGCGGCCGCAGAATACGCCAGAGAATATCGTGGTTTATCGGAATGATGTTCAAGAATGAAACGCAGTACCTCAACGTCAATTTCAACGACGGCTACGGTCAGTGATGAGGAGGGTGAGGGATGTTATTGCAGTTTGCGGGCATTACACCAGATATTGGTATTATGCTCGCCTATTGATACTTAGGGACCGTTCATAATTTATGGCTGTGTGTGTATGTGTGTGTGTGTGTGTGTGTGATGATGATTTTTATGGAGAAGCATGTACAATGTGAATGACCCCCCTAAAATTCAGGTACAAAATAAGTGATCCCCTGCATGTCATGTACAAAATCAATGACCCCCCCCCCCTTCCCCTTCCCATCATTTCTAAGCATAATTGTAAACATATTTCTATGTACAAAATTGCTGACCCCTAGTATGTGTGTACAAAATTGCTGACCCCCTTTTGCTCCCCAGAACAAAATGGTGTCCCCCTAAAATCATCAACCCCCACCCCACCACCCTTAGCCATAAGTTATGAACGGTCCCTTATGTCATTTCTTGAGGACTATTTGCCAGAATCTTGAAAAATCTTGAAATCGCACTTGTTAACGTCATAAGACCATAGTTATCAGCACAACAAAATTAGTCAAGTTAAACTGAGGTTTGCATAAGATATTTGCTGTGGATAACGGTAATATATTGAGATTGTGGTTAATATGGAGCGTTGCTATACTTCTTTCCATGTGTATATTACGTCACCGTTCCTGGCATTAAGTTGTTAATTTCCAGAAGCATCGGCTTCTGGGTGGAGGTTCACTGCCCCCTTAAGAGTTTGCTGTAAAACGTACATTGCCATTACTTGCAGGTTGCATTTAAACCACCTACACAACAACGCAGCATATTTTTGCAGGGTTCATATGGACCAGGTATTCTCTGCTGATGAGAGGCGGTGGGGTAGCCTATTGGTTAAAGCGTCCACTCGTTACGCTGAAGACCCGGGTTCGATTCCCCACATGGGTACAATGTGTGAAGCCCATTTCTGGTGTCCCCCGCCGTGATATTGCTGGAACATTGCTAAAAGCGGCGTAAAACCATACTCACTCGGTCTGCTGATGAAAATCGACATCGTTTTCATCAAATACCACTTGCAGCCATCCACGCCAATATGGTGTCAACTTTGTTACTGTTAAGAGATGAAGAAGGGGAGAGCAACATAAGAGGTGAGGTGAAATTGGGTTTAACGTCGCGCTGGAGAATATTTCGCTCATCTGACGGCGTGCATGCGTGTGTATGTGTAGGTGCGGCTGCTTGTACTAACCCAGACTTAAGCTGGTTTTATAGTTCTAGCCCACTGAGATACCGTGCCGCAGTGAAGCATGAATACCCCAAACAGACACATTATACTGATTCCAAGCCAACCAGTCCTTGTTGTACCCATTAATGCCGAGCGCCAGGCAGGGACCAACAAGTACCATATTTTAACGTCTTTTGGTATGACGCGGTCGGGGATCGAACCCGCGACCTTCCGCTCTCCGGGCGGACGCTCTAACCACTACACCACGGAGGCGGTGCAACATACGAAGAACGAGTTTCGAGGTAGAATGAAAATCAGAGGCCCTTCAGCTGTCAACACTAAAGAAGACATTGATAAAATACATGGCGTGTTTATAGATGCTCGACGTCTGCCTGGTGTCCAGCAGCCAATATGGTAGGCATCTGTAGTGAGACAGTCCTGAACATTCAGAGAAATGACTTGTGTGTAAGAATGGGGCTCCGGATTCCAAGATTTCCGACTTCTGATCAGGACACGCGCATGATTTATCATCAGTCGTCAGAAATTAGGCCCTTTTTAAGCTGACCTGTGTTGAGCGATGTGTAACTATAGATGTGACTGTCAGCCAGAGATTACACAACGGTCACTGCTCAGTGGAAACATCGGACATCTGCTCCACCAAAGACAAAGTTTGTTCCATCGTCTGGTAAGGTGATGACTTCGGTTTTCAGGGATTCCGAAAGAATATTTCTTCTGGACTAATGTGTGTTTGTGGTTTAAGCCGTGCAAAACACACTAAATACTTTCTGATAAGACCAACTGTGCACAAGGCTTCTTGTCGTCATGGCTGCAATGAAAGTGGCTTTGAAGTTATTAAATATCCTTCGCATTCACCAGACTTAGGACTTAGATTTCCACCTCTCCCCAAACCTGAAGAAATAACTGTGTGACAAACATTATACAAATGATGATGATGATGTAATTTCCTCTTTTAACCTTTAAAAGGATGAAACGGAATTGGGTACTGGTCTCAAATGTTCACCACTTTGGTGAAACCAAGAGTGAGTGAGTGAGTTTAGTTTTAAGCTGCTTTTAGCAATATTCCAGCAATATCACGATGAGGACACCAGAAATGGGCTTCACACATTGTACCCATGTGGGGAATCGAACTCGGGTCTTTGGCGTGACGAGAACCACCAGGCTATCCCACCGCCCGCGGAACCAACGAATATAAGTATGGTTGTGATAAACCTCGAAACAGAATCTGGGTTAACTGGGATTTCAAATTATCATCGCAGGTTTCATGGCTGGTAAAAGGTAGGCAACACCACCCTACAAAATGTGGAGATTTGTATGACTGGTCCACCCATATATAGGATGAAGAAAACAGCATTTTTCAAGTCACAGATATGGAATAACATACAGAGGTTCCTCTGTTCGCCATTTCAAATAATTTACAAGTCCAACGAGTTCAATTGTTTATTCAGCCAATTCACTCATAGTGCCATCCCTTTGTACAACACATGCACAGAAGCATTGGGAGAAGGGCTCTCGCACAGTGCTGGAGTGTACAGTCATACATAAACATGTACAAGAATAATCAAGTGTAATAGTAACAAAATCTTAAACAGTATAGTAGTCATCAGAAGGCGCACATAAAACTGATATAACTCCACTGCAATAGTGTAGGATATATCCCAACTACCCAGCTTACAGAAACCTCCATTGTTCCACTGTCTTGAACAATCCACAGAACCAGGATACTGTATCACCTTCTGTGGGGGACAATGGCAACTGGTTATGATGCCAACCGAACCTGCTGGAAAAGGTCCCGGAGAGTGTTCAACAAAGTGATATCAGTTCTAAGATGATCATAATTCCCATACCAATGAATTATGACAGTCAAAGCCCTACAATCGTGACCCAAGGCATTATTCCATATAGTTACAGATTTATGTTAAATAACTGCTTTCAGGGATGGCAACAGGAAAATCTATTTTCAGCTGAAAACATAATATTGTGTCATCGAATGGCGGGTTCAGAATGCTCAATTTGAAATAAAATCGGCGGAAATCAGCGGATCCACGGAAAATTGCCATCCCTGCGCTTTTCCAGCAATATCAACTGAGTCACAAGGGATTCTGGGCAATCTCCAACTTCACCTGAAGGAAATGCTTCCACTACAATGCTATCCCATCCCCTGCAGAGGGGACAGGGGTTGATACAAAATACTCTTCAGGCAGGCACGACTCAGGCTATAATTGCCTTACACCTCACCAAGCTGTGCTGAAAAGCAATACTATTTGTATATACAGGCAGGGCAAAGCCTCATAGTTACAAACACCTTATTGGAAAGAGCCTAGAATAAACCTACAACAATACACAGATATAGTTGTCATATCACATGGTGACAAAAACATGGTTTCAAACGGAGATCAAATTATTAAGATACATTTTATTAAAAAATAATTAAAAACTCCTAATACATACAAAACACATTGGGACACATCATGACACTAGACATGTTTATAGACATGTCTCATGACACCGACACCTACTCAGATTTGTTGAGTGAGTGAGTGTTGTAAAGTAGCTAAAGGAATGAGACCAAGACAGAGAAATGGAGTAGACTCCCTTCAGGAGTAACAATGTCAAGCTCCTCACAGCAATATCTTGTTCCTGAGCTCTATACTGAGAGGGCAGCAAAAGCGTCATATGCTGTACTGGAGCTTGGTACTCACGCATGATCGTTTGAATGGGTGTTCATGCTGCTAATTAGAGTGGACAAACATTATTACTTTGGAAATTCATCCTACTGGGCAACGGACTACAACACTGCCTCTCAATACTGGGGCTTCTCAGTCTCAAACATTGTGTTTTGTTTACAATCAAAATCTGAATCAATCATTTTTGCAACATGCAAAATAAGATGTGAAGCATATAATTTCTAAAAAAATACCAGGTTAGATAAAACTCCTTATTCTTATTATGACATGAGATGATTGAGCACCTGCAGTCCTCACAGTGACTGCAACAACTACAGCATGGTTTACACCACCATCAGCAATATTTCCCAGTATCAAGGTGGACCAATGTGATATTTGTGGGGAATTAAACTCTGAATTTTGCCATGACCACGAGGTCACATTTTCCTCTGAAAACCATTTCAGTCCGAAACAACTAAAGCATAGAATTCCTTGCTGACTAGTATTACTTGTGGGATACAAATCGAGATCATGTAAAAATGCTTAAATTTTGCTACTAATGAAAAACATATCAGAATAAAACTGAAAGAAAATGTAGGCTTAGTAAACAATTCAACCAAGACTAGCTTAAAACCCTGGGCCTAAATTTACGAATTTCTCTAAACGCTAAGATAGTCGTAAGTGTCATACATTAACATACGACTATCTTAGTGCTAAGAAAACTTAAAAAATCTAGGCCCTGGAGAATAGTCTAATCAGGTCTCCACTACTCCTCTGGACTAAGGCTGCTTACAGCAATGGCTACAGTTGTAACTACTGTAGTTTCAGAACCTGTCCAGTCATGTCAGCTGCAGCATTCGCAGCATTCACAGCAACAACAGTTTCATTAACTACTGCAGCAACGTTGACCACATCAGTCACAGCAACAGCGTTGATTCCAGCTACTACAACAGCCACAGCAAACAAAACCTGCTGTAAGCCATTACATGGCAGCCAGAGACAAATGGGTGTCACATTGCCACAATGAGAAGCAAACAGAGGCCAACTGCACTGACAAGCACATGTCCCACTGAGCTAGGATACTGATCTACTGCATCACATGACAATCGTGGTGAGTCAACAGCAATCTGATGAGTGTATACAAAAGTTTTTCTGGGAATATATAAGTGAACTATACCTCCATTTAATTGACAGATTTTTACAGCAGGTGACAAAATACAAAATTATATATGGTAAATATACATGAACAAAGCTTGGAAATCATATCTCATTATAGATCTAAAACACAATAAATAAAAAAAGTTGCTTATAGGTACATGTATATGTAACAGATCATGGTGCTTAAAGCATAGCTTCTTACTCATGTTTGGCATGTGATAACAATGGACCTGACAAACATCTAAATATATGGTAATATTTACAAGCTGTACAATGATTACAAAGAAATCATCAGAATTTTCAAAACACCTTTATCATTATTGAAATCAGTCTTGAAAACAATTCATTCACTTTTGTCCTTCAACTGACAGTGAACCATGTTAGTTCCTCTCTTTATACAGGAGTGAGTGAGCTTTTAGCAATATTCCAGCAATATCACAGCAAGGGACACCAGAAATGGGTTCACACATTGTACCCACGTGGGGAATTGAACCTGGGCCTTCGGAGTGACGAGCAAATGCTTAACCACTAGGCTACCCCACTGCCCCACAAGGAATAAAAACATAACCTTTTTGCATAACTTTACGCAAGGAGTAAGAACCCGTTAATCTGGAAACTGGTTAAACCTTGATGATTTTACTGGGAATGATACCCCAACTTATGGGGTGATTCACTATAGCTAGGATTTGTTTGTTGTTTAATGCCGCACTCAGCAATATTCCAGCTACAAGACAGCAGTATGTAAATATCAAAGTCTGGACCAGACAATCCAGTGACTGACATGACCATCGATCAACACAACTCTGATACAATGACAAGCATCGACCAAGTGTGTCACCTCTCATGTTAGTCGCCTTTTACAGTAGTGAGTGAGTGAGTGAGTTTAGTTTTACGCCGCTTCTAGCAATATTCCAGCAATATAACGGCAGGGGACACCAGAAATGGGCTTAACACATTGTATCCATGTGGGGAATCGAACTCAGGTCTTCGGTGCGACAAGCGAACGCTTTAACCATTAGGCTACTCAACCGCCCGTTTACAGTAGTGAAAAATAGAAGTACAGTACATAACTCCCAATGAAACTTTATTTACAACCATCTGTACATTAGTTATATACTTAACAACCCTTTCATCGTCATCTTCTTGGAGAGACTGTTTCACCTGATCAGTATGGACATTGGCTTGTCCGAACTGTCAATATTGCATATACATTTGTATATGCAAGAATGGAGATTTTATTCAGATTTTCAGAAAACAACAATGACATATTTTTTCCCAATTATTAACATCATAAAATATTTTTATGATAATAAACATACCACAGATCGGTAATACTTCAGTTTGGTAATCTTGAGACTAATTGTGATGAGGAGGTTATCCTGTGACTCGCAGATCAAACAGACTGATACTCGCTGTGTCATAATGACAGTGTATCACTATAGATATCGATAACCACTTCTTTTCATTAGGTGAATAAGCATAATGGACCACAGTTATGGAGAGGATCAGGTTAAGCCAAGGGAGGTAATCCAGCCTTTTCTCTACATTTCTGAATCAATGCTCGTAGTAGGAACTGTTTTCTTGACAACTCTCGGACTTGCTGTAAGAGAATAGATAAATAAATAAACATTAGTAAACATATAGATTAATACACCTATAGAAATAATGCCAGGGCACTTTAGCTAACCTGTATACAGTCAACAGATTTTTATGTCAACAACCACGGAACAAAAGTTACCAGCATTGCATTCAAACAGTTTCTGCATAAATATTGAGGACTTCAAAATATTATCACCAGGCTGACATTGTAGAAACGAATTCAGCACAAAGGTGATCCTAATTTCCATACCTAAACAATGGCTTTTGTGAGTCAAAGTGCAAAGACTGCTTTGCAATATTATACAATTACCAAAACAAGGTAAATGTGCTTTTACTACAGCATAACACACAATAAAAAACATCTCTTATGATCCTGTTTTTCAAAATAAGATGTGATATTTATTGAAACAAAGGGTTCAAATTATTTGCATTTTAGGAAAGCTATACATTATTATCCTCTACCAGTTCCAGGGGACTTTGATTATCCTGACATTACCTTAAGAAAGACTTCTAAATCAACTACATTATTATCCTCTACCAGTTCCAGGGGACTTTGATTATCCTGACATTACCTTAAGAAAGACTTCTAAATCAACTACATTATTATCCTCTACCAGTTCAAGTGGACTTTGATTATCCTGACATTACCTTAAGAAAGACTTCTAAATCAACTACATTCTTGCGCAGCGCCTCTCCCAGATAGTACACTGTGTCCTCTATAGCTTGCTCCTCAGCAAAGGCATTCAATAATCTGCAACACACAGAGATATGTCGAGATTTGAACAAACAGTTCTACAGTATGTTTCTTGTTTAAAGCCAAACTCACCAATATTGCAGCTGCTTGACTGAGGCCTGTAAATGTAGAGTGTCGAACAGGTAACCCAGTGGTCGATATAGTAAGCAACAATCCACAGTGTCTGGCAACAATGCTGGCTGTGAACCAAGTCTCCATGCCTGACCAACCAATCCACCTGGTCACATTTCACAACCAGCATAGGCCCATTATAACAGCTTGTATGTTTGTTTTTAACGGACTAAAAATATTCCAACTTTTTTACAGCAATCTGTAAATAATCAATACAATACGGTGATTGACATCATGACTACTGATGTATGCCATTGGGACGCGATGACAATGGTCAACGAAGTCAGCAAGCCATGTGATCCTGTTAGTCGCCTCTTATGACAAGCATGGGTTCCTAAAGATGAATTCTAACCCAGGCCTTCATGGGTAGAGACCTACAGGATCGCTGTTAAATGATACATAACTTTATGTGTGTTTTCATGCTACAGTGTTGAGACATTGCTGATTCATAGTTCTGTCTTAAGACATTGGCTCTTTAATACACTTGCATAGGTGTCGTTACAGTCTGTGACGTCAACTACCAGCTGGAGTCCAGGTACAATTAACAATCGATTTGTTTCGAACTTAAGCTTTCATAGAAACAAAGATAGTGAGTTTGGTTTAATACTTCTTTGAACACAATTCCGTCATATCATGATATGTTGGCTTAAAGTGGGAGGAACGTCAGAAGGGTGCAGTTTTAAAATGTTTACCACTTCTGTGAAACCCACAAGTAAGAGTATGGTGCTGACAAGACTAGAAACAACACTGGGGCTACCTAGGATTTGAACCCACAAACAGGTTTCTGGACAGCCCAAGGGATGTAACTCTGCAAAAGTCATTACAGCACCTTAGACAACTTGGCCACCCTTACCCCCAAAATAAAGGTGAGCTGCAAGACTTTGAGTTTTGCTGCAAGTTGAGAAGGATTATCACCATGATGGAGCAGTTCTTGCCTTTGAGGACACAAGGTAATCAGGAGACCATGTAGGTATAATTCATTTGCAGAGTTATGTCCCTTTGTGGAAACTGGATCTGCCTGGCCACGGATGGCAACTACATCACTTGTAGCACATCGCTTGATGTCTGCGTAACGTTTGTTGTCATGGCATCAATGATGTCATCAGTGCACACTATCAGTGTATTGGTGCTGCCATGTCAACATCTTTCACTGCACAATCATGTAAGTGTGTGTGTTGTCATGAAAATATTCTCAATAGCTAGTGGCAAACAAGGATAAGCTGGACCGGCGCAGAGAACGTGTTTACGAGAAGTAGGCGGTGCACGGCAATGAGCAAACCCATTTGGTTTGTGAAAGGTAGAGCAGATGTAGGCTAGTGCACGTGCAGTGCATGACAATGAACTTGATTCCGAGCGTAGCTGCACACGCCTTGCTCATAAGACTCTCATGTGGTCGGTGTAGCACTACACTTGATTGCAGACAACCTGGGGCCCCTTCGCTCACAATGGCAAACGCCAGTGGGCGGCACTCATACATGCTAATACAGGTCAATTGTCAGGTCGGTGCTCAACTTATCCTTGTTTGCCAGTACATATTTCATATTTTTTCTATGAATAGACAATAACCTTGACAGTAAAATGCCCTTATCCATACTCACTGTCTGTATAGTGGTGTTGTCGTGACAACAGCATCGTCTATGTCTAGTTGATCATTGGACTCCAGTTTGCGCAGAGCTTCCTTCACCTCACCATCCTTCTGGTTCAGGAGCTGGACATTCTGATCAATCTCTTCCTACAAACATGGACACATTAGAAGATTATTATCTATCATAATTAATCTCATCAACTTATACTGTGTGTGTCTCTTCAAATAAAATATGAACCCTTGTCATATTTGGTCACTTTGTGTTTATACACAACATCAAACACACATGTCAGAAAACATGGCTGATGTGACCTACTCTGTTGCCTTCATCACTGAGTGAGTGAGTGAGTCAGTATGGTTTAAAGCCGCTTTCAGCAATACTCCAGTTATATCATGCCAGGGACACCAGAAACTGGCTTGACACTGGATTCAAACCTGGACATTTGGCCTTCTCCTTAACCACTGTGCCATCATTGTCAAGACATGGACCCCAACACAAAGCCATATTGGTGCTTATGTTAAAGTTAGGGTATAATGAACTTGGCACTATCTGCAAGTAGCTCTTGCAGCATGTCTGATGGAAGTCACAATATGGCTGAAATATTGCCGACATGACTATAAATGTTAACTCACTCTGAGTCACAACTTGTTGCTGCACCTGTTGGTCATTTACATGTACTTGAGAGTCATGTGACATAGGAGACCAGTATATAGGGTAGATATAAAGTTTGAGAGAGACTGTTATCAATGAAAGTATTCCATAAATGACTGACTGACTGACTGAGTTTGGTTTTATGCCACTTTTAGCAATATTCCAGCAACATCACGGCAGGGGACACCAGAAATGGGCTTCACACATTGTGCCCATGTGGGGATTCGAACCGGGTCTTCGGCATGACGAGCCAACGCTTTAACCATTAGGCTACCCCACGGCCCCCCCATAAATGAATGACATGCAGTATTCACCTTCTCTGTCTCAAGGTCTCGCACCATCTTCTCCAGCCTCTCCTTGCCAGTCATCAGGTCTGACTGTGTCTTCTTCAGCACCTCCATCTCCGCCTGCAACATCAACAAGGATACTTGTGTAGTTCTACACATCAGAAGATATTCCTCTACTGACGTATGCTACTATGATCATCATTATGACAACCAGCACCGACAATGAAGTTTCTTTTAGCCATGTGCATCTTGCTTATCAAAGCATGGGTTGCTGAGGACCAGTTTCTTCTTTAGCCCTGTGAGCAAAGTTTCCCTCAGCCTCCTGCTATCTTGTCTTCCACTCAGAGCATGCCCGGATGTGAGCCTCCGAGGGTGCAGTCCCGGTACCTAGCTGTGCTAGATCTTAACATACACGGACATTACATACATACATACAAATACTTGTATAGCCAATATCCGTTCCCTCAAAGGCGCTCTGGCTCTAAGATGGTTAAGATGGTCTAGATATCACATAGAGTTCAAATGCTTCAGCAAAGAGACACGTCTTCAGATTTGATTTAAAAACAGCTAAATCTGGTTGTGTTCTGAGGTGAGATGGAAGTTTGTTCCAGAGATGAGGGCCAGTCGTCTCGAGTGACCTGTCACCATATGTTTTTGTCCTAGTCACAGGAATTGTCAAAAGACACTGGTCATTTGATCGGAGTGAACGTACAGGAGTATACTGAGGAGCTAGACCATGTAAACTTTTGAAAACAAGGAGTAGAGTTTTATATTTTATGCAGTAGTGGACGGGAAGCCAATGAAGTGAGTGCCAATTAACGAACATTAGCGTGAGCCAGTTCGTTCAGGAATGACACAGAAATAGGAACAGCCTTCTGGATTCACTTTTCTGATTCATCTAATACCTGAACAATCTAACAAAAAGGGAAAAGTCAGAAATGGGTTTGTAAAATTTCCATCTTTCAATCTGGATGAACCCAATGTAATCAGCAAAAGAAATGCAATTACTTATGACTGGAATAATAATCTGTTAACATCCAAAATGGATTTGAAGATAAATAAGCAGTTTTTTTATTATTTGTTAATCAGTTTTACACAATTTACACAGAACATGTCCTGAGTAACATGGCAGATCCTTTTCTAAACAGGGGACATAATCACATATACAAAGTATTTGACTCACTTGTCGCTGCAGATGTTGCTGGGTACCCTGCTGTTGTGGCAGGGTAGGGAGGGTTGGAACTGCTGCCATATGAGAAGGGGGGATACTGGCCTTGACTCCCACCCATATAACCCTGTCCTTGGTTGGGGTAGCCCTGGAACCCCCCGTAGTTCTGCCCACCCTGAGGGGGGTATCCTCCACCCCCTGCTGGAGGATATGGGGGGTAGCCGGTACTTGGGTAGCCGGGTTGCGCACCTCCGTAGTTGGGGTAGGGGGGATTGCTCCCTCCATGAGCTGCACCAGGCATTGGCATGTTCGCTACAAAATCACATTACATCACCTTATGCTATGGTTTAACAAGCAATGTTATGCAGAAATACTTGACTCTAATTTCTACTTTTTCAAAGTTTGGTTCTAGAAAGAGGGCATAATCCCCATAACAACACACAGTAAACTGTATCATGCACATAACAAACAGAGAGAAATAACGGAATATTTTCAGGTGTTTACTACTTGCATTATATATTAATCAAAATGTATATATAACGAACTATGGTTAGAACAACCTACAGTTGGTGGTGAGTTTGAGTTTGTCAAAACCATAGTTTAATGTGCAAGCTATTTCCTGGTTACATCATGGGTGGTGGCGTTATACATACCTTGACCTGTGGGGTATGGGGGTTGCCCTCCCATCATAGGTCCTCCCCACCCTGACCCATGGGATATGGTGGAGGTTGTGATGGGGCATGTCGTGAAAACACTGGACACTCCTCTCCGAACGTGAAGATAAGAATCTGGATGAGACTCAGCAGATCAGATCCCGTCTGGAGATTAAACGTAAAACAGACCTTAGTGACAGCCTCGACTGTAACATCCAGAAATCAATTCACTACTGATATGGGCAGGTGGGTTAGCCTAATGGTTAAAGCATCTGCTCGTTAGGCCAAAGACCCAGGTTCAATTCACCACTTCGAGACAATGTGTGAAGCCATATCTGCTGTCCCAGCCGTGATATTGCTGAGAATACTGCGAAAAGCGGCATAAAACCATACTCACTCACTACTGATATTCACGCTCATGGCAACACTGAAAAGCAGCTTAACAGAAAATAGTTGAGAGAATATAATCAGGCAATATAATCAATGAGTAATCCCATGCATTCATGGTGGGGGACACTAGAAGTGGATGGCTTAACCACAAGGCTACCCACCATCCCTGTTCATAATGAACTCCCAGCAGAGACAAACATTTTGTAACGTCCATACTTTAACAGCCTGTGAACTTAGGTACTTGTCTGAAGCCAAGTCTTGCAAAATGTCTTGTGGTGTGGTAAAAATATGCTTATGTAGCTCATATACTGATTGGGGTTAAACTATTCAAAACATTACAGCCAAAATACAATTTACAAGGACAAGTTTTTGGCACAGACTGCTTTAATGACTAAAGCAAACAAGCAAGCCTATGTATTTCAGTTTTGAAGTTTGTTTTGAAGTTCCACACTTTCTTTCATTCTCCTCAGTATCTCAGTTCTGAAAATAATACATGTACAATTACAGTGAAACATGACAAAACAAAACTTGGGAAATAACTCAGAGCATGAAATTCATTCACTCACATATTTCCACTCCCTGAGGTAGGGTAGATCCACCTTGCCATTGGCATCCACGTATCTGTTGGGTTTGATCTGCATGGCGCTGGTAGGGCGGACATACGCCATGGGTGGGTTGTAGGGGTGGGTGTCCATGATCCAGATACACAATGGGATGTTGTACGTGTTTCCTGTACACAAACAAGGTAGATATAATCCTCTTATACCGCTAGAAGTTTTAAGTCCTTAGTTTCAGATATTGGGTGGATATTCTTCGTAACGCCCCCTACACGTGACTTCGTAACGCCCTTGAGTTTGAAAGATTTTATTCAGATGACAGTGGCGAAAGCATTGGTTCACAGTTTTGTACAATCTTGTAAAACACATCATTTTTATAGCCCACATTATAAGTTGGTTAGCACCTCCAGGTGATATGGACTTAAAAGCTCTTGGATAATGTCTTAACGCTTTTTGTTTAAGTGTGTGAAAGTCGGCATTTCCATTTAGAAGACAGGAAACATACATAACACAGTTCAATGATAACATCCCTTTCAACAATATTCCACCAATATCACTGTGGTCTTTAAATAGTTGAGTCTGGATCAGACAATATAGTGATCAATATTAGGAACAACATTGTGAGGATATGATGACATGCTATTAACAAAGTGACCATCCTTGATGCCCCAATTTCTCACCCTTATATTTTTTCACACCCCTTCCATCACACTCACCTTTATATGACACTGGAATCGTTCCCTCCAAGTTGAGCAGCTGTCTCTGAGTGCCATCGTTGAACACTGAAACACAAAGTCAAAATCAGTTCATAATGTTCTTGTTTTTCAGTTTGGCGGGAACAGAATGTGACATATATTGCTAATGGCACCTCACTGTGTGGTATCTGTGTTTGATGGTCCACAACTTACCAAAGTTGTCATGGCTGGGTCGGAGGTCACGGTATTGCCCAAGGACATTGGTCACCTCCCTCTTGGTGGCATCTGGGTGCTTGTACTGAAATACATATATAATGCAGTGAGGATCAGAGGGAAATGCCCAGCATTCTCAACATCACTAGTATTCATTACAGTCCGTTTGAGACAAAATGATACTGATGAATTGCAATTTAACACGAAAACAAATAGACATAAAAGAATCAAACCAACGTGGACTGCAATAAAAACAACAGACCAACTGTAGAATAAAAATGCATAATTTTTGTCAGAAAAATAAAAAAGTTGCTTAAGAAACTGTCATCATTTATTTGTGCGTTTTCCAAGTTTGTTACAAGGGTGCAGTGGCAACTAAAGGAACAGCGCGAAAAGCGAGATGCACGCATTAGTGAAGTTAGAGACATGTGATTACTGCTGATTGACAAAGTGAGAGAAATGAAAGTCTATAATTTCAAGGATGAAAATGACAGGGGGTGACCCAAGTATGCAGTTACTAAGTACATACAGCACCCTGCCTGTGCAGCTGGCGTACGTGTCATCTCTCCAGCTCAAAAAACTTTTGAGAACCCGTTGACGCTCGTTCATCTCCCTTTTTCACTGTTCCTTTAGGTGCCAATGCGCCCTTGTAACAAACTGGGATAACTCACAAAGAAATGATGACAGTTTCTTAAACAACTTTTTTATTTTTATGAGACAAATTATGCAATTTTTTGCTAGAGTTGGTCTGTTGGTTTTTTGCAGTCTGCGTTAGTTTCATTTTTTTGTGTCTATTTGTTTCTGTGTTAGATTGCAATTCATCGGTATCATTTTGTCTCAAACGGACTGTACACATGTGAGTGAGAAAATTTTACGGCGCTTTTAGCAATATTCCAGCAATATCACGATGGAGGACACCAGAAACGGGCTTTACACAATGTACCCATGTGGGCAATAGAATCCGTGTCTTTGGCGCGATGAGCAAATGCTGTAAATACAAGGCTAAACCCCCCCAGTACATATGTACTAAGGGGAGGAGGTAAACAGGATCATGAACATGTAACACGTTTTGATTCATAGGAAGCACAAAACCTTCTTTTGTTTGGATTTGGTTCTGTCTGGACACACAAATGCTGGAATGCTTTCCCTCAAAATTTAGTACCATGGTTACATACATCATTATCATGATTATTCAGGACATGTGTCTTTGCTATCTCTCAACAAGGTCAAGCCAAATCCCTGATTATTACTGCTAAAAAAATATCATTTCTGAATGTGGCCATAAGGCAACAGGACCTTATTTCACCTGTTAAATTTAACAATAACTGTAAACTAACAATTAATTCAAAGTCTGATTGGTGGTTATTCTTTTGTGAACAAAGTTCCCTTTCAAAAGTTGATATAGCATTTTGGAAAAGAGGGGCACATTTAACATTAAGCAAGCTCAATGAATAAACAAAATAAAAATAAAAGTCTACCACCAAATGATCAACTATTGTTATATATCTTCACATGATCTGCATGTGCATGAGTGTACTTGTTCTGTTCTGCACTATTACTCTCACTGATTTTACGAAAGAAAAATGGCAGTAGGACATTTTCATGAAATTATCAACAGGTGATTCTTCAGGAAGGTCATGACAGTACAGATGGCAATTGGGTATGTTTGAAAGATAATATGTTACTTGTTAGCATTTACTCTTTATGAAATGTACAAGAACACAACAAATTGTGATTACAGGCTATGTTATATTGTCAGATCATAGGTTATTGGAAGTCCAGGGGTGGAAATAACCCATTGCCCAACATCCGAGTCCAGTGGTTTTTTCTGTCGGGCAATCAAATTGGTATATCATGCTGTACCGGTGTCCAGTTGACTTTCCACTGTTAATTATGTTGTTTATTTTAAAAAATCAACAAGAAAACGGACGGTATTGTGGAAGAATTATCAGGGCAAGTGATTTTACATGTGCCACTGTACCGGAGTACACTAGCATTTTAAAGTTATTTCCACCCCTGAAGTCATACATATATGACAGCAATAATCATTTCTGCTGGATTGTCTGGTGAAGACTTGATTATTTACAGACTGCTGGCTAGCTGGAATATTGCTGAGTGTGGGGTAAAACTAGACTCACTCACTTCACACAAACATTGTATATTCTTGAATCATGGCTTTTGTTTAGGATAAAGTTATCTTTTATAAGCTAGTGACATGTTTTACAATTGTTCTAAATCAAATGGACAGCGACAACAACAGATGTTCCTAAGAGCCCAAACCCATAACAGCAGGATAAAGATATACCAGAGGAGAATCAAACATTTTTAACAATGTCATCGTGGAAAAGGAAACCGTTGATTGACATGAGGGAAAAGGCCATAATCATTGATAATTATGATGCATGTTGGGAGGTAGAACGGAAACACTGGTTTATTACTTCTGTCCTTACTGTCATTTACACAGATTAGTTGATAATATGTTGTCAAACTGAAACATTGGAAAATATTAACAATTCATTAAAACAATTTGAACACATATTCAAAAGTCAAGTGTACACTTACGTGTATGACGTCTATAAGCTATGTTCTTTTATCCACAAACTCTCCCGATTAGCACAAATTCTCAGTTCAGTCAAAACATTATCGAGACAAAAAAATAGGCCATCAAAACTTACCTTAGCCAGATAGGTTTTCAAGGAACTTTCGTAATTTGTTGTCATTTTGCTGGAAGAGTCTTTCAAACATGTAATGGCTGTAAGAAATTGTCCCGGGCGTTATCCTATCGCCCGCAGGTGATCATTTGTTGCTCAATATTTGTCTGTGACGAAAACTTTTGTCGCCGCCATATTGGAATGAAACATTTCCTCCTTCCGTCCTGAAGAGTAACGAGCACTTGCACTTGTTGAATGATCACAATAGACACAAGAGTGGTTATGTTTCACTCCGATTGTAGCAGTGAAGAGATAACATATGTTACGAAGCTTGCAATCAGATAAGATCAAATCTAAACAAATTGTTTCAGTGTGTCATTTGCATGAAGTCGTTGGTCATGTTTCTATAAATAGACCTCATCCCGATGACGTCAAATGCCATTCGGGGATTCCCCTCACAGTTTCTTCAGCATATCAAATGACGAAAAGATTTTCTTGAAAAGTTTATTTACTTTAGATTTTAAGTTTTTGATGGCAACAAGTTTATTTACAAAATCTTCACGTATATATTACGAGATTACGTGAATGATAACTATATTGCACCTACTGACGCAAGTTAAAAAACAACCATATATGCACTATAGACAACTGCTCCGTGTTCTCCCTTCAGGGAATTGGGAATACTCTGAACGCCCATACTGCTGCAGTTATCTCAATACGCCGATGTCAGATAAGTATATTAGTCATACAGCGAAACAGACCTCTGAGCGTTTGTTTGGGTTTTTTTTATATCTTGAACCAAATACATTTCAATGGAAATATCACGGTGCATGTACATGTAAACATGCATCCTAAAAAGATTACGGCCTAATCCGTCCAATTTTGAACAGTCAGCAGTGCCGATCCGTCGAATCATGCTTGAGTGGTTCTGTGCTATTCGGTCGAATTTCAGACCGTGTTACACAGGGGACACCTCACTGTGCCCGCTGCTTTTGTTTAGGTTACTAGTGCAAGCAACCATGGTTAACAGGCAGGCAATAGAGGGATTAGTTAAAGTCTGTTCTGAAAATACTTATAAGTTCAAAAAATTCAAAAATTCACAGACCTACAAAATTACACGCAACATCAACATATGCAAACAAAGTCTTTCTGTAGATTGTCCTTCTCTTACAGGGAACCATGGAAATCCTGAATCTTGCCAATAGATTCTTGTATTCTTCCTGGCCTTGATACGAAATATGTGTCCATTATAAACTAAGTTCTGTCCACCTTGAGAGTTGGCAACAAATCTCACATTAGAATAGTAGTTCTAAATCGTCGAATTCTGTATCATACGGGGAATGTGGAAGCTATCCACTTTATGTTTCCTGTCATATTAATTGTATTACGTATTGGCTACGATTGATAGAATGCAACGCCAAAGATATGCTTTCCAATGTTTTAATATGTCGTTGTCCATTTTTTAGAGAAAAAGGCCAAGTTGATTGTTAAATCTTGCTAAATTTCTTAAGGCCAGACCAATTTTATTTCTTGTTTTTCGGATCAGCCTGTCGTATTTTTTCAAGAATAAGAAAATATATATATATTTTTTCCCGCTAAAAAATAAATCCTAATGTTTTTATTGGCCAAAAATGTAAACATACAAGAAATTTTGTTTTTAGATTGTTTTTTTTTCCTATATACATTTCAAAATTTGTCAAAAGTAACATAATTTGGGTATTTAGAAGGAATATTACTTTGACTGGTGATTTTTTTTCCCCTCCTGCCTTTAGGTTTTCTGAGGACAAAAATCCGTAAAACAAGAAATAAAATTGGTCTGGCCTAAACATGTATTGAATGTATAAAACAAAACAAAAATAACTTTGCAGCATTGTATGTTATATCATTTGTACTTTTGTACAAATATATTTCTTAAATATTTAATCTTGAATATTCACTCATAGGTTATATTCAGTTATAACATAGACATGAAGAGCTTGGATCACAACTCATGTCTACTGTGAACAGACTATAACTACTCGTGGGCGACCGTTAATCCCTTGTTAAATCCTCAAAACAACATTTAGGGAGCGGGCACAGCGAGGTTAAACCGTTACACACTGGGAGAGTCTAAGTTCATTAATTAAGGGGCCGGCTTGTATTGGATTAGACTACATGTTTTCGTAAATAGTTTGGCGTCCACTGTGTGCCAAGCTTAGTTTCAGCAAACTTATTTGTCAAATTTGACAATATCATCAACAATTTCAGGACAGACATACAAAGTGAAGGCTTCCACTGGATTTCGATTGATGACTTTTCCATTCAGCTGGCGAATAATATTTCTCTGAGGCGTTCGAGCTAATGGCATTTGGTCCTTGAACCACTGTCCTCCATCACGGCTGTAATACCTGTCAGGAGCTTGTCTTTGTTCATCAGTCTCATTGTCACAGTTGGATTCCGTGCTTTCAGGATCCTTCAGATGGTTGATAGGTTCATTCGCACGAAGGCGAAGTTTTTCGGCGTGTATAAACATTGAGCGAATTTCGTTTTCGCCTTCATGCGAATGGTGGTCCTTTCCCAATTAACACGAACAATAGGGGACTGAGTGTTTGTTTAAGCTCCCTCGATGAGGGCGAAGGGATAATTCGAACAAGTTGAAAACCAAACTACTATTTAGTTAAGATATTTTATTCAAGGTTACAGATCTTCATTTGTTCACATATTGTACAAATTAAACTACATACATATACAAGCACACACTCACAGATCGCCATATTTATGTTATGATATATTTGATATATATTATGTTATGTTACATTGATTAAAAAATGGACAAAATATTCTTACTTATTAAACATATATACAGATGACTAGATTAACTTTAAAGATTGGAAATACTAAATGGACAAATATTCTAACCATATACTCATTTAACAATGTACAAATCACAATATTTAAGCAAGTTTAAGAGCATAAGATGCTCTGACAGCGTAGTCGAAGACGGCGAGGTCTTGGGAGTCCAGCCTGGTTTTGGGGTTGGAGGCGTTGCCCTGCCATGTACTGAACCAAGTGCACAAGTTTCTTAACTCGCCCATGCCAACCCTCCAAATTGTTGTTGGTTCTTGGGCCGAGGGTCAGGTAATGGTTCCATGATGTCATCGGGTCGTCGGCCAATTGATGACATCGGTCGTCTTGCGGCATATCAGCTAGGGTTTGGAGCCATACATCTTCAACCTAAAATAAAAACAATGGTATAAGAAAAACGACCTTGTAATGTAATAAAACGTCATTATTTACAATACGTATGAGAATTTGAATAATACAGTTTATTATAATGCTATTACTAGAAGATATATCGAGATGAAACTACTTACATAAGCCAATGGCACCAGAGGCAATACAGCACAGAGTCTGAGGAAGTGGTTGACGTCGGGCTTGTTGCTGTACTCAACCTGCAGTCCAACTTGTTGCGTCTTCCTCCATATGCACTGGGTAAAGTGGAAAAAACAACCTTTCCACTCTATACCCGGGAAAACGACCTCCACGGCATTCTTAGCTGCCACTTATCATATATTGCATAATTAATATGGCAATTCAGTTGTTCACCAACAACAGTTCACCAACATGACAAGATGAGAACTGTTCACCAACATGTTCAGGTGGGTAAGGCGTTAATCCTTCCCTAATCCCTTGTGCCAACAATGTAAAAACAACACCAATCATCAAAGAGTACCGCTTTTCGCCTTCCGGCGAATAGCCGAAATTAAAAATTCGACTTCGTGCGAATACCCCGGTTGATAATCTTCATCAGATCCACCCGTTGCTCCAGTTGCATAAGTTCAAATTACAGTACAACCAGAAATTATTGAGAATTTAAAGATTGTAAATTTTTATATATTTTTTCACTCATTACTCACGTATTAAATGTGAATATTAGCAGAACATAACTCCAGATTCAAAGACAGGTGAACAGTTAGTATTTTGTCAAGTCACCATGGGCAGCAATGCAGGCTTCAATGCGGCGGGGCATACTACTGATCAAAGAAGTTAGAAAGTCGTAGTCCATGCTGTCCCAATATCGGACCACCTCTTCTTTCATTTCAGCAATATTTGTCAGATTTTTCTCATTGACACTTTCTTTCATAAGTCCCCAAACATTTTCTATTGGATTTAGGTCAGGGCTATATATAGCTTGGCCAATCTAATAATGTCATATTTTGGGTCCGAAACCAGGCCTGTGGATGCTTTGAACGATGTTTTGGGTCGTTGTCCTGCTGGAAAATCCAAAATTTCCATAGAACACGTGAGCAGATGGAAGTAAATGTCCCTCGAGAAATATCTGTGTACCGCTCACTGTTCATATTCCCTTCAAATACACAGAGGGGCGTTGCCCCTAACACAGATATGCCACCCCACACGTTAAATTTCGGACTGTACTTTGGGCGCTGATACAAAGGTTTTTCAGTTTGTTTGGTCCAGAATGTCAGTGTATTAGGAAACAAAATCACGTTGTCCCAGTTAAAATTTCTATGCTGTAAGCACCAGTTCAACCTTCGCTCCTTTTGTTCAGGTTTCATGATCGGTGATGCAATTCCTCGACTTTTCTGCCAACCCATTGCATGGAGCTCAGTTCTAATTGTCTCCCTACAGACAGCCACAGTTCCTCTATCAATCATATCCAGCCTTAAGTTTTCTAAACTCCTTCGTTTGTTTTTAGAAACAAGAATGCCAAGCCGCCTCCTGTCACCGACAGTCAATTTTCTGGGCCTACCTGCGCCTCCCTGGTGCTCAATGCCATATCCATTTGCAATATTTTTCAAAACACGATAAACAGTGGACAAAGGGATGCCTGTTCTACTTTAAATCACTTTGGCTGATCTGATGACCTTGTTATAATTCTCAAAAATCAACTTCCTCTTCTCTAAATCATCCATACTGAGGATCACTGAAAATGTCGTCTGCTAGCAAGTAAACAAAGGGGATAACTCTTCACAAACTAATGAAAAAGGATTAACGGAGTTGTCTCTCTTGAATGAAACCAAGCACTTGATAGCTGGTCAAGGTTGTTTATACTAGAAATCCAATTAAACATATTCCTAACATCCTCAATAATTTCGGGTCATACTATAGAATGTGCTCTAGGCACACAAGTCACAGAAGACCCCAAAAAGGTTCAATGATCTGAGTGATTCTATCACAATATTTATAGCCTTGGGGTCCATTTGGACCCCGCTCCATAAGACAAGGGTTAATGCATCAATTTCAATTTTTTACAAAAGTACAAAAATAAAGATTGTCCAAACATATATTCATGCATCAATTTCTCATTGTATCATATGAGTAGGCAAAGATAAGTACAAAAGTACAAAAATAAAGAGAGTCAAACCATCCAACACCCCTTGCATCGTTTTCTTGTTATGATCCAATGTTTTGATAAGTAATTAGTAGTTAAGATCACAGTGCTCATCCGTCGAATGCATTTTAGTACTTTGAAAGCAGAAATTCGACGGATCGGTACAATCGCCAATGAATCTTTTATGAGTTACTGTGCTGCTGCCTATAAACGATGATGATAGTATTACGCAATGTCTTTTAGAAAGGTGCCTGATCGGTACACTTTTGTGAGAGTACACATTCTAGTACTATTTATGTGTTTCAATAAGTGAAGACTGTCTTTAGACTTCATTTTATTACAATTTATAGAGATGATTTAGGAATTGCCTTTTTTCTACAATGATATGTTCATTTCAGAGGCAAGACGTTATTCTAGGAGCAGGGTAGGATACGATTATCGCAGCTACCAAAGTGCCAATTAAAGACCCCTGGGAAAACATGTGGCTCTACTAGAAGTCTACATAGGGATTCGCCGTTATGCATAAATGTCGGATATTAAGCGTAAAAGATAAACCATGTTTTAGGATAGTTGGTGATACGGTAGCCGCGGTATCCGTTGTGATAATAAGCCTATATACACAGTGGTTGTGGATGCGTCAGCAGGTGTAATACATAACCATATCTATATATACCGAGATAAGACATGACGTGTCCGCCCTTATCGAGTATAGAGTCTCTTATATGTCGCAACGAGCAAACCGTCAACACGTGGGCCTGGTGTTGGGATGATCGTGGTGTATAAACCGGCGGTGAATGTTCATTTGTGAACGTGCTAACTTCTAGTTAATAACTATGCAAGAATAGACCCTTTATACCATCCCTGATACGTGTGGAGGCTGACCGAAACAGAGAACACGAATTGTGGACGGAATAAAATGTTTTTCGTGGAATTATACCAAGTTAGACTTATACTTCCAGTTACGTCATCCTATTGTTTCCCAATCAGGTTTCCGTACAAATGTAACCTGCGAATTTCCCTCGCTAGTCATTTACTAGTATTTTGCATTAGAACACATTGTCGATTAGGAAATTTTCGGAATGGTGTAAAATCAAACGAAGAATGTTTTCCTAATATTTCAGTGTCTGCCGATAAATCCCAATGTATTGAAGAATTTCATGTTCAATCCGTGTACAGAAGCGGATCCAGGAATTTTCAAAGAGAGGGGGGGTGTCTTTGCGCCAACAATGCAAAACATTAACTTCAAGATGGGCTTTAGTCATTTTCAAGGGGGTGGTGTGTGTGTGTGTGTGTGTGTGTGTGTGTGTGTGTGTGTGAACCACACACAGTGTGTGTGTGAGTGAGAGAGAGAGAGAGAGACAGAGAGAGAGAGAGAGAGAGAGAGAGAGAGAGAGAGAGAGAGTTTACGCCAGAGAGTTCCTAGAAGGTTCATGAGGTTCGAGACAGTATGTGCGAAACATAAAATTACTGATAAATATTCTTTCAAGTTCTATTTCGGTTTACAAGTTTAAAGTCTTCCTTGGGATACAACCTCTCAGCTGATACCAATCGGTTTATGTTTTAATTCTGATGAAAATCATGCTCATATTTTAGCCTACACACGGCTGCCCCAGAACTCCAAATTCATATCAGCATCTGTCTGGGATCATCACATCAAAGGCAAAATGCTGTATATATTACATACCATATCCTTATATCAGGTTTCAAGCTGTCTTTCTCACAGTAAACAAACAAACATCAGACAAACATCACTAACGTTACAGGCATGTGGGACATATCAGTGGTTTACCAGAACGTGAATACTATAGCCAGTTGTGGCTTTGTGGTAGTCAGATAGGTAGGCTACCTGATTCAGCTTTACAAGTGAGTGAGCGAGTTAATGTGATTTTACACCGCTTTTAGCAACACTGCATCACTGGCATCACGACGGGGAGAATCGGATAAAACCTTCTCACATGTTAGCTCTGTGGGGAATCGAACCCTGACCCAAGTCGTCACGAACGATTGCTTTAACCACAAGGCTACCCATTTGCCCTCACATGCAGTAAAGATAAGGAGCTCGCGTACCCAATGGACAATTCTCGACTATGCAGTGTTCGTCTCCACTCTGAAAGGAGTGAGTGAGTTGTACGCCGCTTTTAGCAATACATTTGTAATCCAGCAACATCACGGCGGGGGACACCAGAAACGGGTTTTACACATTGTAACTATGTGGGGAATCGAACCCGGGTATTCGGCGTGACGAGCGAACGCTTTAAGCGCTAGGCTACCCCACCGCCCCATCTGAAAGGAAGAATAACAGAATGGAGATATATCAGACGGGATCATCGGGGCTGTCATTAAATCAACTCATGTGTCAGTCCGACAGCCGTGGCCATGCACTAAATTATTTGATTCCTTGATCCCCAGTGACATTTTCACCGTGTCCTGCTCTGTACAAGGATGCGCTGACAGAGATATGAGACGGGCGTCACGGCGTATTTAGGAGAATGTAGTTGTCGGTTTACCTGTACAGGTAAATCAGCCACATACAAATGTCAGCCTGTGGCTGCTGACCTCCCTACCTGACGTCGGCGTCTGTCTCCTCCAACATCCTGGGAGACGTGGCGTGAAATATACTCGTCCTGAATAATACAGGCGGGAAATAAATGCTTTTACATTGTTCTCTAAGGCAGACATTATAATTATATTCTCACAATATGTGGAAATTCTGTTTAACAAACGGAAAATACAACTGAAATATCATTAATACTCCCTGGAGAGTTATGAGTGTGTGAGTGAGTGATTGAGTATGGTTTTACGCCGCTTTTAGCAATATTACAGCAATATCACGGCGGGGGACACCAGAAATGGGCTTCACACTGGAGAGGTTAGTCTGTCTCACAGTCCCTGAACCACATTAATTTCCCTACTGCCAAGTCCTCTCTGCAGTGCTAAAACCCTAAATAAAGCAAGTCTAGATTTCCTCAGGTTCAGAATCTCTGGTCTCCCTGGGGCTCTTTTTCAATTAAATGGGTTTGTTTGTTACTATCAAAATTATATATATTCAGAGACTAAGCTTTAGTCTATGGAGAGTTATGTGAAACAGTTTATTGAAAAGTATTAATTATATAGGGGTACATGAGCTGATATATGAACACACATACTTCCTTCGTCTCAGTAACATTGGTTTTGGCGGAAAGAAAACGCAGTTTAGAACAACCGAACAAAAAAGTCCTGTTGATGCGCTGTAAAACAGGCTATGTGAACATTCATTTGTGTCGCTTGCATCAAAGCAAAACAAAAGTATATTCCCAGTTTCAATGGTGTATAAAACTTAAACAAACAGGAATGGTTCTTCGATCGTGATGTAAAGTATGCGAAGCCTCATTCTACTGCTGAAAGATCCTGAGAAAAATGCAGCATCTCCCAATGGTTTGATATCTTCCTTATGTATGACAGGACACGCGAAGATCCGGGTTAGAATTGATCTTCAGCCGCCCATGCTTGTTGTAAAACAACAACGGGATCAGGTGGTGACACGCTGACTTGGTTGACACGTCATCGTATTCCATGTAGATCGATGTTCATGATGTTCATCTCTGGATTTTCTGGTCCAGACTCGATTATTTACAGACCGCCCTTATATAGCTGTAATAGTGCTGAGTGCAGTGATAAACAACAAACAAACAAACAAATATGACAGTAAATCTGTTTTGTATAGTAAAAATACTGTAGCCTATATGATCACACAGGCAGACTGGTCACACCAGGGCTCCAGATAATTTTCAACATCAGGAGTACGTACTCCTTATATTTTAAATATAGGAGTACTGGAAAAACTTTAAGAGTACTGAATTAAAACTTAATGGTGTATGCGATCTTGTGTTTCGTTTCACATATGCACCACAACATTGCTACTCTTGTGTAAACAGGTAAAAACAATAAAACAATACTTTTTCAGATAAATACGTCTGTAAATGATTCTAAGACCATACACCACTGCTGTGGTGAGTATCTGCTACTGTTTCTAAATTATTTCCTACCGTATCTGTACATACGCCGATACGGCCCTTATCTGGAGCCCTATCACACATAATGATTATGTGCATGGATCAAATCCTATGGTGTCCACAATGTAATCCTGGAATATTTACATACAGTCAGGGCGTTATAGCCTTACTTACACCTCCTGTTCGTATACACCTGGAAATGTCAGTTGGCTCATATTTGCTGGTGTAATTAGTACACGCGAGTTTGGACTGATATACATTCACATTTAAATAAGTTTTGAACTTTATAATATGTATACAAGGCGCGAACGGCAACCAACGAGATGACCAAGTCAGCACAAACACGAGTTGTGTTTGAAGTGTTCGTAAAAGGTTCTGTTTGAATTAGGAGTTGTGTAGGAAACAATCATTGCGTGATTGTGCCACACGATTCCTCACTCCCATACCACGTACCACCCCAAAACAGGCAATGTACCTCTTCACAACCAGTCCATATACCACCTCCTCATCAGTCGATGCACCCTGTCCTACCAGACCTTGTACCACCTCTCACCAGGCGATACACCCTGTCCTACCAGCCCTTGTACCACCCAAAACAGGCAATGTACTCCTTCACTACCAGATAATTTACCATCTCTCACGAGCCCTCGTACCACCTCTCACCAGGCGATGTACCACCTCCCACCAGACCTTGTACCACCTCTCACAAGGCGATGTACCATCTTTCACCAACCTTGTACCACCTCTCACCAGGCGTTGTACCATCTGCCACCAGATCTCGTACCACCTCTCACCAGGCGATGTACCATCTCCCACCAGACATCGTATTACCTCTACCAGGCAATGTACCATCTCCCACCAGCCCTTGTACCACCTCTCACCAGGCGATGTACCATCTTTCACCAGACCTTGTACCACCTCCCACCAGGCGATGTACCATCTCCCACCAGACCGTGTACCAACATACGATTTACCACCCCCCAACCAGACCACATATCACATCCCACAAGCCCATGGCCGAATTCCCCAACCACCATGTACCACGTACGTCTAAGCAGGCGATGTACCGCCTCAATTCTATTATAGAAAAAATACCTATACCGCTTCATTAAGTCCATGCACATTTTTCCATCAGGGTCATTTTCCTCTTCCCTAAAACTACGGGAACATTTTTCATCAAATACCACATACCACTTTCCATAAGCTCTTGGTGCCACTTCCCTGAAAATCCCACAACAGTATGTATCACTACATAAGAGCACTTCACTTCTCGCCAAGACGATGTACCATTTCCAAAGAAGGCCAATTTCCGATGGGGACCATGTACCCGGGTGCCGTTGTACAAAGCGATCTTAGCACTGAGGTGACCGTAACTCCCATACTTTAACATAGACTTAAGGTAGTCTTAGCGCTAAGGTTGTTTTGTGCAACGGCACCCAGGTCAATCTACCATTTCCATAACTTCCTGACCACCAACTAGCCAGCATCCTCGATAATCTCCAGGGTATACGTTCCGATAAATCTCCACTATACCCTGGATGCATCTGAGGCTCCCTTGGTTGGCTTGTTATCCAATCAGGTGTCTACGCTGGGAAGTTGACCGTACCAATCACAACTCACTTTCGCTTTTTAAATTATCTAACCGATTAAACTTGGCAACACCTGTCAATTTGTCTGTATGTTTTTCCCCAAAATCTGAGTCGCACTGCGAACAAACTTTCGCGGCTGCGACCGCTATCTTTGTTGATAGTGGCATGCTCGGTTGTAACGGCGGCTTATCTGATTGGCTACTGTGAGAATGCGGAGCCAGCAAAGGGAGGTAATAAAATCATCGGCTCGAGCCGTAGATGCATCCAGGGTATAGTGGAGATTTATCGGAACGTATACCCTGGAGATTATCGAGGATGCTAGCCAGAAGCAGCATGCACAATATCCCTATATGTACATGTTTTCCCACTTTCAAACAAGATCATGTACATTTCCCCCATGCACCATTAGCCCAAGTCTGTCTCACAGTCCCTGAACCACGTTACTTTCCCTACTGCCAAGTCCCTATTACTGCAGGCCCAGCCCAAGTCTGCAGTCCCTGAAAGCCCTAAATAAACAAGTCTAGATTACTTCAGGTTCAGAATCTCTGGTCTCCCTGGGGCTCTTTTTCAATTTAAATGGGTTTGTTTGTTACTATCAAAATTACATATATTCAGAGACTAAGCGTTAGTCTACATTAGCCCGTGCATCACATGTAATAGTTTCCTATCTAGACCATGTATAGGACGTCCTTTAAGATTATAATGAGCCATTTCCCCATTAAGACTATGTACCTTGTACTAAAATTATGTACCATTTCTCCACTTGGAATATGTATCAATTTACCAGAAGGCCACGTACGATTTATTACCCTAATCACGAACCACTTCCTTAGATATAATGCATCTTTTCCCAAAAGGGTCCGTGTATCATTTTCCCATCAAGACCATGCATCACCTCCCAAGGTGACTTTTGTACCATTTTACCTTCTTGACCACGCATCACATCCCTAGACGACAACTCCTAGAAGTCTTGTACCATATTCCCCACCTAGATCAACCAGCTCTTCCCTAGAAAACCATGAACCATTTTACTACCTAGACCATGTACCAGTTCCTAGAAGACCTTGTTCCACTTTACCTCCAAGACCACACACCACATCCCCAGAAGATCATGTACCATTTTACCTCCTAGACCATGTACCATACTCATAAAAGACCATGTACCATCTTACCTCCTTGACCATGTGCCATTTTCCCTTCTAGATCAAGCTTCACTTCCCTAGAAGACCATGTGCCATATTACCTCCTAGACCATGTACCACATCCCCAGAAAACCATGTACCATTTTCCCACCTTGATCAAGCATCACTTCCCTAGAAGACGATGTACCATTTTCCCACCTTGACAACAGATCACTTCCCTAGAAGACGATGTACCATTTTCCCACCTTGATCAAGCATCACTTCCCTAGAAGACGATGTACCATTTTCCCACCTTGATCAAGCTTCACTTCCCTAGAAGACGATGTACCATTTTCCCATCTTGATCAAGCATCACTTCCCTAGAAGACATGTACCATTTTCCCACCTTGATCAAGATCACTTTCCTAGAAGACGATGTACCATTTTCCCACCTTGATCAAGCATCACTTCCCAAGAAGACGATGTACCATTTTCCCGCCTAGACAACAGATCACTTCCCAAGAAGGCCACGTACCATTTTCCCACGTAGACTTCTCACTAATATTACGCCCAAGAAGACAAATATGGATCTAGATGCTCCATTTGCCAGAAGACAATAAAACCTTTTCTGAAGAAAACCATTAACTTCTCTCGACAAGACCATATGTGCGACTTCCTTTGAAGACCATGTGCCTCCTTTCGCCGTGACTTATTACTCTCACCATGTTTAACTTGAAGCAACAAGGGTCTGTCAGCTCACTGATTAGTTTCACAACACATTCAATAAACCACGAGTGATTACTTTAAAGTATAACATGATTATCGGCAGAAAGGTGTACCACGCTGGAGTTGACTTCGGTCGCCACACTATAGTCCATCAGTGCCAGAGCGAACGAGAAAGATCCATACCACATTTATCACGATGAATGACAGAAGATAAACCATATATATTTAATGTCCAAACCTATCTCCTGAGGCGCGCTTTAATCTCACTGAACTTTCTAGGCATCAAAGCGTTACACCGGAGAAGCCAAGATAATTTCAGGTCATTTCTACTTTTAGTGATATGCTGTCAAATCTGATTCCGCATTCCGCATCCGGTGTGAACCCCTACTGTTACGGGCGCGGACACCCGATACGGTGAAACTCAGACACACAGGCCGTTACTCTCAGAGTAGATAACGCTCGATGCGGCAGTCGCTGTAACAGAGGGATGCTGCTTGGAAACTAAGCTCTTTAGAAAGGTAAGCGTTGTGTTGTGGAATCTGTATGCAAGTATTGACGGTGGCATTTTACTGTGTCTTGACAGAACAAGTGACAGCGATCAGCTGTTTACCAGCTGATTATCCACACTTGTGGAATCAACAGCTCTGTTTTGTCCGTGACTGAAAGATTGAAAACCAGAGTCGGTCAGAAGGATTCTTGACCGCACGTTGCATTCATTACAAAGCAACATCATAATTCTTTAGTTTAATTATTAATACCAACTATATTATCTTACATAGTTATTCACACATAATTTTCGATTATCAATAGTGGTTCATAAGTGCTGAAAAACTACTTAAATGCTTACTCTATAACATCTGTAACATGAAGAGATGTGGAAGAAGCTTGTTTTCACTTGGCAAAATGAAGAAAATCTCAAAAGTTTATAATACATCGCCACCATGCTTATCAATGTTTATAAAAGCTGTAAACATTTGATGCTTGTGAGGTTATATTTGGAACAAGCACACTGTTTTTGTTGTGGTAAGAATTGCAGTGTGAGATCCAACCACATCTGCAAATCGGGCTTATCAGGCAGGCCTGATTGTAGTCTTTGTTCTGATGCAGCTGAGGAAACATGAGATGGAAGGGGGGTCGGAGGGGGTGGGGGGTGGCCAATGATTGAGTAACACCATGACATAAGAGGATGTTTGTTGAAACAATACCACATGTTAGATTTCCTTCAAGTGTGAAGTATCCATTAAGTGATGACACGCGTCACTTGCAGTGTACCTGGTATCTTAGATCTCTGAAGGAACAGCAAGTTGCATTTCTAATTTCCTGTCTTTAGAGGTCTGTATATTTGGAGAATTTAACTGTTTTTAAGAAGGTAATTTAAAAATCTTGAAGATATCATCTTAATTTCCAGTTAAAAATATTTAGGGGTTTGTTTGCATTCTTTTGCACTTGATGCTCTTATTAAATGTCATGCCAGTTTCGTGCTTTGCTGACCCTGTAGGGAAATCACATGTCTTCTCAACAATTGTCCATTATTGTAAACTGCTTGGTAAAAGAAAGTATTTGGACTCCATAAAAAGATTGATAATCAGTAGTGTGGTAATGGGAAGAATTATTAATGATTATCAATTGAAAATTGTGTCTATGATAATATAGTACCTAACCTTTTGTGATTGAATAGAATGTTAATTTACTTACACAATATACAAAGCTATGTCAATATTCATGGACTGCTTGTAAATTATGATCAGGATGCTGTTTTGTTTGTATCCAAGTATGATTATCATTGATTATGTTACCACTCACCAGTGATGTGAAATATGCCGATTCTTTCAGATTTTTTTTTTTTTTTTTTCATTGTGGCCCTAAGTCACTTCTACAATGTTTATGGGGCGGAGGGGTAGCCTGATGGTTAAAGCGTTGGCTCGTCACGCTGAAGACCCGGGTTCGATTCCCCACATGGGCACAATGTGTGAAGCCCATTTCTGGTGTACCCCGCCGTGATATTGCTGGAATATTGCTAAAACTGGCGTAAAACCATATTCACTCACTCACTCTACAATGTTTATTGTTAACAATTATCAATATCCATGATCTCTATCGATAGCCAGCCCAAGAGAGTATAGACCCATACAGTAAGTTCACGAAACAAAAGCAATGGTTATCCAATGGTGATGTATTTGATATTTGATGTGTGTCATTTTGTTTTGGGACCCGTGAATGTCTGGGTTAGAATTGATCTTCAGCAACCCATGTTTGTCGTAAGAGGCGACTAATAGGATCGGGTGGTAAGGCTCACTGACTGGGTTGACACATGTCATTGTATCCCAACTGCGTAGATCGATGTTCATGCTGTTGATCCCTGGATTGTCTGGTCCAGACTCAATTTTTTACAGACCAATTATTGTTCACCAATCCCAATTCATCTTCATGAATAGAAATATGTTTAAATCAATTATTTACAGACCGCCGCCATATGGCTGGAATATTGCTGAGTGCAGCAGAAAACTAAACTCACTCACTCACTCATTGTGTTTTGAACACTGTTTAAGTCTTTTTCCGACTGTTTTCAACAAACTAGCAAAATTTTGATGGTGTTTGAAATATTTTGGTCAGTTACAATTGTAGGTTTGTGTTCTTTTGCCCTAGAAATTATGTGAAGCCACAGACATCATAGGAAACCATTTAACCTATATTGGAGAGGCACATGAAAACTGATGACCTTCTTAACTACTTGTCCACACACCCCACTGTATGAAAATAATGAAAAGGAAAAAATGATGTGTTCTAAATTACTTCTGCCAAGTCTGTACTTCATGGTGAAATGCCATAGGGTTGGAAGATAGCCCCCAGCCAGGGTCTCTCGATCTTTAGCGGTAATTTCATCAATGGAACTGGTATGGTTGACTGATGTGTTGGGGAAGCTCAGTGAATCACAACATTAACTGCAAGAATAAATAACTTTATAAGTGCTCATTTTGCTCGCTCACTTTGGTTCCAAAGAGCACACTCATCTTTCGAAAAGCCCCATGCCTCAGCAGAGAATTATTCATTTATATCCCACACATTGAGGTTATGTTGTACATTGTACACATGGAGCATGTTGTATATACCTCTTCACTGGTGTACTGTTGTACATTGTATCTTTATCTGAACTATTATATGGTATAGATAGTAGATACTAATGGTTAAAATGTCCGATATTCAGGCTGAAGCCCTGGGCTCGATTCCCCATTTCTGGTGTCCCCTGCCGTGATATTGCTGGAATATTGCTAAATGTGGCATCAAACCAAACACACTCACTCACTCATTTTACAGTATGGTCTGTCTGTATTGTCATTGTAATTTATTATGTTTTGAAAATTCAGACTGTACACAATATTGTAGTTATTTTTAAAATTGGTAATTGAGTTATTAAATGTGTTCATCATTAATCTCATCATGAAAGGATACAATGTGTGAAGCCCATTCTAGTTCCCTAGACTTGTACAAGTCTCTGAGGTAATAATTAATAGTTTAAATGATAATTTCTAAAATATTATAAATTAGATTAATACATTGTCCCACCAACAGACTGGCATCCTTGTACTGTCTGCTTTTCTAGACTTGCCTCTTTAAGAATAGAATTACTATATATCCATGGGTTTAAAATTCAGTACAGCCTTGGAGCAATTAGCTACTCCTTCCCCTGATATTGCTGGAATATTGCTGAAACTTACTCATCATGAAACGCACTAATGACTAGAGGTGTGACGATACAGAAATTTCACGATACGATCCGATACGTATTGTGATATCTTGGAACGATACGATTTGATTCGATGCATATCACCATATGCTACCTTTAGTTATTTTCTTTCAGAATGTATATTTTGATAGCAAGTAACAGTGTAAATTATGACATAACCATCAATTTCTGGTGAAAATTGATAATTTTAAGGTCAACAATACATATAACGATACGAAAAAAAGTATCGATTAATTTATCGTCAGATAAAGTATCACAATTATCGATATATACTACGATATATCGTCACAGCTCTACCAATGACTCCAGTAATGTTGTTTAGTGTTAGAAGATGACAAAAGACTTGAATATTTTACACCCAGAACATGATGTGTACTACATATGAATGTTATGTAAACCTACAGAATCTGTGTACTTTCAGGTGCAAGTTGTGAGAGTTTTGGACCCAGTGTGAGACAATGTGTTGCTGGGTGTCCCCTGGATACCTTTGGGGGTGTGGCCTTACCCTAGTGCTGGCTGTGCTGCTGTGTGGGGGTGAACAGGAAGATCAGAGGAGTGCAGGTCAGTTGGTGGGGAGGGGGAGAAGAGGGAGGTGGAAGGGAGGTTGATGGGTCTGTGTCCATTTCATTTGTGCTAGTCAGTCTGGACCAGACAAACCAGGATAGCAGTTGATTTGAAATTTTAGTATTCCTATCAGTCAACAGCAGGATTAAATTTGAAATTTTAGTATTCCTATTTGAACTTAAATATTCATTATATATCCATGCTCAATAATAATAACATTATCAATTACCTATATCAACCTGCAAGTTGGGTGAGAGAGAGGTACAGGGAGGTCTAGGCAAGGGTGAGAGGGGAGGGTAAGTGGGCACCGTCAGGTCGAGGTATAGTTTGTCTCACAGCCCCTGAACCATATTATTTTCCCCTTCAGCCTGGCCCTCCATGCAATGCTAAAGCCCAACATGAAGCAAGTCTAGATTTCCCCAAAATCTCTGGTATCCCTTGGGCTCCTTTTCAATTTAAATGGGTTTATTTGTTACAATCAAAATCATATATATTCAGAGACTAAGCGTTAGTCTAGTCTAGGTAAGATGTGGGGGATAGGGGAGGCAAGATAGTTAAGGGGACGTCCAAGTTTAGATGCAGGGGTGAGAGATAGGTACAGGGGGGTCAAGGTAAGATGTGGGGGTGAGAGAGAGGTATGGATCAGGGGGTTCTCGTAAAATGTTAGGATGAGAGACAGTTGCTGTGATGGAATAAAGGAGACAGTGTAGACCATTTGATATGACCCAGTGTTTGGGCCTTGTTCCATGACCCGGTGATAGCACCACCTCACACAGACTCCCATACATCAGTATGTCAAGGAGGACAGGCTGAGATGCTGTTAACACTTAATGGTTTATGTGACTGCTTGTTGGGTATCCATAAACACCAGATATTGTGACTGGTGCTAATGGGTTAATGGCCTTTGAGGTTCCAATGTGGCCAGAGATAGGGTCATAACTGTCTAGTTGGTCTTAGATCAAAGCAGATTGGTGGCAGACCGTGTGGGTGTGTGTGATGTAATGAGGGCTTATGGCTCCACATGTTCTATGTTGACACTCTACCTCATCAACTGTGAAGTCAAACATTATATAGAAAGATGTAGTCTGTTTCACAGTCCCTGAACCACAGCATGCACAATATCCCTATATGTACATGTTTTCCCACTTTCAAACAAGATCATGTACATTTCCCCCATGCACCATTAGCCCATGTCTGTCTCACAGTCCCTGAACCACATTACTTTCCCTACTGCCAAGCCCTCCCTGCAGTGCAGCCCTAAATAAAGCAAGTCTAGATTTCGTCAGGTTCAGGTTTTGAATCTCTGGTCTCCCTGGGGCTCCTTTTCAATTTAAATGGGCTTGTTTGTTACTATCAAAATTATATATATTCCGAGACTAAGCATTAGTCTAAGAAAGATGTTATGTCTTTGAATTTCCTGTCCTACAATGGATCTGTATGGAGTTTGTGCTTCAAAATATATTTCAAGGAATGTGATGATTCTACAAATTCTTGTCTTCATTGTCAGTGTAGAAACTGTTATCTGTATGCTGGTCACTTTCATGCTAGGGTCTGGAGTCACTTTAGTCAAGGATCTAGAGTCCTTTTCAGCCAAGGTTTTATTGTCACTTTGTGCATAGAGTCAAGAATTACTTTTAGTCAAGGGTCACCTTAGTCAAGGATCTGGGGTCACTTTAGTCGAGGTTCTAGGGTAACTTTAATCAAGGATCTAAGAGTAAAGAATCACTGGGGTTAGTCAAGGATCTAGGGCATAGAGTAACTTTAGTCAAGGATCTAGGGTCAAGGGCTAGAGTCACTTTAGTCAAGGATCTAGAGTCCTTTTCAGCCAAGGTTTTATTGTCACTTTGTGCATAGAGTCAAGAATCACTTTAGTCAAGGGTCTAGGGTCACTTTAGTCAAGGATCTAGGGTAACTTTAGTCAAGGATCTAGGGTTACTTTCAGTCAAGGGTGTAGAGTCACTTTAGTCAAGGATCTAGAGTCCTTTTCAGCCAAGGTTTTATTGTCACTTTGTGCATAGAGTCAAGAATCACTTTTAGTCAAGGGTCACCTTAGTCAAGGATCTGGAGTCACTTTAGTCGAGGTTCTATTGTCACTTTGGCATAGATCGAGGAAACATTTTCAGTCAAGGGTCTAGGGTCACCTTAGTCAAGGATCTGGAGTCACTTTAGTCGAGGTTCTATTGTCACTTTGGCATAGATCGAGGAATCATTTTCAGTCAAGCGTGTAGTCATCTTAGTCAAGGATCTACAATCACTTTCAGTTTCTACCTTAGCTTCATGGAATGATCCTCCCCCCTATCTGAACACTGGACAGTGTGAAGTATATCTGTGACACTGGCAGTGTGACACTTAGTCTGCCCATGCCACTGCCTGTGCTCAGGTGTTTCAGCTGGGTTGGTCCTGTCTGTCTTCTCATTAACTCTATATGTTACCATACAGTGGCAGTCTGTTTACAGAGATCATTTCTAACCCTGGGGTTTGAGATAGGCTGGGGAGACCAGGTGGTTCTGATTATAGTGAGCAGGGCTAATTGGTGAAATATGTTTACACACACTTGCAGAACTAGGGGAGACACAAAGATTATGTGAATGCCTGGATGATGAGTGGATATTAGTAGGGCAGCTGGATATTAGAGAGGGTTGAATCAGGGTGCTTAATAGTAACTAGCAGCTTGCAATGGGAAGTGGATTGAAGTGAGTTGAATCTTGCAGTAGTGAGAGTGGCTTGTGTGTGGATTCAGATGGTAGAGGCTTGTGTGTGGATTCAGATGGTAGAGGCTTGTGTGTGGATTCAGATAGTAGAGGCTTGTGTGTGGATTCAGATGGTAGAGGCTTGTGTGTGGATTCAGATGGTAGAGGCTTGTGTGTGGATTCAGATGGTAGAGGCTTGTGTGTGGATTCAGATGGTAGAGGCTTGTGTGTGGAGGTTCAGATGGTAGAGGCTTGTGTGTAGATTCAGATGGTAGAGGCTTGTGTGTAGAGGTTCAGATGGTAGAGGCTTGTGTGTGGATTCAGATGGTGAGGTTCAGATAGTAGAGGCTTGTGTGTGGATTCAGATGGTAGAGGCTTGTGTGTGGATTCAGATGGTAGAGGCTTGTGTGTGGATTCAGATGGTAGAGGCTTGTGTGTGGATTCATATGGTAGAGGCTTGTGTGTGGGATTCAGATGGTAGAGGCTTGTGTGTGGATTCAGATAGGTGTGGATTCAGATGAGAGCTTGTGTGTGGATTCAGATGGTAGAGGCTTGTGTGTGGATTCAGATGGTAGAGGCTTGTGTGTGGATTCAGATGGTAGAGGCTTGTGTGTGGATTCAGATGGTAGAGGCTTGTGTGTGGATTCAGATGGTAGAGGCTTGTGTGTGGATTCAGATGGTAGAGGCTTGTGTATGGATTCAGATGGTAGAGGCTTGTGTGTGTGGATTCAGATGGTAGAGGCTTGTGTATGGATTCAGATGGTAGAGGCTTGTGTGTGGATTCAGATGGTAGAGGCTTGTGTGTGGATTCAGATGGTAGAGGCTTGTGTGTGGATTCAGATGGTAGAGGCTTGTGTGTGGATTCAGATGGTAGAGGCTTGTGTGTGGGATTCAGATGGTAGAGACTTGTGTGTGGATTCAGATGGTAGAGGCTTGTGTGTGGATTCAGATGGTAGAGGCTTGTGTGTGGATTCAGATGGTAGAGGCTTGTGTGTGGATTCAGATGGTAGAGGCTTGTGTGTGGATTCAGATGGTAGAGGCTTGTGTGTGGATTCAGATGGTAGAGGCTTGTGTGTGGATTCAGATGGTAGAGACTTGTGTGTGGATTCAGATGGTAGAGGCTTGTGTGTGGATTCAGATGGTAGAGGCTTGTGTGTGGATTCAGATGGTAGAGGCTTGTGTGTGGATTCAGATGGTAGAGGCTTGTGTGTGGATTCAGATAGTAGAGGCTTGTGTATGGATTCAGATGGTAGAGGCTTGTGTGTGGATTCAGATGGGTGTGTGTGGATTCTTAGGAGAGTGTATGGAATCAGATGGTAGAGGCTTGTGTGTGGATTCAGATGGTAGAGGCTTGTGTGTGGGATTCAGATGGTAGAGGCTTGTGTGTGGATTCAGATGGTAGAGGCTTGTGTGTGGATTCAGATAGTAGAGGCTTGTGTGTGGATTCAGATAGTAGAGGCTTGTGTATGGGTTCAGATGGTAGAGGCTTGTGTGTGGATTCAGATGGTAGAGGCTTGTGTGTGGATTCAGATGGTAGAGGCTTGTTGTGTGGATTCAGATGGTAGAGGCTTGTGTGTGGATTCAGATAGTTGAGGCATGTGTATGGATTCATATAGTAGAGGTGTGTGGATTCAGATTAGAGATGGTAGAGAGCTTGTGTGTGGATTCAGATGGTAGAGGCTTTGTGTGGATTCAGATGGTAGAGGTGTGGATTCAGATGGTAACTGGTGTGTGTGGATTCAGATGGTAGAGGCTTGTGTGTGGAATTCAGATGGTAGAGGCTTGTGTGTGTGGAATCAGATGGTAGAGGTGTGGATTCAGATGGTAGAGGCTTGTGTGTGGATTCAGATGGTTTGAGGCTTGTGTATGGATTCAGATGGTAGAGGCATGTGTGTGGATTCAGATGGTAGAGGCATGTGTGTGGATTCAGATGGTAGAGGCTTGTGTGTGGATTCAGATGGTAGAGGCTTGTGTGTGGATTCAGATGGTAGAGGCTTGTGTGTGGATTCAGATGGTAGGAGAGCTTGTGTGTGAATTCAGTGAATGAGAGCTTGTGTGTGGATTCAGATGGTAGAGGCTTGTGTGGATTCAGATGGTAGATTGTGTGTGGATTCAGATGGTAGCTTGTGTGTGGATTCAGATGGTAGAGGCTTGTGTGTGGATTCAGATGGTAGAGGCTTGTGTGTGGATTCAGATGGTAGAGGCATGTGTATGGATTCAGATAGTAGAGGCTTGTGTGTGGATTCAGATGGTAGAGGCTTGTGTGTGGATTCAGATGGTAGAGGCTTGTGTGTGGATTCAGATGGT